CTAGTTTTTGGTCACTGACATTGTGAATAAAAGCAAATATTTTTCTTGAGCAATCTTAAGTCTATAGATGAGAGTTGACGGTAATGCATATTTTTAGTCCTACCCAGGCAACCTAACAATAATCATCATGTACACATTGCTGATTGGTGGACTACTGGGGAAGAAGCCCTATTTCATAGACTAAGCTGCTGTATGGCAGCTTACTGGGGTTGAAAGTCAGCTTAGGAATGCAGAATAGGAGACTTTAAGTAAACACTGACCTTTTTCCTCTAACAATAATGTTTTCAGGCTAAAAGCTTCTGATCTTTCACAATTCTGAGTGTAGCCATGTTTAATTTAAAAAGAAAATCATATTAACCAAACCTATTTTAAAATGGCTTTTAACAAAAAAGGCATGGGTCTTTGAGTCCTGTTCAAGAGGAAAAGGATAGCAATGCAACTTTGCACAAAATCAGCTGTACTAATCTTGGGTTATACAGATGTGACCAAAGAATACAACATATCACCCACAATTTATCAGGTTCTGTACATAGTACGTCAAAGTCCAGTTTGCCTTATATTTCATATTCATTGTTATTTTCTGGTTGTATCTGATATTTCTGATGGTTTTTTTTTCTTTCCCCAGTTACATTCATGATCAATTGAATCGCCCATTCACTCTGCAGTGGTTTTACAGTACCTGTGTGCCTGATCTCTCCAACAATTCTGGTACCAGTTATAGTACAACAATTTCTCAGAAAACAAATACCATTAGCTCTGAAGAAAACAAGCACAAGATTATTCACCTTTCAGTATTTATTGGTTTACTTTTGGTTGGAATTCTTGAGATCTTATTCAGTGTCAGTCAGATAGCGATTGGGTTGATTGGCTGCCTCTGTGGAGTTTCTAAGCGGAGAAGTAGACAGACATGGTCATAACATGGAAGCGAAGACAGTCTCTCTCTCTCTCAAGAGATTTCCATTTCAAGAGGCAACATAATCCTTTAAATATCAGTGTTGGAATATTAGTCAACCACATGAAACTCATGTAACTGTCATTTTTAAGTCACATTTTGTTTCATTTTCAAAGCTTTCAAAAATGGTTTCTCTATGTGGTCATTGTTTAAAGACAAGAAATGCAGTATACTTATTGAATAAAATAAACTAGAAGTTTAGTTTTTAAAAATGTTCTGCCTGGAACCAGGAGAACACTGTACACAGTAACAGCAATACTGTATGATGATGTACTATGAATAACTTATTCTTGGCAATACAATGATCCAAGACAATTCTGTAGGATTTATGATGAGAAGTGCTGTCCCATCTCCAGAGAAAGAACTGGCAGAGCCTGAATGCTTATCCAAGATACTTTTTCTTGGTTGTTTTTTTTCTTTTTCTCTGTTTTCTTTCACAGAATGACTTACATGGAAATTTTGCATGATTATACATGTATAACCCATGTCAAATTGTTTGCCTCCTCAATGAAGGGGAGAGGGGAGGGAGGGAGAGTTTGGAACTCAAAATTTGAAAAAAAGATGTTAAAATTGTTTTTACATGTAATCGAAAAAAATATTAAATATTGAAAAAAATACTGTCTGAATACAGTATAAGGTCTTAAAAATAACTGATAACTTAGATATTCCCTGTGTTATGACTATAATAAAACAGCATCATTAAGATTTGTAGATCTATTTTTTAATAAAGCCATTTACCACCTTGAAATTTTAACTTCTTGAAAAAAATTGTAGCACTTTTAATCACAGTCATGTAATTGAAATACTTATGAAGTAACTAGTTAAGCTTATGAATCACTAACCTTGATTTTAATTGGGCAATTTTAACATAGATTTTGTTGCCAGAGCTTTTCTCAATGTCCTGTTAATACTATAAAGGGCTAGAGAGCCTACAGTTCTCTTTACGGACCCAGTAAGGGGCTGTGGAGTTTCATCTTTGCCTCAGAGACTCACAGATGATAACAGAAAAAGCATTCAAAGACATCTGTTCAATTGAGGTACCTAGCAAGACAATCGTAGTTTAAGGAATATGAAATCACTGGATAATAATCCTGAGTTACCAAGTCTCTGCTTCACCAAAGGCTTCTTACTTTTTCCAAGGTGTGTGCCCCTTCTAGCTTCAAGAGTGACTCTATCCTGAGGGTCAATTCTACTATTCCAAAAAAAGGTTACGTTCTTTTCTGATATTTCCCATGGTAGTTCTTAGCCAAAAGGTCATTTTTCAAAGCAAATAGAAATTATCCATTTTAAAAGATAAAGGGAGTATCTTTGTAGTTTGTTTGGCATTTAAGAACATAAATTTAATAATTACTTAGTTTATAGTCATTTCTGTACATATCCTGAAACTTTAATGCTTATACTCCATGCTCATTCCCTTCTCAATGCCATGGTTCATAATGCTATGACCTATAACACTCTCTCTTCCCTATCTAAATCCTACCCATCCTTCAAGGCCATCTCATGACTTTATTTTACACAATCTCATTCTTCTGCTTTCCCAAAGATCAACTGTGCTGTATGAATTGTGCCACACGTTTTGGTACAAAATTCTTCTTATTACTATTACCTTAATGGTTGTATGTATATCTAACTAGACTTTGTGTTGACCCTTTCTAACCATGCATACCTAATTAGACTGTCAGTTCCTTGAGGACAAAGCTCATGTCACTTCTTCTGTACTTTCCACAATACCTGGGCACTTAGTACACAATAAATGCTTGTTAACCTAAATATCACACATAAGACCATTCAGCTTACCTTTCTATTTGATGCCCATCATAATGGTTCCATTTCAATGCCAAAGACACCCAAGAAAGATAGGTGAAAGACAGGAGGGGATTGCTTTATTAGGGAAAAAAAGTTATCCTGAAAATATACTCTCTATGAAATTATTCTTCAAAACAGAACTAACTTATGGAACATTCCTCCTGTGTACAAATTAACAAAAATCAGCATCTACCAATATAAGTGGGAACGTTTTAAACGCATACACCTGAAAACGTGTGTGTGTGTGTGTGTGTGTGTGTGTGTGTGTGTATACATATGTCATAGTTGTAAACATTACTGACTGCTATGGATTACAATACCAACAACTCACAGGGACTGTTAGATTCTATGTATCACTAAGATTTCGCCCCCTTTTTTCCTTCTCATTTTAGATAGATCACTGAAGCAAAAACAGGACATGTTAAGTTTTCATTGTCTAATATTAGTGCAGTGCTAAATGTGGAAAAGCCTAGCAAATAATTTTAAAAAGGGCTACCTGGTGCAGCGGATAGAATGTGTGGCCCAAAGCCAGAAGACTCATCTTTGTGAGTTCAAATCTGGTTTTAGACACTTACTAGCTGTGGAACCCTAGGCAAGTCACTTAACTTGGTTTGCCTCAGTTCTCTCATGTGTAAAATGAATCAGAGAAGGAAATGGCAAACCATTCCAGTACCTTTGCCAAGAAAATCCCAAATGGGGTCATGAAGAGTAGGATGGCTGAAAAAGACTGACCACCACCACCACCACCTTTTAGCCCTTGAATTTCATGACTATGAAATTCATTTTCTCACACTCAGCCTTTTATTCTGTTTGGATGAATTAGAATTCCAATAGTTTCCACTTTGAAGCTTGCCCAGTTGAACCGTTTATACGTAAAATAATCAAACAACTGAATTTGTATTCTGAGATTACAGATGTGACTTATTCCATCCTATTTAATGAGAAGCAGCAGGGACTGTTCCTGGTACCACCAGAGCCTAGTACAGAACACATATGATACAAAGGGGGTGCTGCACAAGAGCATACTAGCTGGTAAATATGACATCAGCAAATGCCTGGGGAATCCTAACTGACAGAGTCCAGCATAGGGCATGATACAACTCCGAACTTAGAGAATGAAGTTCAGGTCACAGTGTTCTCAAGTCTTGTCTTCAACCTACTAGCTTCAAGTTCTTTACTATAAATGATTTTAAGAATGGGCACAAGTAGAAGCCTGAGATACATAATAAGAGAGGCCCACTTTCACACTAATTTAATAATTACTACCACTCTTCAGTAATTCTTAGACTACTTCCAGAGGAAGAGAGAATGATCTTCCACTGAAATGAATTATTTACATTCCAAACAATGAGATACAAATCTTTAGGATCAATACTCCTATCCCAGCCCTCTTCCTTTTGGCTTAGCTGGCTATAGTGCCTCAAAATACTATGTCTACTAAGAAGAGAAAAGTTTCTTTTTCTTTAATTGACAAAAAGCCCCACAGCATGTGTAATTACTTTTTGTTGCAGACCCAACTTGAGGTTGGCTAGTAAGTATATGAGGTTAGCTGATACTCAAATGAGTCATTCATCCTGTCTCTTTAAGACAAATCATATGATTGAATCATAGATAACACAAGACAATTTTTTTGACCATTAACACTGTATTACAACTAGGGAAGAACCTCCCCGTTCCTGGTTTCTTTTCTTTGAAAAGGCAAGTGCCTCAACACTTAAGGTTCCCTAGTCCTCATCAGAGTTTCCATGGACTAGCTCAGCCCAAACTCACTGCCTGGAAGGACGACACTTAGCATGTCAGGAAGGAGCTTCTTTTGCTGGCCTCGAGTACACTGGATATTTCAGGATATGGTGATTACATCAGTCTCTGAATTAAAAAAGAAAAAAGCTGTAGAGTGTGTATTCTCATAACTGAAGACTCCCAGGAACAGGTTTCACTGGTGTTCTGCACTGTGAGATTAACGATCCTGGGGGCCACACTACTACAGTGAAAGGAAGATACAAAAACAAGAGACTTCTTAATGTAAGATGCTTTATAGACGTAAAATAAGAAAACTACTCATTATGCTACTGTCACCCTCACCTACTGGTCTGAAGATTCTAAAAGAAAAGGAAAAAAGTACATAGACTTCTACTATCAATGTTTCATCCAGAGACTCAGAAGACATGATTTGTCATCATATATACTACATATACATTCACTGTAAAAATGTGAGCAAATAAAATTTTTCTAAAGACAAACATTGCTTTAGTTGACAGTTTATTAAATACACTACATTGGTACCTTTTCCGTAATCTTTTAAATCACTCACACACGGACTTGCTTAAAAATGTATTTCATAGAAAAACATCTGCAAAATTAAGACTAAAATAAGAAAAATACATATCGCACACACCCCTGGATAATCTGCTGAAATGTTAGCAAGAATTCCTTTAATTTATTCTGTACATGTGCTTAATGAAGATACTTATGAAATATGTTGACTTAGTTCTTTTGAATCTGGCACCAGGCTACAACATTCAAAGTGTTCATGTCAGCTAAAGGGAAGCTGACGCAGAAGTGCCTAATCACAAACGATTTTATTGAACAGTCTTCAAACACAGGACAAAAACAGACACCACTCTTTTTACAGATACTTTTGCAAATCTATTTTGTAAGCCCTCTCTACCACCCAGAGAATTAGTGCAGTCTGTTCTCATGTAGGCAAGAGAAGCAAATCCTTTCAAAAACAAATTTAGGCCTATTTACAAAACATGCAAAGGGAGGTTATTTTAAGTAGGTGTTACTGCAAATATGATTAAAAAGAAATACAACCAAGCAATAGGATATCCCTTCAGTTCTGTTCTAGGTCCTTTGTTCTTTCCCAAAGAAATACATTTTCAGTGCATGGATTATCAAACGGCATACAATGCAGAGGCAGAAACAGAGAAGTTTGCAAATGCTTTATATTTCCAAGCTGTTACGACAAGTACGTTAGAAAGCGGAGGTTACCTCTAGCGGCGAAACCAAAGCCAGCTATTAAGCAGCCAGAAAGCTACAGTAATGGAATACATGACCATCTCTCTTTTCGCACGTTCTTTGTTTTCTTCTTCCAGAAGTTGGAGACGTCGATTAAGTTTGATTATCTAATTAAGAAAAAATCCGCAAAGTATATTAGTGCCCGATACATTTAAATTGCTTTACACAGTGGTATAATGAAGATGCCTTAAAAAATTTGTCACAAAAGCTAAGTAGACTTATTCTATGAATATTTACTAAAGCGACATTTCCTAAATAAAACCAAACCAAACCAAACCTATTTAAAAAAAAAAAAAACCCAAAAGTCACTCCATTACTACCTGCCAAACCCTCTTGGACTAGATGCTTTGAAAGGTCCCTTCTAACTCTAAAATTCCATCATTCTTTGAACCTTTTCCTTCTACCCTGGTTGCCTAATGTCTTATTTTTTGCTCCTTATTGGGTAGCTTAGGGAATGGTTACAACCTGAAGCCCTAAAATGAATTCACATTGATATAAGGGTACCATATGCTAAGGAGACAGCAGAGTACAGCAGAAAGTGTTGGATTTGGAGCCAGAGAAACTCAACTCGAATCCAAGCTCTGCCTCCCTTGTCTCCCCATCTCTTGCAATCCCTTGGGCAAGTCCTTTAGCTTCTCTGGGCATCAGTTTCCTCATCGGTAAAATGAGGTTACAATAAGTGACTCCGAGGTTCCCTCTACCCCTAAATCTAGGATTCTATTTACTATAAAGCTAAACTGCTATCATCCCACCCACATCTCTCCAACAAATGAAGACTAAGACTTTGTCAAATTCCTCATGGAAACAAGGCTGTGCTTTCTATAGCATTTCAAGAAAGGTCTCATGGCAATGGCATTTGACCTGAGTTTCAAAAGCAACAAGATTTCTAAAAGACGGAGAGAAGGAAGCAGTGATTTTCAGACACGGGGTCAGTGGAAGGGCACAGAGACTGGAGAGGGAGGGCTGTGTGTGAAGAAAAAGATCCAGTCTGGCTGGAGTGCAGAGTGTAACGTAGAATAAGGTTGGAGAAGGGGTTCAGAGTCAAATTGTGAAGGGTTCTAAATGCCAAACGGAGAAGCCTGTCAATGTCTGTACCTTAAGCGCCTCTGAGTGTTGCTTGGGGCACAGAGGTTAAATGACTTGCCCAGGGTCACACAGTAAGTCTTCCTGATTCCAAGACCAACCCAAGACTACACTAAGCTGCCTAACATAACTTCTTCTTTGTTGTTGTTCAGTGCAGCACGTCATTACCAGCCACAGGGTTTTCCTGGCAAAGATACTGGCGTGGCTTGCCACTTCCTTCTGCAGGGTGTCCCCATTTTACAAACGAGGAACTGAAGCAAATAGGGGTTAAATAACTTTCCCAGGGTCACACAGCTAGCAAGTGTCTGAGGTCACATTTGAACTCAGGTCTTCCTGGCTCCAGGCCCAGCGCTCTATCCACTGAAACATCTAGTTGCCTTAACTTGTTCTTAATGAATTCAAATTTAGAACTGGAATAGACCTTAGAAGCCAGTTACTCCAATCTTCTCATTCTGCAGATCAGGAAACAAGATATCCAAAGAGGTCAGAATGACCTGCCGAGGGTTGCTAGGTAGTAAGGGTCTGAGCCAGGATTTGAACTTGAGCTCACTGATTTCAAATCTTAGACTCTTTCACTACATCACTTTGTTCAGAAAAACTTTCATTAATTTGCCCAATTTCCTCCTAACATGTCTACTGAGTATAGAGGTAGATAGGATGATATATCCAATTTCAAAGATGCTGGGATTCAAAGAAATTCTAACACATCTATAGTCTCAAATCAGAGCATAAGCTCTTATCAAACTTACTAGCCAGGGCATCTTAACCAGTGTTTTTCAAATACCTGACGTCTTAGGGAAGCAGCATCTACAACAGTCACATCATCTGGTGTTCCTTCTACTGTTGCATCCAAGGTTGAAAGACCGTATCTGGCAGAGAAGAAACAGAAAGAGTTTAGGAATATAAAAGAAAATATTATTAACAACATGCCAAACACATGCAATGGATTTTATAATGTTCAGAAAAGATCTTCACAATTTGTAGCAGTTATGGACCACACAATCTGAACTGATACCAATATTGTGAAATGACAAAGGAGTTTAGGTTGACAGCTATGTAGATGACATGGATGAGACATGAGAAGAGGAACCTGGAAATACAAAGAAGCATTGACCCAGATTAAGAGTTAAGGTACTTCTGAGACTGAGGGGAGACAAATGGAATTTAGTCTGATGCCAAAAAGAGCCCCAGGCTGAAAAAGGTTTGCAAAACCTGGTTTAAATTCCAGAGAGATGGATGTTTGCAAGCTCTCACTTCCATCCACAGCTATTAGCTACAGGCTGGCATGGAAACACATAATATACACCCTATTCTGTCTGTTTCCAGGGGAAAAACAATTTGCATCTTAAAAAGTATAAACTCTTTGGTTTATAAAAGTCTCTGACTTTTGACAGTCTGGCTGAAAAACAAACATCCTCTTCATTCATGTGTTAGTCATACTAATATAACGCAGAACTCTTACAGTGGGACCTGAGGGTTGGTTCCTTTTGATTTCTCCAATCAACCCCCACTACCTGCTACTCCTACCCAGCACAGTGACTGTTCTCTCCCTTTCCAGTTTCTAGCCCCTTCTTCTGTATTCTGACAGAAGGAGCAGTTTCCCTTCACAGACTAATCTTTATTTTGAGGTCCCAAAGAGGTGTGCAAAAATACATACTTGTAACACTTTAGTATGTAAGGTATGTGCACATGAGCAGCTTCATGGTGTTCCCAAAATCTCAGTGCAGTCTGAAGCTATGAAAGCCTAAAAGCCATAAGCAAAAGCTTCAAACTGCACCAAGGCTTCTGGGGCCCACGTAAGAGGGCAATGCAGACAAACCCTGGCATGCCATGTCTTACTAACTTGGAGACAAATGCAGGAGTTTCTTTTCCCAAAGATACACAAAGATGATATTTTTAAACGAACGATACAACCTGAGGAAACAATGTTATAAATGGTAGCAATAGGAGCCACATACAGCTTGCCATTCCAAAACAAAAAACAGAAATGAGTCGCGCCAGTCTTACTTTTAAAGTATGTTCTTGTTACAAAGCAAAGCAAAACAAAACAAACAAACAAAAAAACCAACAAATCAAAACCCCCCCAAAAAATAACAACAAAAAGAAACCAACTGTATCCAGATAAGAATTTTTTTTTTTTTTGGACAGAGGAGCAACAGCAAAATAAAAACTTGTGGTACTAATTTACATGGAATTTTGTTGGCATTTTTTCCTGTACAATACACTTGAATTATTTGGAAAAATTAGACTACTTTGCTCTGGTTAACTGAATTTCCCAGATAAATGGGTTAATTTTTTTTGTTTCAAATCTTATTGATGAAAAATCTTCTTTTTAAAAAGTCCTTTCTTGACTCATTGTATAGGATACTGGGAATACAATTTAATTTTTATCACACATTTTATCTTAACATTAGTGATCAAGATATAGTACAACAAAGGCCATGTTTCTAATGGAAAGAAAAAGCTGGTCTTGAAGCTAGAAAGGCCTGGGTTCCACTTCTGCCTCTGACATACTGGCTTGTGTCACCATGGACAAGTCAATAAACCTCTGAGTTTTCTAGGCAAATCTCTGAGACCAGAAGTAGGAAAGAAGTTGCCAAGCTGCACTGGTAGAGGGAGTTTCCTCACCTGGGAATTCTCTACATTAATTAAATAACAAGTTTAGTCCTGGACCTAGAACCACAGGCCCCAGTTTCCCCAGGATTCCAGTTTCCTCAATTACTTAGTGAAGGAGCTAAACTAACTAGATGCATGAGACAGATGCCAGGCCATGAGGAGGAAGCAGAGAATTGTCCTCGGGGGCAGGGCGTGAGTTTAAACACAGACCCTGACACTCACTATTTGATCAGGGGCAAGTCACAGAATGGCAAACAAAGAAAAAAAAAGATGGGAAAAGTAAAGAGCTAAAAATCCATATGGCTACAGACTTCTCCCATATCCCAGTACCATTAATAATATCATTCTCCTGGTATCACATATAGTAGGATTTGGAGAAAACAAAATATGGACAAACTAATGTACAAAAATTCCTGAAAAGTCCCTAGATAATACCGATAGGGCATACATGCTCACACTACACAGTTGAAAAAATTAAATCTGCAGAACAGAGCTAGCCAATTACAAATGAAAGAGAGGCACTCATTTTCTAAGCCATGCAGTTTGGTAAAGTATGGGGGCAGCTAGATGGTATCGCGGATAAAGCACTGCGCCTGAAGTCAGGAAGGCTCATCTTTGTGAGCTCAAATCTGGCCTTTGTCACTTCTTAGCTGTGTGTCCCTGGGCAAGTCACTTAACCCTGTTTGCCTCAGTTTCCTTATCTGTAAAATGAGCTGGAGAAGGAAATGGCTAACCACCCTAGTATCTGTGCTAAGAAAATCCCAAATGGGGTCATGATGAGTTGGATATGATTGAAAAATGACTGAACAAGGTTTACGGGTCAAAGAAATCTAAGCAAGCAAAAAGAAATCTGACATATCTCAATAAAACTTGCAATGGTCAAGCATGTTTCTTAATATAGTGTGTACTCTAGGGTTCTCAACCTTTTTTTTTGTTACGGAAGTATGGGGAAGCTGATGAATATTTTTCTTTAAATGCACAGAGTTAGATGCATAGGGCATAGGATTACGATGGACACCTATCATATTAAAATAGTTATCAAAATATTAATAAATTTACAGCCTGCAGGTTAAAAATTTCCTGGTTTTCAAAAGACCTTACCTTTTTAACTGAGGTCTGCATGACTTGAAATTGAAAATTATAAGAAAGCAAAGTCAAAACACTGTTGGATAACACAGTTTGAAAAGACTTACAGGGAAAGGTAAAGTGGACCACAGAACAAAAATGAAGAAATTGTCATGAATTTAATTACCTTAGTAAAAAGAAAAATTCAAGTAATAGCCGGTGTCCAATAATGTCCCATTTTTCAATACTTCTTCAACCAGTTCCCCACTGAAAAGGGGGATGTCTTGCTCCCTCCAGCAGAATGTAAGGCAGGGGATATTTTACTTTGGTGTCCCTGACACTTCCCCACATTTATTTTTGGTCTGCACTGTGATTTATCAGTATAGGGAAGGCAAGTTGGGCAGGCAGAGACAGGATGGGATCTGCATTACTGCTGGTAATATTTATATCCATGAGATCACAGAGTCCCTGATTCATTTGAATGTTTGATTCAAACACACAGATCCGTAGAGGGCCAATGACAACAGGTAAAGCTATGTTAAATCCCACCAATGGAAGGCAAAAAAAGGTTTGAATTATATATGGAACAGCTGAATTAAGAAATTAAAATCAAAGTCATTTTTTAAAGCTTAATTAGGTTATCAACTTTTATTTCTGCAAATTAAAAATGATTCCTTAGAGACCTAACACACTTAAGAACTACATCTGTGCTAATATGAAACATCGTTAATGTGCAACAATGGAAGAACCTTAAGAAACAAGTAGATGCACATAAATCAGGACTTGAGAGAAGCAATGTAGTACAGCACAAAGACTGGTCATCAAAGGACCGTATGTCTTTAAGCAACCTCCTTCTCTTCCCTTGCTCTCAGGGTTCCTCACCTACAAAATGAGGAACGTGGCTGAGAGCAGTGGTTCTTAATCTTTTTTGTATCATGTATCCCTCTGGCAGTCTGGTGGAGCCTGTAGGACCCTTTGTCAGAATAATATTTTTAAATGCAAAAATTAAACATGGAGACATTACTAAATAACCTAAATGAGATACACCGAGAACACAAGAAACACAGAGATACAGTTATCAAAATTTTATATATACATATAAAATTCTTGGAAGCCAGGTTAAGAACCTTGGTCTAAATGACATTCAAGGTCTCTTCAAGGCTTTTAGTTATGTAATTCTATGAGTCTATGATTGCCTTTTTACTGTGCCTTTTTTTTTTTTTTAAAGTATGAGTGGGTCCCACAAGTTGTCTTTCTCAGGCAGCAGAAAAAACTTAGGCGAGCTCACTGAAAGCAAAAGCAACCAAAGTTTTAACTGTCGAGATAAAGAAATTACTTGACACACATGTGCAAGAACATGAGTCGTAAAAGCATTTCTCTTAGGGGTGACTGAATCATAAAAGTGAAAACTAAAGAAACCCAAGATACATTAGAAAATTAAACAGTTAATGTATTTGAAATTCCATAGACCTATACAGACCAAACTTTATTACTATTTATTTACCCTTGATTGGCAAAAACGCTCGATGAGGACACCCAGTTTACCTGATGTCATGATGAGGGTTAGAAGTGGCAGCCGCGGACCCCCCACGTAACACTGGCCTAAAGCAGGGTTTTGCAGGAAGTTGACACGAGACAGATCAGGAAACAGAGAGGAAGTAATGAAAAACACAAAAGTGGGAAAAAAAAACAGGACAAAGAGAAATGTCAAATATATTCAATTATATTGTATAATATTTCAATACAATATAATGTTATCTAAAATAATTTCAAACAAGTTTGTATTTCAAATGCCTTTCTGTTAAATTTTTTCAACAAACAGAACTAAATTGATAAAAACCTAGATTATATATATATATATATATACGCTGCTGTGACAAAAGTGTTCACAATATAATTCTGTCATTTAAACTTTAATGAAACTCAAGGGCAAGTTTCTTGAAAAGTCCTCTGGAATTTCTCTTTTTTTAATGGGAAACTTCAAAAATATGTCTCAGGATCAATTAGTTGCACCTGCATGATCATGGTTGCTCATATGATACAAATCAGTCCTACTCTGTTAAATTATAATTATAGTTTTCAACAAACTAATGTTTCCCATGGCTCCCCCACCTACCCCCCATATCATTTATCTGTCTTGGACTTGTTGTATCACTTCATTTTTTTTGGATTACATTTAAAAAAACCAAAATAACCCACTGAGCACGAAGACTTTCAGTTTTTCTTTCTTTCTTTCTTTCTTTTTTTTTTTTTGTGGTGAGGCAACTGGGGTTAAGTGACTTCCAGAGTCACACAGCTAGCGAGTGCCACCTAGCTTGCTCCCACTTTCAGTTTTAAGAGCAGAGATGTATCCCTCAGTTCTGGAGCAAAAACGGTCACTCAGGGGGATGCTGGGCTTTAGAAGCTGAGCAGGAGCAGGTGAGGCAGCATGCAAAACTCCATAACTGAAGTTTACTCTCCAGAGACAACCAGGACTGACATACAGGGCTGCTGGCAATGAAGGCTAAGGTGCAGTGGAAAACTGTGTGGGGAACTGAGCTCACGGACTAAGCACACTAGACTTGGCTCTAAGCTGGGATAATCAGAGTTCACCACTCAGACAAAAATCAATGCCTTTCCCACCAAATTAAAAGCGCTAGAAGGCCATGAAGCAACTCTCCCCAAAGTAGTCAGCAAAGCTTACTGAAACAGAAAGGAAAAAGAAAGGGAAGAGTGGAAGAGAAGAGAAATGTTTGTATTCTTTTTGGCTGGTATCATTTAATTCCAGGCACTGTCAGGTGCTGTCTGATTCCACGTTTTGTATCCATAATAAATGTCTTAATATCCTTTGGAGTTGTCTCCTCTAAAAGTGAGCAGGGTTCACAAGACTTCTGGTCACCACATAATTCAGTCTCATCAAATGTGACCTGAAAACCCAACAATTTTAATGTCTGTTTTTTCTAAAGGCAGCACAAGGGTATCTATCCTAGGCTAAAGATTCAGGGTTTTGAGCGGAAATGCTGAAGTACTTCTGGGGAGGCTCATGAAACTTGTATTTTGTTAGTTAAGTTAAGGGAGAAATAAAATTGTATCTCAAAAATTTGTGACCTATTTTAAACCTGCATCACTCTATCAAAATTATTACTAAAACACCATCCAGAATATGCTAGTATTACGACTGTTAAATAAAAGTTAGCAGAAGTCACTGTTGTTCCTGAAGTTACGACAACAGATGAGGATTTGGGATTTGAAAAGCATGCTTCTTTTCTAACATTATCTGCCACATGAACGGTATGAAAGAGTCACTTCGGCCACAAAGATTTCCATTCTACAATGCACAGCCAAGAAGCCAAAAGTTACCTTTCACATCGCATTTCATTTTGTCTTCTCAAACTGGTAATTATAATATAAAGGCAAATTAGGCATCTGGCAGAGTTACATATATACACACACCATTTTCTCTTATGTAGCACTGAAATTCTAGTTTCCTAAATAGGTAGCTTTTAATGTTGAATATTTTTTCCTAAAACTTACTGTAACTAGAATGATTAACTCTATGCTGTGGCAACTGGCAAAATGGATGGTAGTACAAGTTCATATTGTTAAAAATATGCTGTCTAGTAAAGAAGAACTATCAGGTAAAAACATCTGTGGTCAGTCAGCCCTATTGCAAAGATTATTTGGGTCAAGATGTTTCTTTCAATATTTTGAATGGCAGAGGAGAAATAACTGTATAATCCAAATTAAGGGAAGAGTGTCAATTACAACTCTGCATTTCTTTCCATATGTCAGTACCTGTGTGTTGTGTGTGTGTATTTTAAAAAATTACTGGGGGAAAAAACAAAACCTATAGATACATTTTGAGGCCTGCTAACCATTACAATGCCTTTTTACTATGGTTTAAACAATATTCTTACATTAAGATTATCTTATATTAATATAATATTCTTACATAAAGAAAATAATTTTCTCTTTAAAGTATCAATAATTTTTACATTGGATGGACTCTGAAAAAAGCTGTTTTGCTAGTCTCATGACAAAATTACTTCAACACTAATTTGTCTTCCAAAGACAGATGAGCTTCTGTTAGTTTACTTCGAACTGCATACACAAGTAACTAGATTTGTGAATGCAGCATGAACAAAACCGTGGTCATCAATGGGTATTTTCTTGGAATCACTGACTTAAATGAGAAAAAGGTAAGGACCAAACACAGTGTTTATGAGATGCTTCTTGTCTGATGAAGGACTAAGCCAAAATGGCCCTTATGTCCTAGGGACACGAGTTCTTGCTGCGCACACCACTCTTCTGAGAACAGAATGAGTCTTGTGAAAATTCTTCACCAGTTCCACACAGACACCTGTGGAAAAGAGTATTTCTCACAAGTGGCTCGATAGGCTAACTCATTTGGGGTCCTAAGGGTACTGACTCTAATTACTCTTATGGTAACCCTTAATGACACCTTTGATATGTCATGTCAGTTAGTGAAGTAGAATAAATAACTATGGAGATTTTCTATCATATATGTATGCATGTACATAGGATGGATGTGTATGTATATATATGCATATGTGTATACATTAAATAATTTAAAATTATAAGCTGATGACCCACCATCAGGTGACACTAATTAAACATATGAAATGAAGATTATGATGCATTCCTCTATTAGTTAATCTGGAAGTCATATAATTTAAATCTAATTCTAACTTGGTGGCCCTTAACACATGTACCTTATTTCTGAATGCTAAAATTCCAAGATTCATAGGTCAAGATTTCTAAAACAAAATGAGCTTGAGTGTCAGGAGAACATCAAAATGGAAAACAATTCAACCTACCTAAAATAATTCAAAATTTGCTTTAATTTGTGTGTGACAATGTTCATTTTTAGAATAATGTTATTTTATTGATTACCAAATACATAATAGGAGTAACATTAAAGGGACACTGTCAAAAGCTATAAATACCTTATTCACTAAATTGATATGAACAAATGTTTCTAGAATTTGTTTTTTTTTAAACGATCTGAATTTTCATTGTACAATTACAAACTCAAGAGGCAAAGCAAAACTGACCTATTTTCATTGTCCATTCTGAAATGCAAAAGAAGTAATCACAGCAATAAATTTAAATCAGCAATTTTAAAATAATATGAATCAGTGTCCTTTTAATAATAATAATAAAAAAGGCACTTAAGTCAAGTCATTATGATATAATTATAACAAAGCAGACAAAAGAGCTGATTGAACAAAACCCCCAGAAACTCAATAGCACAACAGCTCTAGATCACTTAAAAATGCTCTTTCGGAAGGGACAGGACCAAAGCTAAAAGATACCCCATTAAACCCAAGAGCAAAAATAAACAAAGGAAAACAAAGTTATCCTATAGAATAACAACAACAACAACAAAAAGCATTTAAACCTGTATAATTGGCATTACTTTGTAATCATGCAGGTAAATAATTATCCAAATTTCACATTCCTATTTTTTAATTTCTAAGAAATCATGCTATGAGGTTATTGTAAGAGAAATTTTACTTGCTGCTGATAACTCTGAATAAAGCTTATCCAACAGGGAGAATTTAAGAGATGTGAATACAACATAAAACTTTGCCTAAAGAAACCATGCATTGAGACTGTATACTGAGGATTAGAATCTATCATTAGAAGCTCTGAGTTAATGAATATCTTGTGATGTTTATCTTGTGGCGATGATCTGGGAGACCACATAGTGCTATATGAATACAATTAATCCATGAATAATTAAAAACTATCTACATTATACACACTAGTTGCACTGTAAGTGGTTAAGGAAAGATTAAGATAGCTTTTGCCCAGAAAAACGACTCTGAAATAACAAAATTTTAAAACTATCTAAAAATTCACAAAGGGCTTGAAGTAGCTTTACATAAAAGACAAATTCAATTGGTCTTGCTCTAGTAAGAATTCTGAAGCTGCACCAGTGAACCTGATGCAAATTCTTTCCATCTCATAAATGAAGATATTATTACTGGTTTAGTTATACTATAGCGACCTTTCTAAGAAATATCCAATTTATTTCATCATGCTGGAATTTTATTATAATTTAATACAATTAAGGCTCTAGAACTTGGAGAATTTGTTTTTAGTATCCATGAATATTCATTACAATAGCATTTATTATACTGCAATTTAGCGCTATCCAAGAAACAGTAAAACCCCTACAGAGAGTTATGGATACACATAATAACTACAGGCTAGAGAAATACTCACTCAATGGACATGTAATATACTAGCCTTGAGTACCTTTGGTTCGTGTTCTTTAAACTGAGGACTTCTAGATCATGCTAGATATGTGAGGCTACACAGGAATAGTTATGTGCCATTTTAAGTTTAGGAAAATTCCTGTTAAGGGACAGAATGACTCTAGAATAGTCCCAGGACTTGTAGACTGTACAAGAGAAGACCCCAATCCACAAGCACACTCCAAAATCACTGTAAAATCTCTCTCTGCACGCCCAGTCTGGCATCCCTCTAACAAGAAGGGAAGAGATCCCAAAGCGGCTCCTCTCACAGTCTAAAATTATGGGCAAGGTACACTGCCATTTAGTAGGTCTTGTGTAAATGACAGCTAATTGCTCTCCCACTGCCTCATGTATGTGTACACACTATGGTAAAAAGTGGAAAAATTCTTTTCACAATAAGCCACATACAATAATATAGATATATTTAATATATGATCTCTTATGAAAGGGATTGATGAACAACTCTTTTAAAGTAAAGACCAGCTATGTTGTCAGGTCTTTATAAAATAAAGTTAAAATTGCAGTTAAATATTAAGCAACCTTTTTTTCAATCCTGCTTTATTGCTATAGTGTCTATAAGAGCAATCTAGAAAACTACACATTATTTATTCTTCTATTGAAGACACCGTATTACAAGCTTTAAAAGCCCATGTTCACAGCACACTTAAAATAACCCTGAGAAAGTAATTTAATATCGGAAACTCAGCTTCCACATACGTAAAATGGAGCTTCATGATAACTAAAATTAATTCTATCCTGGAGTGGTGGAGGAGGAAGTGCTTTGCAAACCCAAAGTTCTAAAAAATTTTGATCTTTTATTAAAGCTGTTAAGAGGTGATGTGATATCACTAGTGGATAAAGAGCTGGCCTCAAAGTCAGAAAGACTGGGTACAAAGGCCCATCTCTGACAGAAACCTGGAAGGAATAAATTGGCTTCACTGCCCACAAGCAATTCTACAAGACTAAATGGCAGAGTTAATAGCTGATTTTCATTAGTAAAGACTTTACCCACTGGGCTTTCCCTAATGAAGTCATGATCTCTTCCCTCACACCTTCCTATGCCCCAGATAAACAGAATCAGCAAAACACTGGCCATAAAAATATTACTGAAAGGGGCAGCTAGGTGGCACAGTAGATAGAGCTCTGTCCTTGGAGTCAGGCGGATCTGTTTCAAATCTGGCCTCAGATACTTGACATTTACTAGATGTGTGACTCTGGGCAAGTCACTTAACCTCGGCTGCCTCACCAAAAAGAAAAAAAAAATAATACTGAAAAGGGCATTCTGACATGCTTTTAAAGAAATACTCTCAATAGAGCTATAAATGTGGGCACAGTCAGTGTCAAAAGAGGTGCTAGATTTATAGTCTTAACGCACCATTCATGTAAGATAGGGAAGAAAAAAACAAGATAAAATTTTGCTACCTACAGTAAAAGTGTACAGTGTTTCACATGATTAGGAGTAAACATGAATAACTTAGCCATCTGCTGTGATTAATATCCAATATTTAAAAGGAGTCAATATTTTCTTATTACCCATATCAAAATCTGCTAGCTTTATATTTTCTTGTTCATTTTTTTTCTTTCTTTTTTTTTTTTAAAGGCAATTGGGGTTAAGTGACTTGCCCAGGGTCACACAGCTAGTAAGTGTCAAGTGTTTGGTCTGAAGCTGGATTTGAACTCAGGTTCTCCTGACTTCAGGGCTGGTGCTCTATCCACTGTGCCACCTAGCTGCCCCCACCTAGCTTTATAAATAAGCTGATCTGCCTATTGTATATGTCCCAGAGGTTTTAAATCATGTCTCTGTGATCAGACAGAAAAAGCCTAAATTTCTCCTATGTAAAATGACAGTGTATTACAAAATCTAACCAACATTACTTTGGATTATTATTTGGATAAATCCTCTTCAAATGTGGTTTAGTATGATATAGGAATAAGAACGGTGGCTTCAACCAGAGTGTGCCCAGCCTCCAATTCTGGCTCTGATATAAATGGGGAAACCACTTCAATTCTCTGGGCCTCAGCTCCTTACCTATAAAAGCTCTACACCTATCACTAGATCATGTCGGAGGTCCTTCACACAATAAATCCTATGGGCCTGGGAGGTCAGTCTTATTTGTGCGAATAACAATAACTAGTTATCTCTTAGCATAGCCAATGTCAAGTATCCAGAATAAGTGAACTAAACCTTTAACAAAATCTGTTCACTCTCTGCAGTTAGAAGCTAATTATTGTACTTTACCAAGGGGAAAAATTAGATAACACAACCTCAAGAAATGTGAATTTTGGACAATAAGTTAAGAACACTGAAAGCAAAAGAAAGCAAAACAAGTTATTTCATCCACTGCTAGTTAGAAAGAGGCTATAAGGAAGAAAACACAAAAGAAACCACATTCCACTAACAAGAAGCCAATAATAATTAATAGTAAAAATGATAATAATGATAATAATGAAAAACAAAGCGGTAAAGCTGCAAGAGTCACTGATGGCCAATCACCTGCGATTTTCATCCAGCACATCCAAGACCTGCTGGTAAGCCCTACGAGTAGAAGACTGGATAAACGACAAAATGCCCCGAGCAGAGTAAAGATTAGATCCATCTTCGGGTAACATATGGGGAGGACAGACACGGGCCTGCTGTTGGGATGGTGTCACACTGTTTATGCAAGCACAGCAAATGAAGAGAAAAATACTGGAGTCAGATTTTAACAAAACTTTGGTTAAATATCTTCCCCAAACATTTATACTTCATTTTCTTTCCCTTTTCCCACCCTCCATTTTCAGCAGATAAAAAACACTGTCAACTCAAAAAAGTTAATAAGATAACATATTTCACTTAAGAAAAAAATTTCAACACTAGATGGTAAACAAGAACGGTAGTTTTTGTACCAAAATATGAAAAGTAATCTACCTGCACTAATATGAAACAGCATAAAAGGGCAGAGATCAGTTCTAATGGGGCTGTCTCCCTGCCTTAGAGACATTTTCAGTTTACCCAGTATTCAGCCTGAGGTAAACACATGTCTAAGCAAGTGAACTGTATACCTCCATGATAATTAGAATACTCATAAAGAATTAATATGCAGATGTCAAAGTTCAAGCACATGAATGAATATCACAAGTCCATACAATAACATGTTGATTCATGAACCTTCCATTTAAAGAGAAAGGAAACTATTAACTCAATTGGAAATCATTTTTTGGGAAATCAATTTTTAAAAAACAAAAAGATAAAAATAAATGTCTAAGTCCTGTAAAACTGTAGAGAAGCATTGTGATTACTCATCTGTTCACACTCAATCAAATTTGAGAAAGAAATCAGAACTTTTTTTTTTTAAGAAGGCAGCACTGCCTAATTTTTGGAGGCAAAGAACACTTTTAAAATTAGGGAGACAATGGTCCATTACTACTTTTGAGTGAGAGTACTCTGAATCTTTTACTCATATTTAGCCTGAGATTTACTTTCTTTGGCTCCATCTCCAAAGCTTCCTAAAAGCTGAGCACATTTGAACAAATCTATTTTATTTGGTTACCTGCCAAATAAAGTCTTCTTAAGATTAGAAAGGGCTTTTTGGTAACCTTAATAGTCGTGGAAGATGTTCAGTTCAGTATTAGGTACTGGAACAGTACGCAGATATGGCACCCCATTGCCTGGGCCAGTTACTCATGACTACGTAAAAGTAGAATTATGACACCCAAGAGAAGTGAATATTACACATTCTGCCTTTGTGACAAGGTCAGTATACATGATGAATTCTATCTTTGTGTGCTGGGGTCAAAGAATGATGACTGGACCCAGGCCAATGATACCATTTAGCAATGGGCCAAGTAAAATGAAGATGTTTTGTTTATTTTGGCTTATGTGAGACTTCTGGATGTGACTGGAGTTTCTTATGAAGTTGCCAAGATGCGTCAGGTAATTATGGAGAAAACAAGATTTTGGAGTCTCATGATACCAAACTTATAGAAACTCTTTGAAGAATTTTTGACTATTTCAGATGCTAATTACAAAGTATTAATATTGTATTAAGCATGAAACCATTTTTTCCTAGTTATTTACACTAGAAGAGACTGAGTCAAATGTTGTCAGGGTTAAAAGTTAAATTCTGATATTTGTGTTTCAAAACTCCAACAATTTAGAAAATCTATGTTAGAGCCAAGGCCAAAGTTAAAAAATGTCAGGGTACCATCACCTTACTGGTAGCTGTCCTAAATTTTTGTCTTGCGAATTGGAAATCTGTTCCCTTGAGTCTAAATCCTGACTTGTTCAAGTGCTGAGATTCAGTCTGTCGATTTGCCCATTCTAAGAACGTGTTTGCATGATGATAGATGATATATGGCAAAAGCCATCCTGAATTGTAGGATAGAACTGAGTTCACTCTCTGTGACAGTCTATAAACTGACTGAGAAAGGTAAGAGCTGAAGATCCAGAGGCAAAATGCCCTGTGAGGCAACCAACAACGGTTTTGGAATTTACTCTTTTTAGGTAGAATGGGGAATGCCTGAAGATCTAACAGTGGACAACCTGGTTGTGAGTTCACAGTAGAGGAATGCCACTGGAACCTGGAGGCAATGGGAGAAAATAAAACATAATCTGAAACAAATCATCCATCTCATACCCTCCAAGTCACTGAAAAGTCTGTCGAGCAGCTAGACAATTCAATAGTTACTCAAACAATTCTGTAGCACCAGCCAGGGACAATGATCAGTGTCTGCACTGAAGGCTATGATTTTTTGCCTAATACTTTTCTAAACATTAAGTTACTTCCCTGAGTAAGATACATAAATTCTTATTTACATAGCAATAGAAATATTTGTATTTGTAGATATGTCTATATCTGTGTGTACATATATACACATAATATTAATTTAGTATTAAAAGTTTAAATCATTTTGTGTACATGATGTCCAAGAACATAATGATAAAAAGTGAAGATAAGCTGAACCTTTGACCCTGACAGCATGTTATATATGTTTTTGGTCCTTTAGAATTTAATGGTCCCTAAACAGTTAAGTGAAAATCATCTCCTGCTAGATAAATCTTGTGTCACTACTGTCAATAAAGAAACGTTTATTTAAGTTGTGAACATTTAGGGTTTCCTGGATTATAATACAGTAAAATGAGAAAAAGTTCTAAAAGTAAAACTTGGGAGACAATATTTAGGGATGAGAGATGAAGGCTACTATCTTTATCAGTGATAGTAAGAATACCCTCGCTACCTTTTCTTACCACATTATCGATAACATACTCAGCTATTTTGTTATTTCTCAATGGGAACCAGAGAGAATGTTTAAGATCCACAGGGATAAGGACTAGACCTGTGATTAATAAATACATCAGGAAAGGGAACACACTCCACCAAGGCAGGTCAGCACCTTCTTTCCAACATCTCATCTTAAAAAGCTGCCTGGAGCACTGAGAAGTTTAGTGACTTGCCCACGATCCCACAACCACTACACGTATGTTGGAGGCAGATTTGGAGTTCAGGCCTTCTTTTCTCCAAGGCCAGCTATTTACTAGCTCATGTTGCCAAAAATGTATGACTTTTAATTTCATTTAAAATGAAAGCGTCTAGTTGTCTTGTCTTCCATTCAAGTATATTATAGTACCTGATAAACTGAAAATCAACAACTGCAAATCCAAAAAACAGGAAGTCATGTCATGTCAAGTGTCACTGCTAAGAGGGGTCTTTGCAAGTTAAAAGATCATGACTGTTCTAGTCATAAGTGCATTTACTTTTTGGAAGCCAATTGAAGAATTGAGAGAAGAAGATCTTTATCTTAAAAAATCACTGCCCTAAGAACATTCATTCTTCCCTACATATTCCCTTCGAGAAAAATTTTTTAGTTTTGAACTTCAAGAATCGACTCCATTTCACAAATAACAAAGAAATTCAGGGGCAAATAAAGTGAACCAAATATTAGTGCATGAGGTATCAGAATTAGAAGGGCCATCAGTGAAATTACACTTGGTCAGTGAAAAATTTCTGTTGGCATTCCAGACATTTTCTGCTACCCCCCAAAAAAAAACCAACCCTACCCCCCCCCCCCACAAAACAGATACTCTTTAAAAAACAGGTTAAAAAACCAAACCAAAACATTTCATAACAGAAGCAGTAGAAACGTTATCACTCAGATGTTACCCTATAAACAAAGCAGAGCATACTATACCACTGAAAGACGCCATTAACTTCAAACTAATGTTTAGCAACATTCCACCATGGCAAAAATTTTATTTAAATTTGCCAGTTAGAAAGCCTATAAAGTATTTAGGATGGTGTCAATCATGTTATTTTATTGGTACTCTCTACTTCAGCCTTGCATAATAATCTATTACACACGTATTAGCTAAATAATGTTAGAAGATATGAGCAGAACTAGATTAATCCGATTTTATTTGGCATCAATATGTATATGTTCATCACTAAAAAATTAGTCTAAAGTTGATTGCCTTTTTCCCCAAGGATTTCTATGGGAAATGGTGTTTCTCAAACTGTGAAATTAAACCTCTTTGGTGAGATGCTGGCCTTTTTCAAGAAAAAAAAAAGGGAAAATATTCATATTTTCACATAAATGATAAATTTCCTTGTTAATTCTCAAGTTGTAAATAACACAATACTCTTTTCAGCCCTATCTCGGGTAAAACAATTGATTCTCAGAACTTCATTTAAAAGAAACCAGCAGGCCAATTTGTAAAAAACAAAATAAAAGAAAATGCCACCCTCACTCACCCATGATGCTGTCACCTGCTTCTCCAGCCACTGAAGAACACAACAGTTCTTCAGTCCTCAGGTATCAAGCAATGACAGGTGCTGTGCATTAGATTCTAGGTCAATGATGCTCAACCACATAGGGGTGTGTAATTCTTTCAAAGAATCATGAAATTAAAAAAAAATTCCAAAACAAATCTTAGTTTTGGTTCAGTCAGATGTTAAAAGATTTGCCAAATAGTACTTTAACGAGGCTGTAACTCCAATAAAACCAAGAATCACTGCTCTGGGTTAATTTTAGTTCGGAACTCATGTGCCAGTATGAAATATATCAAGGAAATAATGTTTAAATCATCCCATTTTCCTTCTTTTTGAATATATATGTGTATACACACATATATTTGTACATATGTGTATATATGTATGTATGTACGTACGTATGCATGTGTGTGTTTGTATACACACACATCTTTCAAATGGTCTGGTGACATAGTTTGAGAAACCCTTAATGGAGGAATTGTATTCCAGAGCCAAGCAGTAAGAGAATTAAGGCATTATGTGCTGATTATTTTGTAAAACAAATTAGTATTACAAACCTATAGAATTAAAACATTTCCTACTTGCAAAGAGCAGATCAGATAAAATCTTACATGTATTCCAGGGCTGAAAGCGATGACTGGAACCTTGAAATTTTATTTCTTGGGGCAGAATCTGATCTGAGCCACCTTAAATAATAATTATGCTTCTTTTACATATTCATCTTTGTAACACACCAAAAAAACTAAAAATCAATACCCCTGGTTCAGAATCCACATTTATGTTGATGTACTTCCTATTGTCTCTTAAAAGTAACATAAGAATTTGGCCTTGAAAGAAGTGTCAGCCATCCTGCTCATTCTACTCCCATTCTTAATGATGCCAAGGGGATGGACGAGAGGGGGAGAATAATATAAATGGAGACAAAAGATAAAGACACAACTATGTATATTTTCATTTTGTGAGGAAAAACCAAAGTTACATAAGATATTAAGAGTTTAATAATTTGGAAGAGGCAAATGAGTTTTATCCTGTCCCTGTTCCTACCTCATCATATTATTAACACTGCACACATATAGTACTTATCACACAAAATGCCAGTGAGTATTTATTTACATGCAAACATTTATTCTAACATTTATGTAATACCATGAAGTTGTGATAAACTGTAATGAAAACAATTTTAAATGATATATTTATGCTAAGCGTAAGATTAAAAATGTCATCATATTCAAAATACATTAGGAATGATACCAGGAAAGAAACTGCAAGTTCTATTGCCATTAGCATAAGAAAATATTGGGGTTAATAAAAATACTTTGCTGTTAAAAAGACAAAGCTGAAAACTTCTAAGTTTGAAAATGTGTAACTGTGATTTGAAGTCTTATTTGTTTTAATATATAGAGTTTTAAGACTACAAAAATAAAAAATTAAAATACAAGGGAACAAAAATAATATCAAGTTAACTGTTCTAAGAGACAATAGGCTATTAAAGACAACTAAAACAATGAAAAGACATAACAGCGTTAATCGTTTGTCTACTATGAGAACTATACTATGTAATAATAATATTAAGATCTGGGAGAAAACAAATGACTCATCACCTCAACCACACTTTAAACAGAATGGTCCACAATATGCAGTTATTCCTTTCCTTTTTTTTTTTCTCCAAACAATTATTTAGCTATGTATGATGAAATTTAAATGATTGAAATAGATAAGTTTTGCAACTGTTTGCTTTTTTTGGTCTGCAATGAAAAGTGTCAAGCAATAAAGGGTTTATAAAAAATATGGCTTACGTTATGTTACAGAGTTTACTAAAAATTCTTTGTACCCTTTTGTGAAGTTTTTGAAAAAGTAGTAACTCAGGTCCTTGGTTCAGCTATTTTTGTAGGGCATAAAAATTAATTATATTAACCAGACTGCCAAATTGCATAGCTATTCTCATATTTTCGTAAAGTATTTGGAATCCTTGAATATGGCTTGTGTAAATCCTTTGGTCTACATAGAAAACCTTTCTGTATCTTGCCTGATCTGCTATAACCTCTATTTATAAATGATGGTGGATAAATCATCTCTTCTTTTCCATTTAGTCTTTCCCAAAGGATAAAAAGACCACACACATTAAAGGGAGTAAATTTAGCAAAGAAATGTTGATGGTTGCTTCCCTGCCTTTCCTTAAACAAAAGGACACAATTTCATCAAAGCAAATGAACATTTGGCTTCAAAATTTAATTGAAACTTCAGGTAACTTGCCCATGAGAATTCTGTCTAATGTGAGGTAAAAATATATTAAAAACAACCAAGCCATATTACTGCTGAAGACTCCTTTCCTATATAAAGTCCACCCTACCCTACTTCTCTGCATTCTTAGACTGGCTTGTACACCACACACTGGCACTCAACCACCTTTTGCCTTGTACAATTCTTGAGTAGTTAGATGCCATCTTCTTAATGAAATGGAAAACTTTACCATGGGAGCTGTATCTGCCACAGTACTAACAAGGAACATCTTTTGCAGATAATAATTTTTTTAATTTAAAAAATAAGTGAGGAAGAAATGGTAATTATTTCCTCCCAAAACACCAATCCTATAAAAAAACAAAAAGAATCCTTAAAAACCTTGGTATTTAATTATTTTTAAAGGTGTAAAAGGTTTTTTATTTCATAAAAATTCTATTGAGTGAATTTCTACTTTAAGATATCTAAAAATAGAGAAAAGAAATCAGGTTGTGATCTCACCAAATCAGAAAGCAAAATGGAAAAAAACAAAAACAAAATTAAAATTATTTAAAGATTATGATTCTATTTTTTTGTAACTGCATGTGTCCTCAAGCCCTAAGGAACCACATGTAAGACAGATAGTGTTAATTACATTGTGTGGGTAAAGATATTTACTTTCCAATCTGGTTTTGCTTACCACAGCTCATTTAGACTCAAAACCCTTAAAGAGATCGCATACACATTAAATTTGAAACTAGGGAAATTCTTTGCTGAGCTTCACCACTTTTTAGCTTTTAAAAACACAATGTGCTGGATAAAAATCTCTCAGAACTAGTTAAATGAATTAAAAAGGCTCATCAGTTTAAGTTATACTTTGCAGGTGACCCCCAAATGAGCAAATCACACACAAACAGAAATAAAGATATTACAATATACATAAAATATCAACAGGATGATATTACTGAAAATGCTTTCAACTAACATTTGGCTACACAAAGTAAAGGCTGAAACCAGAACTAACCTCACACTGTGGGTCGCTATTAGAAACAAGTGTTGAAGAAAGGTAAATGGGAGAGAATGGAGAGACAGCTGTCATTGTGGGGCAGCAGCTTGAACGGGTTGAGGTGTTTGGGGATGGGGTGCTACTCACATGGAATCATTTCTGACCAATTGTCCATTTTGTCGTACAGCATTTTCACTCATAGACCTCTCCCTTTTCAGCCTGCCAGCTGTACGGACTTGCTAAAGAACAAAAAGAGAAGGGGTAAAGGGGAGGATTGAGGGAGAAAAACATATTTTTGGTGAGTATACCATAATTTTGTTGTTTCTCAAAATAAAAACCTCTTAGCCTAATTCCAGAAAGCACCTAATTATTTAGAAAAGATTATAATCAAAGAAAGACAACTCAAGGTGTTTGCAAAGCAACAAATAATGATGAGTAAGAAGATACAAAAATCTAAACTTACAAAGCCAAAGATGAGGGGGAGATCATTCACTTTACAGAAAGATCCATCGCACATTTACTTCAAAAGGCCATCTTACACAATATAACTGAAATTGTTCCATTCGTGTAAATTCATTTAACAGGAACTTTTCAGGAAGTCATGTGTACACTGGGATTATGAATAAATGGTTTTATTTTGAAGACAAAGGCAGAAATTAAAAGTTGGCTAAGTCTCAGTATAGTTTTGGAAACTGAACTCCAAATAGGTCTCTGTTTCCTAGTGTTTATCCAGGAAATTAATGAAGTCCCCAGTTGGAACAGATGTAATTAAGACATCTATTTTAATTGTTGGGAGAAATAAAGGTAACAAAAATTGGTCTTTAAAACTTCAAATTTAGCTTACTCCATCAAAATGTCAATGAAGCGAGTCACCTAAAAGGACTTGAAATGAACAATTATCTTTTCAGAGTTGTCACAATTAACATTAATGGACATTTAAGCAAAAGAAAAAACCTGGGAGCTAGGGTGTCAAGGACAGTTAATTTCAAAGTAGGAGACAAATATTAAATAAATATTGTATTAAGTACAACTGTATTAAATACAGTATTAAATAAAACTTTTGTGGTGTTAGATTAGTCAAACATTCTCTCCTAGTTTCTTTTTAGGCTAAACATCTGGTCTAGGTAGAATAATTATTTTTCTGAAATGACAATTTTGCTTTTAACACATCAGGTTTTAATTTGGTCAAAGATAAGAAAAAATTTTTGATTTAGCAAAATACCAGGGAATGTGGAGACAAAGACCCCAAATCTGAGCTAAATATAAAATGATTAAAAAATTTTTTTCACTACATATCAGACTTAGTCACTTACCTTACATGTCTTAAGGACTCATGAAACAGACAAATTCAGGAATATTAAACTCTCTTTATATTTTCCCAGTTTGCATGGTACTGAGTTAGTTTGACATTGAAGGTCCTTGTTAGTCCTAATTGCTACAGGGCTCCTTTAAAAGAATTGCTATCCCTAAGGGATTTTTCAAATAAATTTTCTTAAATCTAATGGAAACAGGAGAAATGTGGGTTTAAGCAGGATGGGTAGGGAATGTCAGCTAAGCTAAAGACACATGTGATTTTAATATGGCCAGACAAGACAGTAAAATCCCAAGTCTACTGCTGTTTTCACTAGTGTAGGAAAAATTTTAGAAATCAAATCTGCACTTGAGTATATTTCATATTAAATTTGCCATCTTTACCATCTATGATTGATCATAAGGTCAACTTGCGATGTATTTTTTTCACAAATGAATAGTTCCACAGGCATTCTGGTAGTCTTCCATAACTTCTAATCATATAAGCAGCTCCTATTACTTTCCAATAAAATTTAAGACACAAAAGCCATCACTGGTAAAAGCTATTTGCTACTAGGCACTTTACTAGGATCTTTAAAAGTTTAAGGGGGAAATAAAATGCTAATGCGTACACCAAAATAATGTGGAATCCAATGTATGATAAATGTAGGTAGAAACAGAAGTAACCAGCAGAACCACTGCTAAAAGTGTGACTATCTACATCTTTCATGACATCTGCGTGCTGATCATGCTTGTTCCTTCCAATCACCATATGTGCTTGAAGTGTAAAGGCCATGCTGAGAAAGCAGAAACTATGGGGAACATCAAAGGGGAGGGGAGTTCACTAGAGGCAGAAAGTCTATTGTAAAGCAAGCAACTCACTGGCAAAGCCAAAAGTTGAACTGAGATTTCTAATTCCTGCACTGGTCCATATTAGGCTATTTTGTCCACAGGTACAAAATATCTCCTTGGAAGAGGATGATGTCAAGAGGATGAATTAAATGGTTTGCTCTATACTATTTCAACCTTATCTATTACACCTACTTTTGAAAGCAGAAAACTGATCCCAATGGTGCTTTCACAACCACAACCACCACCACCACCACCACCACCACCACCACCAACCTCATTACAGGGAAATTATGTTACTAAATTATTTTTTCTCATCTAAAAGATGATTACTGGCTTCCCCCTTGCCTCCCATTCCCCTACCTCACCTTTGCTGTTGGACACAACAATGAAATGTCATAATAGCCTACCACCACTATTTTATAACTCTTGATTCTCAAAGTCCTCACATTTTAACCCACCTGACGGCTGGGTTCTTCCTCCGAATGTGACTTTTCCTGAAAGGTAAAGTGTTTAGATTTAAGAAGCATCAGTATTATGCTCTATAGGTTTGCATCTATGTCAGAGTACAGTATAATGTTCTGTGTAGTGACTAAAGGTCATGAGGATGATAGTCTGATTTGAATCATTGTTTCTTAACCACATCCCCAACCCAATACCCTTTTTGTTTTGTTACAAGAAGTCTGAATTTTGAGAAAAAACTACTTACATCTTCATTCTGAGGGGTTGGAGGGATGGGCCTTTCCAAGTCCAGAAAATCAAGCGGTCTCTCACTTAGTGTGAGAACACGGGGAGGTGTTTTTAATGCCAAGGGTTTGAAGGGTGTTGATTGGATAAGGTCAAGGTCTGCTGGTCTTGAAAATGAAATGTCTTCATTATTACCTGGAAGAACATGTTGTAAAATAATCTTTTCACTAAAACATACTAGTTGGAAAATCTCATCATCTTACAAAATCTCATTAACCTCCTCACTCTGCACCATCACTCTCCTTGGCCTCTCTGATTGGAGGGTAAGGCCTTAACTCTGAGCCTCCATTTATGGAGAAAGCCCAGCTCAGTCACCTCCTCATTTCTCACCTGGTTGCACTGCTCAGGAACTTAACCAGCCTTGCTCCTACTTCCTGTAAGGAATGCTCCCCCTCTCTCTTCCCCAGCTTTTCAACTTCCTTTTCTGTCTGGCCTTCCCTTATTATACTGGAAGCTCTTTGAGGGCAGGGACTGTCTTTTTTTCCCCCTTAAGCACATATTAGGTGCTTAATATATGTTTACTGACTCTTGACTAGTCTCTCTATGTGTTCTGAATACAAAATACAAAAACCAGTAGTATCCTTGTCTTCTAAACAAAATCGATTTAGTCCTTTACAGTTTGTTACTTTGACTCCTAAGTAACAATGCAGATGTCACCGTGATCTAGGTTTTTCTTAATGGTTTTACTTAAAATTCTACAGCAATCATAATTGGATTTTAAAATTATAATCAACTGATCATTAAAATCAGTAATCTTAATAGAATCATATGCAAATTTATTTTACTAATAAAAATCAATAAATTTAAAATGAATAAATATTAATAAAAGTCAGATTTAATGGAATAGAAAAAATTTATATTCTAATATAAGAAAAATTTAAGAAATGAGCAAATAAAAGTTCTAATTCAGAACCATTATGCTAACCCTATATGCAACAAAACATATAATACTTGTTTTTAAAAGATGATCAATTCTCATGCTTAGCTGGGAAGTCCAACAGAAAAGATGAATATAGGTGTGTGTGCGTATAGTTTCTTATTAAATTATTAATAATTTGAATACATTAAATATTTTAAAATTTAAATAAATTAATATGTTTAATGCAATTAACCTGTACTTGTCAAGTGCATCTCCCTATCATGTTGCTTTTATTACTACCAGCTCTCCTGTTGCATGATTTCAAATAAAGGAAGTGAACATAGTACATAGCTGAATAGTATTTATTACTGATGCCAAGCTCTTTGGTGTTATACTCTTGTGGGCAGGCTCAAGAATTTCCTTTTTTTAATATGTTTGCTACCAATATTTAGAACTATGCACAAAGGGCTATAAAACTGTGAATAACCTTTGATCCAGCAATACTACTGCTAGGTCTATATCCCAAAGACATTAAAAAGAAAAAAGGAAAAGGCTCTGTTTGTACAAAATATTTACAGCAGCTCTTTTTGTGGTGGCCAAGAATTGGAAATCGAGAGGATGCCCATCAACTGGGGAATGGCTAAATAAGCTATGGTATATAATTATGATGGAATATTACCGTACTATAAGAAATGACAAGCGGGATTTCAGAAAATTCTTGAAAGACTTACAAGAACTGATGCAAACTGAAGTGAGCAGAACCAGGTGAATATCGTACACAGTAACAACAATACTGTTTGATGAAGAACCACGAATGACTTAGCTATTCCTAGCAATACAATGATCCAAGACAATCCCAAAGGACTAACGATGAATCATACTATCTGCCTCCAGAGAAAGAACTGATATTATCTGAATACAGACTGAAGCATGTTATTTTCACATTCTTTTATTCATTTTTAAGTCTTCTTGCACAAAATGACTAATATGAAAATGTTTTATATGATTGCACATGTATCACCTTGTTCACCCTCTCAGGGAGAACGGAGGGATAGAATTTGGAACACAAAACACCAAATGTTAAAAAATTGTTTTAACATGTAACTGACTCACCATCAATACAAGGAGAGGTGCATGGTCTGGCCTACTCATGCTGATTCAGTACAACATTCTTCATATATAAAGGAGAGTAATTATTCTTAGAATGCAGTGAAACCACATGTACTGCCGGCACAGAGGCAGCTATGGAGTACAATAGATACAGCGATGGATCTGGAGTCAGACATTCACCAGCTGAGTGACCCAGGGTAAACCAATTAACCTCTGTCTGCCTCAGTTTCCTGATCTATAAAATGGAGATACTGGCATCTACCTCCCATGGCTGTTATGAGGATCAAATAACTTACATGTGAGGCACCTTGCAAACCTTAAAGTACTATCCAAATACTAACTATTATTAGCTGCTCGCTATTATTTACTTCCAGGATGAGAAGCAGGCTCAGATATTAGGTGGAGAGCTAGAAGGGACCAAAGAAACAATCGATTCCAGTCCTCTCATTTTACAGGTTAGCCAACCCAGGTTCAGAGAGGTTACGGAACTTGCTTAAGGTAACACAGGTAGGAAATCAATCGAGAGAAAATTTGAACCCCTGACTCCAGGGCTCAAGTCCCTACTCACTTACCCTGCACAAGGCACTTACTTTATTAGGCACTGGTGGCACAGAAAAGAAGCAAAGGGTCTAGAACTGAAAAAGGGCATAGTTTTGATTTGAAGAGGAGAAACTTGGGAAGATTTGAGCAAGGCCCTCTAAGGAAGAAGTGAACTGAAGTGAACTGAAGCTGCGTGAGAAAAACTCGAGGAAGAAGAGAATGGCTTAAGGTAAACTGAGGAAACAAGTACCTGAGATGGTAAGCAGTTAAGGAGAAAAAGGGAAGGATTATAGAATCACAGATCTAGAGTTGAAAGGAATCTCAGATGGCACCTAGTCCAACCCCCTTGTTCTATAAGTCAGCATCCTTTCCACTAGATTTTTGTGGGTCTTAAGATACAAAGCAAGAGGAGAGAGTGACAGCCTTTTTCCAACATTTGTCTTGGCAAACTACTAGCAAGAGAGCCAAGGCCTGAGGATCCCTCTGAGTGAGCTTTCTAATGGTCTCCTGGAGGAGGAAGAAAAGGAGCAGGAGAAACCGTTCTCTGTTCTACAGGTTACTGGGGAGAATCTATGCATCCCTTTTTAAAAAAATGGAAGCAGAATTTCAGTATGAAAATTAAAAGAATCTGAGCAGGAACTGGGGAACCCTGACTTGTGTCAGGAGGCTGGAAAGAACACAAAAGAGAAAGGAAAGAACCACCACTGAACCGTGGAGTTAAGAAACAGACACAATAAGGCTCTTTTACTTCACTTTCAAGTCAGGGAGATGCAGATACCAGGAGGGAAGAAAATATCCAATGAAGTCTGGAGGATGCTGAGGCCATCCAGTCCAACCCTCTAATTTTAGAGATGAATAAACTAAGGCCAGCAGCAGGGGGAGGGGGGAAAGTGACTTTCTGAAGGTCTCACAGGTAGTAATGAGGTCAAGACAGACTTGGATCTGCACTCTTGTCACTACCCCACTTGTCCCCTTGATAACAACCACAGAGAAACAGGCATGAAGTGACAGAGAAATGACTAACACAGCAAATGGGATGACTACTAGCCACTTCTGGGGATTCCCGCGGGAACAAACTGAATGCAAAGAAGAACCCAAAAACAACCTCAAGAGATTACAAAATCTGGGGCAAGAAAATAAAGACTTTAAGGGAGTATCACTGATTTTTTTTTTCTATCAGTGCTCTGCATTAAGGCAAGGCTTTCAGAAGAGGAAGATTGATTTGGTAAGGAAATAGTTGACTAAGAAAACTGCAATTAGATTTTTAGATTGCAATTTAAAGTACAGGATTAACAGGTTAACAGATACACCTGACAGGCAGATATCTATTACTAGACACATATTCCAAGGAAGTCATTGATGATAAGAAAGTCTCCATATACACCAAAATATTTATAGTAGCACCAGTGTTTAGCACAATGCCTAGCACATGGAAGGCACTTAATAAGAACCAAAGAGATGCCCATCAATTGGGGAAAGGCTAAACAAACTGTGTGGCACATGAATGGAATGAAATGGAATACTGTTGTGCTTTAAGAAATGGAGTTTGTGATGAATACAGAGAAACCTAGGATCTGTATCAACTGATGCAGAGTGAAGTGAGCTGAGCCAAGAAAATATATACAGTGATTAATGTAAATGGAAAGAACTACATACCAAAAAAATCAAAAGCAAATGTGACATAATTATAAAGATGAAGCAGGACTCAAATGAAAAGAGGTAAGAAGGCAGCCCCAATCTATCCCTTCACAGAAATGGGAGCACATTTTTGGACTCTGAATTGATCAGTTATGCTTTGCTTACTTTTTTTTAATCTCCTCTAAAAAATGCCATTTGTCATGTAAGATGACTCTCTTGGAGGGGGAAGGAGAGGGATACTTGGATAACTATGATAATGGAAGAAACAGAAGAAATCAATAAAAACTCATTTTTTTAAAAATTGAATTAGGGTCTCATACACACCAAAACATTCACAGTAGTATTTTCTGTGGTATCTGAGAACTGGAAACTAAATAAATGTCAATCAATTGGAGAACAAGATAGGTGGACATAAAAAAATATTACTGTACTGTAAGACAGAATAAATACGAAGAATTCAGAAAAGCATGGAAAGACATATGAACTGAAGTAGAATCAGGAAGGCAATATACATAGTGACTACAATAATGTAAACTGAAAGAATAAAAAAGAAATTGAATGCTAAGGAGCAACTAATCTTAGACTCAGAAAACAACATGGCCTGAAGACCCATTATTGGTACCCTCTAAAGGTTCTGCCCTGGGACAAAGCTCTAGGCAAATATGCACAAAAAGGGATAAACCCTGCTCTAAAGCTTTTATTCTTCCCCTGTCATATTGCAAATGCCTTTAGCCAAGGTCTATATCTTTTCATGTGTGTTTACCTAGCACAATACCAGTATAGATTTTTTGATGGAAACAACAAGCTCTTCAAAAATTTCTCTGGTAATTTTAAATTTTCACTAACCAGTTTTTCACTTTGAGGAAGTCACTTTACCCCTCCAGAACCTTCCGATCTAACATTCAATTTGAGAAAATAAACCTATTTGTGGAGATGGGGAACAATGGGAATGGAATATTGTATATATTGTCAGACATGGTTGATGTGTTTTTATTTAATTTTGTTATTATTTTAATTTATACATTTTAATATGTGTTTGTTTTGAAGAAATGCTTTTTTCTTTCATTTTTTGTTCTGTTTTGTTTTTGTTTTGTTTTTTTTTTTGCTAGGCTACGGGGTTAAGTGACTTGCCCAGGGTCACACATCTAGTAAGTGTCAAGTGTCTGAGGCTGGATTTGAACTCAGGTCCTCCTGACTCCAGGGCCGGTGCTCTATCCACTACACCACTTAGATGCCCTCTTTTAACACTGCTGTTACAATGGCCTGCTGTGTACATAAGAGAAACATCTGAAAATGGATGCGCTGTTTTAAAAAAAGCACCAAGAAAATTTTTTGTTTTTTAATTAAAGAATATACTTGCTTGGGGTCTTGCAAATCTAATTTAAAAAGCTATTTTAACTTGAAATATAAAAGGAAGATAATTGCTTAGGTATGTTCACCAAGCTAGATATCACAGAGGGTGGTTACAATGTAGGAACACAAGGAGTAGAGATGCCCAGAAGTTCACAATAGACAAAAATCTAAGAAAGGAACTGGTAATAAAATCTATGGCCTCAGAAGTCTGTACACAAATAGACAAAGTATTAGCAACAAACAAGATCAAATAGTAATAACAAGGAGGAAAATCTGATCTCATAAATATAACTGAGATTTGGTGGGATAAGACCTATGACTGAATTATGGCTCTGGAAAGAAGGTTCTGTATATGTTATTCAAAAGAAAGAGGATGAGTAGAAAGGCAGTGAGGGCAAGATAGTATAAGATAAAATCATGTGAAGAAATCCAAAAACCAGCAATATATTAGGAAATATTTGTGTCAAGGTCAATGAAACAAAAACAGAAGCAATATGCTAATTTGAGTATACTATAGACCACCTAGAAATAGTAAATAGATTAGGAACTGGGGAGACAGACCACAAGTCTAATACAAACTCTCACTACAGGAATGACGGGACAGTTCATGTATCTGGATGTTGGTTGAAGCTCTCTTTGACAAAAGCCAACTGGATAACACATTCTTGAACTACAGGGCAAAAATTCTCTTCTGGATGGAATTCTCACTCACAAGAAGGTACTGGTTGCTGGTTTGAAGACAGCTGGAACCTTGGGAGGGAAGTGACTCCATTATAGAATTTGTGACAGAAAAAGTAGAGGAAAACCAGAAACAATCTGTCACCTCTTGTAGATTTGGGAAGGATGGATTTCAGGGTGTCCTGGACTAAAACTGCTCTTTCAGACCTCTCAGGAATAATGAGGCACTCTAGAGATCGACATTCTGAGGAGGAGAAAGCTGTCTAAAAGATATCCAACTTGCATCTTTAAAAGACATAAAATAAGAAACAGATGCAAATGCAAGTAAAGCAGTCCCATAATAAGTGTCAGGGGCGTTGAAGCTCAGGATAAGCTGATATTGGAGAAGAAAGCTAAAAGGGATTTTTACAAAAGTGGTTAAGTAGAAGAGGATGAAAGAAGCAACAGAGTTGGATGGGACAATGGTTGCTGAAAAAAGAAATAAAGAAGGCAGAGCTGCTTCACATTATTTCTGCTTCTGTGTTTTCTGTGAAGGAGAATGATCTCTGAATCAAAAAAGAACGAGCAAAAGTAACAAATTAAGACAGTCCCTTGCTTTCAAGCTCAAACTATAATTGAAGGAAAGGAGCTAGCATACACAAGAGAGTACAGCTATAGAGTAGACAGCAAGGTCCAAGAATCTTTAGGGTGCCTACCATTTTTTTTTTTTTTTTTTGCGAGGCAATTGGGGTTAAGTGACTTGCCCAGGGTCACACAGCTAGCATCAAGACTCTGGTCTAAGACCGGATTTGAACTCAGGTCCTCCTGCTTCCAGGGCCAGTGCTCTATCCACTGAGCCACTAGCTGCCCCGATGCCTACCATCTTTAATTCACTCTAAATCTGAGACAACATAATGTTTCCTGTAAAATACTACTGAATGATCAAGCCACTAGGAGCACAAATTTTTACGCAAAAGAAGAATTTCTAAGACTTCTCCCTAAAAAGTATTTTCTCAAAAATCAAAAATCTTATAAAATGCCTCCTGCAGGGGTGCATGGAAAAGAAGAGGGTCCCATTAGTGAATTTCACAGGAAAACACAAACATACCTGCTATTACAATCCTCTCTGGAACCTGCATTGTGACACTAGCATTTGGGACTCCTTCCTGGAATGCTGGCTCCAAATCAGGAGGTGGGGGAGCGACTTTTAACTTTTCTGGCACCCTCATCCGCTGGCTGATGCCTTCAGTGTATTCCATCTCATACTGAATACGATTTATTTCTGCCATATCAGCTGTGGGAGAAGGAAATGCTGCCCCACTCATCCTAGAAAAAGAACACTTTTTTTAAAGCCAGGAATTAGTGATAAGCCACGTCCCCCTCTTCTGAGTGCAGTTAGTAGATACAAAGAGCACAAAAAAGAGGATTCCTAAAAGGATATTTTAATAATGTGAACATGTACAATATTAAAGTCACAAAAAATGTTTTCCTAATAAAAAGTCACTTGACTTGTTATTAGTGAAAACCTCCAGTTTGGGCCCTAATGTGGAAAAAAGAACAATATGAACATTACAGAAATGTCCCTTCCCCCAGTGCTTTCACTGCATTAACAAAAAACACGCTATTTCAAAAATGTACAACAAAATATGAAACTCCTCCTTCCTTCCCCCCACCCCAGAATCAGTCTCCCCACAGAGGTAGGAGAAACTGCTAGGCTTTTTAAAAGATTAAACTGGAAAACTGCTCTCAGGCATGCACAACACCCTTCTTCAAAGTATTCTCACTTTTGTTTTTTAATCAGTGGAATGATGAAGCTCACAATTATAAAAGAAGGAAAGCATGGTTATTCAAGTTTACTAAAAAGGAAGGTTAAAAAAGCTTGACCCCTAAAAATCATGAAATGCAAGTTCAAACTGGGTCTGCTGAATAAGTAACTTTTGATGTTAATTAAGGTACATAGTATGGTATACCTTCATGTAGAGAGTTTGTGATCAAGGAAATCTTCCAAATTCAAACTCTTTTGAGGGGTTGTGGGTTTTTAAATTTACGTTACATATTACGTGTAGTAAAAAGTACATGACACGCCTTCTGGAATAAAGGCAGAGCAAAATGCTTTGAGTTCATCCTAAATTAGCAAGATATCCATGCTCATAGAGAAATGCAACCGGAATGGGGCAATTGCGGGGGACAAATAAACAATGCCACTATCAGGGTACAGAGACAGCAGCAGCCACACGCAGTCAGACAGCTTTAAAGCCAGTACATCTTCACCCTTACCATGTCGGCTTAACTTCACAGAACTCCACTAACCTTCCTAGAGGGGAGTCACTGCTTGTTCTCTTACTCATTTTGGCAATTGTATGGGCACCTTTACAAGGACTATTCAAACACTGCTACCCTGTAGCTCAGTTTTACTTTGCACAATTCCCCTACAGATCTGATTTTTTTTTTGAAGCTGTACATAAGAGAACGGACACTGCGCTTTCCCAGCTGTAAAACAGAAAGAAGAAATCAGCATTTTAGCAATTCATTTCCACAAGCAATCCAGGAGTTAAAACAAACATAAAGTCTTATTTAGACTCAAACATACCCTGAAGCTTTACCTGAGGGATTTATTTCCAAACTTTTAGTTGCACATCTCAGAGATCATTAAGACAATTTTAAGCAAGTTTACTGTTTTGCAAAGAGGAGAAAGAGAAAAAAAAAATTACACCTTTTATATATCGTACTGTCAATCTAGCTGTTTCTCAAGCCCCCTGGGACCCTCCCAGCCAGCCCTGCCTCCTACTTGATAGGCTCTCCCCAGTTCTACTCTATATCTTCAGGCAGCCCCTCCTTCTTTGTTCAAGCCCGAGTAGGAGGGAGCTCTCCTCCTTTTTCGGATGAAGCCCCCACTTGAAGTGGACTTCAGCCACTTTCTGCCGTGTTCTCCTGAAGCTTGTCTCCCAATCTTCCTCCACTCCCAATCCTGCAGTGCTTCTTTCCCACTGGGTCTCACTCAGCCTTAAAAAACCTTCCCCAGACCCTGTTCCCCTCCTCAAGCAACCTATTTTTCATGGGTTTCATTGCCTAACTCTTACAGAGTGGCCTATCCTCACTGCCTCCTGCCTCCACTAACTCACTCTGTGTTCTCTAGCTCCAGCACTCTACTGAAATTACACTTTCAGAGGTTGGTTATTAATGCTTAAGTCTTCATTGTCAAGGCCAGTGGCTTGCTTTCTCGTCAATCTTAATATTCCTTGTCTCCTCTCTAGTTTTCCTACACTGTTAAAACTGGCCCCTGCCTAGACACCTCCTTGAAACTTCTTTCTCCTGGTTTTCTTCCTACCTGTTTTAATTTTTTTTTTTCAGTCTCTTGGTCCCTTAGTATGGGTCTCTCCCCAGACTACTCCCTTCCCTTTCCCACCTACTCTGTCCCGGGTCCTTTTTCTACTCTTTTATATTCTCTCTTGGTGACCTCATTTGCTCCCAATCTTCCCAAACTGGAGTTTGCTAAGTCCAGTCTATCATCTCTAAAAGCCTGCTAGACACTCTCTACCTGAACTTCCTGAGAGCATTTCAGAATCAACATATCCTTGACAGAACCCCCAAATGTCCCTGTATCTGTTGTATACACAAGCACCCCTCCTAGTCACCAAGGTCTGTAACCTTGCAGTCATTTGTGAACCTTGTCAAATACCTTCCCTTCTGTGTTTGTCCCTGCCTCCTCTGCTCACATTGACACCACCTTAATTCAGGTCTCTATCATGTTTCGTCTCACCTCTGTAAAAGTCTCCTAACCAGTCTTACTGCTTTCACACACTCTCTCTCTGCTCCAATTCATCTAAGTTGTCAAAATAATTTACATTAAGTATAGGTCTGACCATGGCCCACCCTCCTCAGCAAATTCAGTGACTCTCCTGGGCAAACCCCTTGGGGCCGGTCCAGGTCCTCTAGCAATGTGGCACCCACATACTCCCCTCTTCACACATTCTACATTCTAACCAAACTCAACTGCTAACTGTTCCCTGAACTCGATGTATACCTCTGGCCTCGGTATATTTGTATCGGCTTCATCCACCCCCCACTTCTTTCTCACCTAGCCTTTCTTTTCTGTCTTCCTTCAAGGTTCTGCTGAGGAGCCCACATTGCTGTCAAGCCTTCCCTGACTGAGCTGCTAGGGTTCCTGACCATCTCCTTCTTTTCTTGGACTGTCCTGATGGACAGGGCCTGCTTCCTTTTACCTCTGTGTTCTCAGCACCCAGCACAGGACCTGGTCCAGATCTGTGATTTCATCAGTATAGAGAATTCCCCATCTGCAAACTCCCTCTACTGATGCAGACTGACTGTTTCATCTGTAAATCAGAGTCTCAGAGAGTTGCTTGAGATGTTAAGAGGCACGAAGTCTATGCGTCATACAGCTATAGGTGAAACGCAATGGATTCGAGGTAAGCTTTAAAATCACTTCCAAGTCAGCCCTCTATCCAGCATACCACATCCTATACATTAAGGAAACACTTAGCAGATGTGTATGGGTTTAAATGAGAATTCTTTGTTCCCAAAATGATTATGTCCACATTAAAGTTTCAGAAAAGTAGTTATTGTACAGTTTTTTTTGGATTTTTTTGTTTTTGTTTTTGTTTTTTGCTTTCTGGTAAGGCAACTGGGGTTAAGTGACTTGCCCAAGATCACACAGCTAATAAGTTTTAAGTGTCTGAGGTCAGATTTGAACTCTGGTCCTCCTGATTCCAAGGCTGGAGCTCTATCCATTGCACCCCCTAGCTGCCCCTATTGTATAGTTCTAAATTTTTAATTAAAATGCTCTACAAGTAATGTTTCTCATTGAAGTTTTTTAGCATCTGAAAAATCCCTTAACATTCTCCTAGAGAAATATTAGCGATACTAAGGAAAATTCATGAGGCAAAAATTAAAACTCCTTTAAAGAGATTAAATACGTGAGGAAATTAACTGGTTGAAGAGAATTCTAAAGGCATTAAACAACAATAAAAAAAATATTTTACATTGTGCTCTGAAATCAGACATTCTAAGAAGCAGCTTAAAGTAATCTCTTTGGAATTTTCCAAAAACAGTCAAATGAGATTTTCTGAAGACTTTACATATTAAAGTCAATAACAGTGAAACCAGCAAGACCATCTTTTATATTTAAGTCCCAGGGCCAGAAGATGATACAGACATTAAAAAGTTTCTTGCTTTTAAAATGTTTCTCCATTTCTATCTCTGAGATGCTAGGAAAGAGTCTTAGAGTGAAAAAAAAAAATTCAGCTGTTGAGTCTATCTCATTCTCTTCTATTTTCCTTCCCAAAAATGTTTAACATTTCAACACTCAAGATCCAGACAGTCCATGCCAGAGATGTCAAATATGTGTCCAGCCTTGCCAAGGGTGACACTCCCAGGCCATTAGCAGATTGTGATGTAATTGGGAAATACATAACAAAATAAATAAAAACACAGTACAACACAGATAATGTTAAAACGTGGTTTTCTAAGTCAATCTGCAGCCCAGAGTGATCCATTTCTAATTAGTTCGACACCACTGCTCACAGTACTAAGAAACACTGGTTAAAAGGCAAGAGAAGATTTTCTTACTCACAAAAGTATTCCAGCTATGGCTTGCTATATGCACTATCTGCTTCTGCGCTTCATATCAAAGCCTTGAACTTGTTTCAACTAGGACGTGCTGCACTTGTTGCTTCTTTTCCCTAGAAAAACAAAATAGCCAAATTTTACACGACTTCATGCTGTTGACAACCATCCATTTCAATCTAAGGACTTGGAGGTCACTGGAGAAAATGAAAATTTCCAATTGCTCCAAGTCTCAGATTCATCAACAAACAACTTAAATACTTATTAGGTGTCTCTGTGCAAAGCAATATACTAGAGATATAATGACCAAAAAAAAAAAAAAAACTTCCCACTTATTACTACAAAGGGCTCTTTATCTGATAATGAAATACCTCCAAAATGAAGTAAAAGATGAATTCTAAGATTGTTCCTAATGTACTGACAAGAAGTTTATAATCTAAGAAAATACAGCATGCAGACAAAAGTAAGAGTGTAGTGGAGGAGACTAATATTTGTGGGCAAGTGAAGCACAGCAAAAGACTTGTTTTGTTACATTTATCATTCTCAATGTTAAGAACAGCAATGGAATTAAAGTCAAGAGGATTTTCTCTTTGGGACACTTCAATTTGATAAGTTTTATAGAGACAGTATCTCTCACTTAGACTGGGGAAGGAGGAGTCAGCATTAGGAGTGAACATGCAGAGAGCACGTTGGATTACATCTCCAGCCCTCAAGTTCTGCGTCTATAAAATAAGGGGGTTAAATTAAATGATCTCCAAGGTTCCTTCCAGCTTTAAATATTTGACCCTATAATATCTGGCAAATTATGTCTTGCTTTCCATGTCACACTGCTTCCTGACTCCAAAGCCTATTTTTTAAACATAGCTGTTAACAATTATAACTAATAATTAATAAGAAGTCATTAAAATGGCACCTGTCTCCCTCATTAGACTGTGAGTTCCTTGGGAGCAAGAACTGGTTTTTGTCTTTCTTTGTATCCCCAGAGCTTAGCACAGTGCCTAGCACATAGAAGGTGCTTAATAAATGTGTCACGACCAAATGACCAACTTTACAAACACTTCATTTGATTCTTAGCAACCACTAATCCCTATTTTACAGATAAGGAAACTGAGGCTCTGAGGAATCAAATGACTTGTCCAAGATCATACAGCTAGTCTATATTTCATATATAGGACTTGAACCAAGGCCTCTCATTCTCCAAAACCAGCACAAATGACAAACTTCATGGTGAGCATAAGCAGGCTGCAGTCTATTGCTAGCAGTTTCTTCCACAGAAGTGATATAAAAGATCCTCAAGGACACGTATGACTGGCAAAGGAAGCCAGCTGTCCAACAATGAGAGATAACCAAGAGCCTGAAAGCTGCACTGTTAGCCACAAAATATTAAAAGACTCAGAGGAAGGTCTCCATACACTGGAGTAGATCCTATCCTACTGGGAAGGACATGGACTGAAAATATACAAAATGAGAAATTGTAGAGGGGTTGCCACCTACATGACTGGAGACCCCAAACCAGTAAGACCACAAATCCAAAATATCTAAGTACGACGAACTGAAGGCCCAACAGGTCCATCACTTCGCATGATCACTAACGGTCATTTTTTTAATACCATTTACTGGATTTTGTCTTAGTAATTAAATTTCCACTGCCACACCACAAGGCACAAGTCAGGGGATAACCCAATTCACTTCAACAAATATTTCAGGAGCGTAGAGCTACAGGGGCAAAGGAATTCAGAGACCGTCTAGTCAACCTCTCTCCCCGCCCCTCCTCAGCCACCACCATTTTACAGGTGAAACTGAAGCCAGAAAGGTGAAGTGACTTGCCTAAATCAACACAGACCCCTGAGGTAGGATGTAAGCCCTGATCCTGACTCCAAAGCCAAGCGAATGGCACAGCAGTTCTTAGGCTGCCTCCCCAACCACATCCCTGGGCAAGGCGCTGTATGAACGAGGCAATGGTGGAATAAAGAAGGAACCTGATACAGCCCTTGCCCTTGAGTTGACAATTTAATGGGGAGGTGGCAAGCACACAAATAGCTAAGATGTATGGCAGCGTGGGATCGGCACCAACAAGAGTTCCAGGAAAAGTGCTATGAAAAATTTAAGGGGAGAAGAGAATGCTTTCTATTAGGGGATCAAGGAGGGAACAGAGTGTTGGACCTGGGAGTCAGAAAGACCTGGGTTCATATCCCACCTGACACATTTGTGTGACTCTGGGAAAGTCAAATAACCTTTCTGAGACTCAGCCTCCTCATCTGCAAAACAGTAACAATGGTACCAACTTCACGAAACTGTAGTGATCGTCATATCGGCTGACGTAAAGCACTTTGCAAATCTTCAACAGCCATATAAATGAGAGGATGATTAGCAGAGGTAGGGCCTGGGGTGGCCTTTGAAATAAGGGAAGGATTCAAGCAGGCAGAGAGGGAGGACTGAAGAGGGAGAAAATGGAAGAACAGAGAGTAATGCAGTTTGGTCATAGCAGAGTACAGGAAGAGGTCGTGAGGCAAAACTGGAAAGGAAGCTTGGTGCCAGAGTGTGGATGGGACTGAATGATGAGAATAAGGTGTTCACACTATACAGTCTATGTGTAGTGGAAGGCTATAAAAGGTTCCTGCGTAAAGAGAAGATAGGCTAGATTCTAGCAGCTAGAGTCCATCCCCAGTGCCCAGTAAAAAAATCAAGCTGGGACTTAATAAATACTCACTGATTATTAATCAGACACTGGTGTATTAAGTTGTCTTAGGCAACAATGGGAAAGTTGGGATGAAAGGGGGAGAAAATGGAGGCTGAAAGAGGAGTCAGGAGGGTATTACAGCAGTTCCACAGTAATATATTTTCCAACAAACACATCTGTTTGTTTTTACAGTATTTCTTACACGAGGATTAAAAAACAAAAGACTCACATTTGATAAGATCGTTTCTGAAAGAGCCAAGTTTTCTTCCAGTTAATTGGAAGAAATTAAAATTGAAATTGAAAACAAAAGATATGCTTGAGTTATCATCTTTAACAAGTTCCAAGAGCAAAAAGGAGCATTTCTATTCAATTTCAACTCTGTTGTGTCTCAAGTGCTCAAGTAAAACAAAATAGACCATACATGTTTTTCTTATCAAGTTACTTTATTCTGGGTGAGAATCCTTACATACACAGAACAGAATCTCTACTCTGGGGAGGTATGTTGCTTTCAGAAGTATTATCACTAAGTATCTATCTACCTTAGCATACAGGATGAGGTAGGCTCTAATAACCAAGGCTGTGGAATATGCCTGAAATGGAAACAACACACCCTCTAAAAGTTGTTAGTCGCTCAAAAGAGGAGTCTCCAGGACCATCTGGTTGCTGCTGAAAGGAGTTAATACAGTTCTTCCTGTGGATATGTAACCCAATCCCACTCTTCTACTGCACCTCCTAAACTTTGAGGTGAGCAATTCTCACCAAATAATCAGAATGTTGAGAAGTATCCATTTCTAAGAAGTCAATCAATAATGGGAAAACATGTTAATAAACTTAAAATATTGTCAAAATCAACTACAATAGCATAGAGTTGGAAATGGAGGAGATGCCCATTCACTGGGGAATGGCTGAACAAGTTGTGGTACATGATTGTGGTGAAATGCTACCGTGCTATTAGAAATGACAAGCAGGATGGTTTAGAAAAGCATGCCAAGATTTGCATGAAATATGAAGGAAGAGAAAGTTGTACACAGTAATAGCAGTATTGTTTTATGGGTAACTGAAAACTATTCTGAGTAATATGATCATTCAAATCAACTAAGAAGGACTTAGGAGGGAAAATGCTACCCACCTCCACAGAAAAAACTGACATGTGGAAGTATGTACTGTATGGTTCCACACTTACATTCATATCAAATATTAGCTTTCTCTAATGTGGGGCTGGAAGAGAGGGAGGGAGACAACTTGAAACCGAAAATGTAACTCCAAAAGCTAAAACAAAACAAAAGAAAAACAAACAGAAACACCCTACAAGTTAATACCAGGAGGCAGCGATTCAATTCCAGGACCTTGTTCCATCACAAGGACATTTTCTATTCACTGGGAAGCAGTGGAAACATCTAATGTGAATCACACACTAGGTTATTTGGGAGGAGCTGGTAAAGATCTAGCAGAGGGAGCTGTTTTTCTGTTAACACCTGAAGATTATTTTTTCCTTTCCACTAAAACACATCACGAAACTCCTAACGGTTCTTCCCCTCCCCCAGTCAGACAGTCTCCCCGGAGCTCCTTTATCTCACCAAACTTTATTTGGGAAGACAGCTGACCCCGCCCCTCCCGAGGCTTGTTGGTATCTCCTTTCAAGCTGTTTCCTCATTGGACTGAGCTCATCGTTTTGAGCAGGGGGCTGGCTGTTTTGCCTTTATCTGCATCCCCAGTGCTAAGCACCATGTCTCGCACACAGTAGGCGCTTTAAAAATGCTTGTTTACTTGACTTGCTCAGATCCCCCACTAAGCTGAAACGACTTGGCGCTCATGGCCAAGAAAAGCAGCTTCACATTCCCCCCCCCCACCGGCAATTTCCTCCTTAACCGTGACTCAGTGGAGCATCCCCTTAAAATCTAGAGTCAGCAAGGGTGCAATGGAAAGGATTTGAGTCAGAGGCTCTGAGATCGGATTCTGACCCTGCCAGTCATCAGGAAGGAATGCCCGCAGACAGGGATGCGGGCCAAAAGGCAGGTTTGGAGTGGCAGCTCCTCGCGGGCAGGCGCTGTTCGCCTTAGCTCGTGCCCCGCACACAGTAGGCTCTGTATACTGTGAGCAAATGCTTCGTAAGCACGACTTTCGTTTGGCTTTCCCGCGGATATGTGGAGAGAACCCGGGTGACCCCACCCCCTCCTCCCGAGGGGTCGCGAGTAAGGTCAGTCCCGCTACCAAATCCGAAGGGGCCGCCCGTCTCTGACTGGAGAGCAAACTCAAGGTCACCCAGGGTGCTAGGGGTGAACCCCGGCGTCTGAGACCCGGCTGCCTCCAAGTCTCTCCTCCAGGCCAGGCCTCGCTGGGCTGCCAGGGAAGCGGGGCCTTGAAGGCCGAGAGAGACCCGGAGGGAAAGAAGGGAAGGCCCGGGCCAGACCCCGCCCTCGGCTCCGAGCCCGCCCCCCGCGGAGTCCGGGGCCACCGGGCCCACCAAGCTGGGCTGGGGGGGGGGGAAGGCGGCGGGGCGGAGACTCACCCCAGAGCCCCGTTGGTGAAGTCGCCGGCGAGACCTCCTCGGGCCGGCTTCCCCGGTAGCTCGGGCCGAGCGCTCTTAAAGGCCGTTGGCCGGGCGCATGAAGACGCCGGGACAGGCAGCCGGCTGGACGGCCCCGCAGCGGCTCCAGAGAGAGGGAGAGAACGGCCAGGACTGTCCCCTTAGAGGAGCCGTAGTCGTAGCTTGGTCAGGTGACCCGGAACCGGGCGGAAGCGCGGCGGCGCCGGCCCTGCGCGGGCGGGTGACGCCAGGCCGACATCTTTGTCGCGGGCGATGGAACCCGGCGGCCGACGTCGTGCGTGCGTCAGCTGGTCGGAGCCGCGCGAGCTCGAAGTGTTGCGTGGCGGCGGCTTTAAAGGCTGCCGGATCACCGCGTCCATGGGGCAGCCAGCCGAGCCGAGGTCTCTCGCCTAGAGGCTCAGAGGACCTGGGAGGCCTTCGTGGCCGCCCCATTAGGCCCGAGTGCCGTGCTTAGGGTGTTAGACAAGCCACTAACAAAGGCCAAATTTGAACCCACACCCTCGAGCTCCAGAGGCTCCTACAGGACATAAACAGTCGCGCTAGGCCTCGAGTGGCGTCTGGGGATCATCAGCACGGTTCCGCTGCCTCAGCCGTGCACCAAGTCAGCAAGCATTTATGAAGCGCCTACTGGGCGCTCTCATTCTAAACATTAATTAAACACCTACCGTGTGTCAGGCTTGCCCTCCGAAAGCTCACAGTCTGATGCAGGGATGACGTACAAACGATACAGACAGACTAAGTCGGGGCTAATTTCGGAGGGAAGGCTCTAACTTTAAGGAGGATGGAGAAAGGCTTCCTGCAGAAGGCGAGAGGGAGTTGTGGGGTTTGAATGAGATGATAGCATTGAAAGCTAAAAAGACTCCCATTTCATGCTTAAAAAAAACAGCTTTGACCAAGAAACTAAAAAAAAAAAATAGTACATCGTACGCACAAAGAGCAAACAAAAGGATTGCATCGAAAATGCATTTCACCCTTGATCATCTGGCCCAGCTCCTTCATTTTGTAGATAAGGAATTAATTAATTAATTAATTAAGGAGGTCGCTGCGGGGTGGGCTCGTTTGTGAACGGGGACACAGGACTGGAAACTTAGAGGTGACAAAAGCTTCTATCAAAGCAGGGAGCTCCTTTCTTTGAACTTTGGAGTTTTAGTTGCCTGGAGCGTTGAAAGGGACCTAGCAGTCAGTATGTGTCAGAGGTGGCAATCGAACACAACTTTTTCTGAACCCACTTCTCATTATGGACAGATTTTACACAACGAAAAGAATGAAGGACTTTACTTTTAGAAAAGGTGGGGAAACTGGCCTCCCTGTTATTTCCTTTCCTCTCCTACCTCTTTAGTTTTGCTACAGTGGTCTCCCATGCCTGAAATCCTTTCCTTCCTCATTTTCGCTGATGAGAATTCCTTCTTTCATTCAAAGCTCAGCTCATGTGCCACCTGCTATTGGGAGCCTCCCCTGTGCCCCCTAGATATTAGCATTCAATCCTTCCCCAAATTACCTTATTTTTTACTTATCTTTCTAAATATTGTATTCTCCCAATAGATTATAAACTATCTGAGGTCAGGAACTGTTTTTCATTTTGTGTTTGCATCTTCAGCATCTAGCACAATCCCTATCCTGGGCTTAGTAGGCATTTAATAAATGCTTATCGAATTGAGAGCAGCTATGTTCTTTTTTACTATAACCTTACTCATCTTCTGTTTGAATGCTTCATTTAACAATTTCTGCTCTATATTGCCCAGTCCAATTTCTTTTTTTTTAATAAAAGATACCCACTTGATCCTAGCAAAAAGTATAATCATGGTATGTAATATATATTTTTAAATATATAATCCTACTCTACCAGCATCAATTTTATGTATTCTGTTCCTTTTAAATAAACTATATATTTATAAATATATATCTGTATATATTACATATAATTCATAAACTATATATTTGTAAATATATAAATTTGAATATATTGTATATAATTTATAAATATATAAATTTATAAATAAACTATAGTGATAGGTTCAAACCTAACATCTCCCAGCCATATCTATGAAGGTAGATTTGCTTGCATACATTATAATCTCTAGGTCACCATATTTATTACCCATACTTTTATATATTTAAATATCAGCATCTAAGGCCAGTTGTTTTATTGTTGGTTTTCTCTGTGCTGATTTTCTTCTTAAGTTGTGCTCGTCATTCTCCATGTATCTGGTTTAGTGATGCATGTGGGTAATCTGCCTTTGCTATTAAAGCCCTCTTGACCAGATCTGTTAAATTGTAGGGAAGTCTATTTTTACCAACTCTTGTTAGGTATACTTCATCACTGGTCACGAAGCCATCATTCTTGTGTTTTAAGCCATGAGTCAAAATTTCTAAATCAAACTCCAAGGCACCACCTGCTTAGCCTGTCTGTTTGCTTCTTACATCTGTTATTTCTGAATCCCCATACCTTCAGTGAACAAAGAGTGAAGTCAACAAGCATTTATTAAGTGCCTGCTGTATGCCAGGCATCAGGCTGAACTCCAGGACTACAAAGAAAGATAAAAGCAATCTCTGCTGTCAAGGAGTTCACAGTCTAATGGGGAGACAACATGCAAATAATTGAGTACAAACAAGATTTATACAGAATAAAATGAGAGATAATCAATGGAGTGAGGGCACCAGCATTTAGAGGAATCCGAAAAGGATTCCTGTAGAAGAATCTGGGACTTGAAGGATGATAGGTAAGCCAGGAGATAGAGATGAGGAGGAATTTCAGACATGAGGAATAGCCAATGAAAATGTCTGAAGCTGGGACATGGAGTATGGTTGGGTGAGGAACTGCAAGGAGGCCAGTGTCACTGGTCAGAGCGTAGCTTGAGAAAAGTGAAGTATGAGAAGACTGGAAAGATAGGAAGGGGGCAGGTGATGAAGGATGTTAAAAATATTTTCTGTCTGATTCTAGAGGGAGACACTAGAGTTTATCAAATAGGAAGAATGATAGAGTCAGATCTGTGTTTTTGACAGATGAGTGGAGGATGGACTGGAGTGAGGAGAAATTTGATTCAGAGAGACTAACCAGTAGGCTTTTGCGATAGTCCAGATGTGAGGCGATAAAAGGCCTGCACCAGGGTGGTCAAAGTATTAGAGGAAAGAGGGGTGTGTAGATGAGATGTTGTGGAGGTAAAATTGCCAGGACTTTGGCAATAGGTTGGATGTGGGGAGATGAGAGAAAATGAGTCATCGAGGACACATATTGTAAGCTTTGGTCACTGGGAGGGTAGTGGTACCTTTAACATTGATAAGAAAATTCAGAAGACAGGGGGGTGGAGGTTTGGGAAAAGATAATTCAGTTTTGGACATTTGAGTTTAAGATGTATATGGGACATCCAGTTTGAGGTGTCCAGTAGGCATTTGTAGAGTAAGACTGGAGGTCAGGATTGGGGCTGGACAAATTTGAGAATCATCACGTTTAGCAGGAGTGACCTGTATGAAGCTTCAGTGAAAAAGCCTGAGTGGTCATGCAGGTAAAAAACCAAGAGAGAACAATGTCATGAAAACCTAGAGAGAAGATGGACCAAGAAGAGAGTGACTGTCAGTGTGAAAGGCTTCATTGAGGTTAAGAAGGAGGATTGAGAAAAAAGATTAAGAGATTAATTGGTATCAAGAGATCATTGATAATTTTGGAGAGACTAGTTTCACTTGAATGACGAGGTTCAGAAGCCAGACTGCAGAAAGTTAAGAAAAAAACAACAGGAAAAGAGGTGGAAAAACCAATTATAGGAATTTAGTTATGAAAGAGAGGAGAGAGATAGGACAACAGCAAGTGAGGATGGATGGATCAGGTGAGCTATTTTTGAAGATAAGGCAACATGAGCATATTTGTAGATAGTAGGGAAGCAACCAGTAGACAAGGAGAAACTGAAGATTAGTGAGAAAGTGAGGATGATAGAGGGGACAACCTTTTGGAGAAGATGGTTTAGAATGGTGTCCTTTGTTCCTATAGAGTGATTTGCCTTGGCAAGAAGAAAGGCTGCCTCTTCATGTGATACAGGAGTAAAGGAAGAGATAGTGTCAAAAGGCATCTCAGTGATATGGGAAAAAGAAGAGGGGAGAAAAAGAAGCTCTTTGTGAATGACCTCAACTTTTTTAGTGAAATATTAGGCAAGACTCTCAGCTGAGAGGATAGGGAGAGGAAGAGTCATGGGAGGTTTGAGGGGCAATGAAAAGATTTGGAAAACCACTATGGTGGGTGGGATACTAAATCAATTACACAGGTGTAAAGTATTGCCTTGCCTCGGTGAGGGCTCAGTTCAGGTTATGCAACATAAAATGTGTAGTGGACCTAGTCAGCAGTTTTGTGACTTTCTCCAGTATTGTTCATGAGTAAGATCAAAGACGGTGGGAGTAATCCAATGCTCAGGCTTGGCAGGGTATGATTGGCTTTAGGATAAGGGGGCAAGGGCCTTGAGAGAAGAGGGCAATGTGGAATTGAACTATTTCAAGGGGTCAAGATCGTGAAGGCAGGAGAGTATAGCAAGTGCAGAGGTGATGGTTTTGAAAAGAACCAAGAGTTGGAAGAATTGGAGGTCTCTATTTGGAGGAAGAACAGGATTAAGGGTTGCAAGGTAGAGAAAGAGGTAGAATGACAGATTATGATCAGATAACAATTTCAGAGTCAATGAGCATGAAAGTGGAACACTTGTGGGTGATGGCAAGATGAAGGGTGTAGCATTCTTCCTGTAGTCGAGATGGTGTGGAAGAGTTGGTGGTGGGAAATAAATAATTTGAGGAATTGGGAGATTAGGGTGCTTGAAAGAATATCGGTACATATGGAAGTCCCCCAGTATAAGGGTAGAAGTTGGGGAGGAGAGCCTGTGAGTCAAGTACTGAACCCACTGAGGAAAGGAGAGTGTATTGAATATTAGTAGATAATAGCTACCAGAATCTCAAGTGGGTTAAAAAATACAAATTGAATGAATCTCAAAGAGAGAGGTCACTTAGTCGTGATGGTAGAGGGAAAGCCTGGATGTGGCAATGGGGAGTAAGGAGTATTCCAACACTCCCGCCTCATCAAGGGATTTGGGGGGAGAAGGAGTGTGAGGGAATGTGCAACCAGTGCTGGAAAGTAACCAGGAAAGCTATGTCATCAGGAAGGAGTCAGGTAAATACCACCTATACCCCTTAGTTTCTTGCCCAAGACTTTATCCCCAGTGTTTCTTAAGTGATTTCTGGCTGCGTCTTTTACACCCTTTGAATTAGCAAGAGGAGGTAAATTTGACAAGGCTTGAGAGGGTCGCTGTCATATCCCAGATACATACCTTGAGAAGGTAGCTGGTCCCTTCTGTTGTTCATATTAGATTGGCAAACAGCTGTCTCAGTATTCTTCATCAGGAAATCACCAACTATCCCTTCTCTTCTTTCTTTGAAGATTCCTGGATGACATCTTTCCTAATTTAGGCACCTGTGAATCCGCATCATCATTCACAGGCAGTAGGTGACAGTGGCATGATTTGAACCCAGGTCCTCTGACTCCAAAATAAATGTTCTTTCCACTGTATTTTGCTATTCTTCCTCCACAATGTAGACTGTAGAAAACCATTCTTCCAGCTGTTAGAAAGGTGTTCCTTTAGTTATGGCTCAATAAAAGGGCAAGATTTGGAAGCAGGAAGGAAGCAAAAACAAACCAGAGATAATAGATATGGAAAACAGGTATTGGAGATTTTGGTGTGAAAGGAGAGAACCAACTTAGGAAGTGAGTCAGTGAGAGACAAAAAGGAGAAGGGTGTGATGAGAAATGGGATTTCAGATCTTGCTGATAGAGCAGTGTCAGGGGCTGGCTAGGTCTATAGGAAGACTACTTTAATGAGTAGCTGAAGTTGACTAGAGATGGAGGTCATGAACTTCATGGGTTGAAGAAGGTGATGAACTGGGAGGTCAGTGTGTTAGGTAATCAACAGACAAATTGAGGTACCAAAGGTGAAATGCTTGTGTTTAACACCCTGTGCCAGGCTCTGGGGAGATAAAGATGAAACAAGAGAGGGAGTTTATAATCTAGGAGGAGGAATAGGACCATGCTGTATGCAGATCACTGTAATGCAACACATATGATAAATCCAAACAGAATACTCAGAAAAATTCAAGGGGAAGGAAATCCGTTTTGACCATGGAGACGATCATTTGTTTCATGGAGGAGCTGGAGTTGCCTTGGAGGCAGCTTAGTATTTCAGTTGGTTGAGATGTTGGGCAAGACTAGAGCAGGAATGGGATAGGCATGCACAAAGGTGAAGTCTGGTGAAGGTCAATTATTTTACCAGTAATTTTGTCTTATGTTTGTAACCTTTTGCTATGACCAGGACAACTACCTCTGTCCTCCACACCTCTAGCTATAGTATTTCATGAAATAAATCAATGACCTACTTTATCAATTTTGTAAATGTGAAAATCTGTAAAATATGCTTTCTTAACTAGTATTATAATAGTTAAAGCAATAATTGATTCAGTATTTTAGATCAAATATTAATTTTATTTTTAGATCATGAGTCAGCATGAATAGAATGTTGTTTAAAAAGCAAAATATTCCATTTTAGTTGTATATGTTGAAGTATTTATATATTACAATAATGTTATCCATTCTTGAAACACAAAAACATTAAATGTTTAAAAATAACACTTCATTTCTTATATAATTAATGGTAAATGTTGAGTGCTAACATAATTTGCCCTATGGAAAAATTCATTTAGTTTTTGAAATTTTGACAGTCAAGCATTGTATTATTTCATTTAATTTGGAAAGTAAATTGAAATGTTTATCCTATTAAAACAGGTCTCTGGGAAATCTTTGAACAGATTGCTAAATCCCAGTTTGAAACCAGATCTAAAAAGGTTATTCATGATTCATCTGCAAAGCTAAATTTTTCTAACAGAAATTGATTGTTTTTTTAAAGTCAGAAATAATTATGTAATTGAAAGTGCAATATCATAAACACAAAATTTCCTAGTATACAACTTATGGAAATGATCTGGGTGTATTAAGACCAATTTTTGATTAGGATTCCATTTGCAGTTTAGCTATGCTCAGAGAGCACTGGCCTGAAAATAGATTCGGGTTCTGGCTTTTGCTACTAATCAGCTGTGGCAATTTACTCAACCTCTCCTAGACTTACCTTCCTCATTTCTAAAGTAAGGAGATGGATCCATGGATGACCTTTGCAATCCTTTCTGTCTTCAAAATCTGTGACAATAGATTTATAAAAATAATCGAGTTTTCTAACTTGGGTGTATTTAACTTGAAAATGAACAGAAACATTTGCAAATATGGTCTTAGTATATATAAATACCAAAAGTCTTAGTATAGCTTTAAGTCTTAACAGACTTAGTTTAAACCTGTATAAGGCTTTGGGGATGGATGCTCTGTACAAAGGAATTCCCAATATATTCCTGCCAGCGGTGTTATTGTCATTTGATGTCCCTTTTAAAGTGAGATAGTTTAAAAGCATCAAACAAAATAATAAAAAGCATTCATTTGTTCTTGGAAAGTTTAAAATATATATTCATAGAATTAGTAAACATTTTATATTTTGTCTTTATTGAAATGTTTCTTAGGAGATAAAATGGAAAAGTTAAAGGGCTTGGTTCTACAAGAATTAGGGTCTGTGACTGAATCTATGAATGCAGGGAACTCTCTGACGAGGGAAATCCTCCCACCAGTGCAGTTGGGCATCTTTGCAAGCTAGGGAGTTTCCTACAGCACTGAGAGGTTAAGTGACTTGCCCTGGGTTTAAGAGCCAGCATGTGACAGAGGAGGGAACCTGCACTGAGGTCTTCCCGGGAGCAGTGCCAATTTTCTATCCATTGGGCTCATGCCTCCCTGTTTTACATAAACTGTGTTTATGTTGTTGTTTTCTTTCCTCTGGCTTGGGGTTTGGCATGAGGCGAGCCAGTGAGAGTATATGTCACAAATTAGGGGAACTGATGTGATGTGTCAACAAGGCCACCAGAACATGGAGGCAGGGCTTCCATCCAGCTCCAAGAGCCTCTCCTCCAAGATCTCCAAGAGCAGATCAGGGCAGTCAGTGTTAAATTCTTTTCTCATGCCTATTGAATTTTTAGACATGGCGGTAGATCTAGACAGTGCAGCAGAAGACCAAAAGTGTGGAATTCTTGATGAGTCTCAGCCAGTATTTAGTTCTTCTTTTGTGGCTATAGCAGGTATTAATTATAAGAGTATATATAGATATATATGTATAGATATAGATATAGATGTGTATATATATATATATATGTACACACACATATTTATATGCAGAGCATTTGAAGCTCATCCAAGAACCCTGTTTTTTATTATATATGCATTGCCAGTTAATTTAATAAACTACTTTTAACATATGAAAGAATTTTATAATAAGACAAACAAGAAAATAAGCCTACAAGTGAGAATGTAAAATTGCATCAAAAAACACCTATTTTGAGCAAGATTGATTAGGTAACTGAATTTAATTAGTTAGCATTGGCACTTCTAGGGATACTTCGTTGATATCCATGGTCCGGTCCATTATGGGTTTTTTCATCACCACTGTAAATTGCTCCTTCTCCACATCTTCTCATCCTGGATGATCCTTCTTGTTTGTCCTAGAAGACTTTTGGGTTATTTTACTAGTTCATATATTTCAGTGCGGCACATAGGCTGTCCTTAATGACTCTCCCTGTGACTATCTAATTGGCCTATCTCCTTTCTGGCCATGGGTAATCTTGATAATTCCATAGTTGTTGGGAAGTGAAGTGGAAAGACAAGTGCACCTGTTTCCTAATAGGGGTGCCTAGTGGTTTGTGCATTTATTTAATAGAGAAAGTGTTAAAGGAAAGTATATTTTCAAAGGATGGATGGAAAATAGTCTATTAAAATCAGTACTTAAAAGGTGAGAGTTTTGCCTACTTTGATAATTTGATAGCTTAAATTTATGTAGCATTTGGCAATAAGGCACTTTTGTATATTTAGCTAAGAGAATGTTACAATGAGACACGCAGTGAGTCAGTATGCTTTAAATTTTAGCTCTCTAGTTCCCTTCTTGAGTTGGATCATTCCTGGGCTCTCTGCTGATAGAAAATGTGAATGGTTTGAATTGGCCATTTCTGTTCTAGGCTTTAGCAGGTTCAATAGGTGTGAGTCAATTCTGTCCAAGATACCTTTGCCTATTAAACAGTCTTCCAAATGTCCCTGAGGAACCAAGAGCTCTTTCCCTGGAGTTTTGGAGAGCAAGATGAAGTAAACAAGCCTAAGGGATACCTTGACCCATACTCCTCCCTCCATTTGTTACGGGGTATGTAACTGCATCTCAACCACCATATATTTGGCACTTTAATGAAACCAACAGAAGTCTAAAGACAGTAGTAACGCTTTTTGTGAATAATCTGGTGGCACAGCACAGTAGTTTCATTCTTAAAAAGGAGTTTTTGTGATAGCACAGCTATACTGCCATTTGTCAAATTTAAAAAAAAAATTACTATTCTCTGCTTAGGTGGCAGTTTTATTTTCTGTGATTTTGTCAGTCTCTTCTCTTCATGCAGACCTGACAGCGACTGATTATCTTCTCTAACTCTCCAGCTTTCACAGTGGATGGAGTTGGTTTTCTGGGGAAAAAAATATTAAAGAGAAAGTACTTGTTTAAATTAATGTGATTTAAGTCAATACACATTTAGCAAGTGTAAGTGCTTCGGGTACAAAGACAAAAAGCTCGAAAGCCCCATTTCTCAAAGAGATCACAGTGCCTGGCACGTAGCAAGCACTTAATGAGCGCCTGTTGACTGAATCGCTGACATTACCCTGGAGGAGACACTACTTTTAGGAAACAGGAGAGACAATGTACTGTGCTCAAATCTGCATAAATTTGGTAGCTCAAAAACACAGAGCAACTAAAAAACATATTTTAAGAGTATTTTGTCATATGAAATAGAATTCCTGAAAAAAATCTAAATCAGATATTTGCAGATTCATTTGTACATTAGAACCACTAAAAGACCATCTCTCTAAAGGAAACCTATAGTGAAACTTTTCTGTGTATGGATTTATTTTTGTTTATTTTGTCAAGTTCAAATTTTCATATACATATGTAACAGTTTTAAAGCAATCTATATTATTTTAAATAATGAGGATTTATTTTGTTATTCATGTTTTGTGAAAGCTTTAATTATGTTGACGTGTTGATCTTTCCAGTGACTGTAGCAAAATATTTAGTATAAATTATCGTATTTTTAGTTGAAAAAACAGAAACGCCAAAAAGTTTAATAATTTGCTCAAGCTCAGAGAGTAAGTTGAGGGTAGAAATTGAACAAATAAATCTTTGACTTTTCTCATTGATTGTTTAACTTGTTGACTTACTAGTTCAGCACTAGGAAGTCCTTGATTTAGAAAAGGGTAAAAATGTTGAGAATGGATCTCTGGTGGAATAGAGAATAAATGATCATGTCACTGTGGGCATAAGGGTAGTTGTGCCATCCCATCCCATGGTATCAATCAACAAGTATTAAATGTTTATTATGTCCCGGGTGCTGTGCCAAGCTCTGGGAATATGGAGGAAAAAAGTGAAGCAATATCTGCCCTTAAGGACCTTATATACACTAATGAGGAGGATAACATGTGCATGTATAAGTAGAGGAATAATATGCAGGGGTTGTTCTGGGAGGGAGAGTGCTAACAGCTGGGGGACCAGGAAAGGGCTCTGGAAGGAAGGAGAGGGGGAGGTTGGAGTTAACCAGGGATTCCCAGAGTCAAAGATGAAGAGGGAGAGCATTCTAGGAATGAAGAACAGCCAATGCAAAGTCATGGACATGGGAGATGTGACACCCAGCAAGCTGGCAATTATGGCTGGACCACAGAGTGTGGGGAAGGGAGCGTGTTTAGGAAGACTGGAAAGGTAGTGAAGAGCTTAAAATGCCAGAAAGTGGGGTTTCTGTTTGATAGTAGAGGTAGCAGGAAGCCACTGGAGTTTATTGAGTAGGGATGGGGCCTGGTTAGATGTGCCAGTTAGGAAAATCACTTTGGTGGCTGTGTGGATGATGGTTTGGTGTGGGAAGAAACTTGAAGCAGGGAGACCAAATGGTTGGGCTGTTGTAACAATCTTATATATTCTAATGTGATTATAATAATAATGTAATAACTATTGTAATAATCCAGGTGAGAAGTGATAAGGCTTTGTGAGGGACATTTTTGAAAAATGTTGTGGAGATAGGAACAAGTTGATTGCCTATGAATAATGACTTCCTTCCTGTCAGGAGCATTCAGGTAGAAAAGGAGATTTAATTATTAGTGATAAGTTAAATAGAATTTCTTAGGCCTAGCTTTGTTTTGACTGGAGCATCTCCATTCCAGTTTCTGAAATTTCATATTCTAGATCACATCACTTATTGTACTGATGCCTTTCACAAAGTTATCAGATCATCGTGTAATGATAATAATAAAATGCATTTATGCAGTGCTTTAAGGTTTGCTTTAAGGGCTATAAAGTGCTTTACAAACATTACCTCAGTTTATCCTCCACACAAGTCTGGGAGGTAATTTCTATTATTATCCCCATTTTATAGATAAAGAAACTGAGACAGACTTAGGTTCAGTGACTTGGCCAGGGTCACACAGCTAATGTCAGAATCTGTAAATTCAGGACTTCCATACTGCCTGTAGGTCTAGCACTCTGTCCACTGCCTAAGTAGCTTACAACTTCCTCGTAAGTGAATACTCTGCATGACATTAGAGCTATTTTGCTTAGGAGATGTTTTGCTGACAGCTATGATTACATTATGTACTTAGTAATAAAATGGCTCTGGCTACGATTGATTCTGAAGTGCTTAGATGTTGGTGATGCCAATCTGAAGGTGGTTTCGGTAGTGTAAGTGGATTCTTTGCGTGTGAGCCAAGTAACATCAAAATGCTGCTGTCAAAAAATTGGAAACAAAATAGATGTCCATTGATTGGAGAATGGCTAAATCAATTGTGGTAGATGTAATGGAATATTACTGTGCTGTAAAGAAATGCCAACTATGATGAATACAGAGAAGCTTGGAAAGACTTATGTGAACTGATGCAAAGGTTAGTATGTAAAGCAAAGAAAACAATATATACAATGACTTCAGCTATGTAATTGGAAACAATAACAGGAAATGAATGTTTCCAAATTACAAAGGACAAGCATGGCCCAAGGAGGAGACATGAAAAGACACTTCTACCTACTCCTTAGTAGAGCCATGAGGCCCACAGGTATGGAAAATTGCATGAATTTTAAGATTTTTTTCAATATTCATTAGTTTTACTGAAATTTTTTATTTATTTTTTCTTATTTTTAAAATTATTTTTGTCATATGCAATGGCCCTCTGGGAGGGGCAAAGGGATGAATACATTTAGGTGATATAAAAAGATATCCCTAAAATTTATTTTAATAACAAAAGGAGATTCTGTTCTAGGTAACCTTGGAGTAGTTCTATTGAGTCTCCAGACAAGGGTTGTCTTTGAATATTTACCTGAACATTCTCCTTGGATTTAATGAAGCCAACCAGAAACTGTAAGAATTTGAATAGTAGTTGCAGGTTCCCCTGCCGTGACATTCTATAAATGGATTGGCACGGAAATCTTCCAGGCAGGAACCAGGGGATGCTAGTGCTTGCCCAGAGCCTTCCGAGCCTGCACTTGTATACTGTGAAAAACAGGAGCATTACAACTTATCATTTTCCAGTGCCAAACATATTATTATGTGCAGTATTAGCCCATTAAGCTGCTAAAAATAACACTTGCTATGATTCTGCTTCGACTTTTTCACTTACCATGACAAAAGAAAATCCTTTCCAAAGAGAAATCCAGCCATCGGGACATAAAGGGATGTCAGTGGTTTGACTGTGAACTGCTATGGCCATGGCAGGACCTTCACAGACTGTACATCTGTAACACAACAAAAAACGTGGCAAATACCACCAATTTCTGACAGAATCATCATAAGTTGTGTGCTACACAGAACATTTAAATACTATTAAACTAAATTTTCATTACCTTATCAAAAGAAGAAGGAAGTAATTTAGTACCTGCTAATATAAGGCTCCAAAGCTCTGCCAGTAATGGGAGCCATGTTCACTGGCATCTGTGCTGTTGTTGACAGCCAGTACGAATAGTCATTTCGGGAAGCAAAATTGCACACATCATTGGTATCACAGAACAAGAATGGCATTGTGGTAAAACGTTGCAGGCAGCTACCTAGAGTTCCTGTAAAACACAGGATTGTGCATCTTTGCTAGCTGGAAATTAATTTAGTATCTCCACTAGAGTGTCACTTTAATAAGTCATAATCTAAAGTACTTGGAGAAAAACTGGATAATGGCAAGTTATCAATTCTATAAATAACAGCATCTCCAGATTGTAATATTGAAAGGCTGTTCATATGACAACTCAATAAAATCATAGTGAGTTTTTTTTCCACTATGCATTTAGATTGCTTTAGGAGTTTTTTGGAAGGTGTATGTAAAAAAATCTTCACTAAAATCACACTCTTCAGAGCATGGAAGTTATCCTGGGCTCTCAAGCTCTGTACCAGTAAAGTGCCAGGCCTGGATGGCAGGTCCTTCCAAGCTGCAAAGGTTCCAACTATAAGTCTTGTGACAGACTATATGTTTATTGATAGGAACAAGCCTAGCTCAGTTTGGAAGATTTATCACTCTAAGGCTGACCTCCAGCTGATCATTATTTTCAGCCACAGAAACTCAGCACAACTGTTTTCTGTAGAGTGGAAGAGCTATGACCTACACTGGTTCAGAGGATGATATCCACACCCATGTAATCCTGTGTCGTTGTAGTGTGAGTACAGGGAAAGAAGAGGATGTGCCATTGTGTCAACCCCACTCTGAATTTACCTGTATGAATATTCATTGCTCAGTATCTGGTAAAAAGATAACAAACTTAAGACTTAAAGGCAGGCGGATGTTTTAATTCAATACTACTTGGAATGAATGGAATGAATACTTGACAAGATTATTGTAACAGTTATTCTGGGATGACAGTACAGACAGATCAATGCTTTATTTGCCCTCTGAGCTAAAAATACATGTTGGAAGTAAACTTCATAAGAAATTTGGGAGATAATGTAGGATAGGACAATTGTAGTATGGTTAAGGTCCAAAGTGAAAAGTTTTGCTAGAGTCAAGCACTCCTACATTTCAAGAAAACAATAGGCAATATGGAAACTAAACTACTTTCTTACTGGATTAGGGGCACCATCATACTTGAATTCATCTCTAAACTCACATTTTTTCATTCTTCCCTTCCTTAAAATATATACTATAACTTGTCTAATGTAGAGACAAAGAAAAATAGTCATTTGGGTGAGGATGTCTTATTTTACTTCAATATCTGGTTGCCAGTGATTTGCATTGTTTTTAATGTCCAACTTCTGAGGCAACTTCACTATATGATACAAAATTTTCACTCCTATAAATTATTTAAATTACGTCTGAGACATTACCAAGGTCTTGTCCATAAGCTCGTTCATTTCCCTGCACATAGAGAAGAGAATAACCCCGATAAAGGGGCACCGTTCCTCTGGGGCATGAAGGAATCTCTGTTGATTGGCTGTGACGGGTGAAGATAAAGCCTCTGATAGACGGCCCAGTTGCAGGTGGTCCAAAGTTTCCAGGTTTTCCTTTTGATCCAGGCAATCCAACTGATCCAGGTGGTCCTTAAAATTATATACTTAAATGTTAGAGGAAACATGAACAAAAAATTACTGAAAAGTATATCCATCATCACTAAATTCCTAACTTGTCACTCAAAATTGTTCAATGAAATATTCATGTATATCTGTTATGGCTTATATATGAAAATGTTTGTTGTGCCTAATAATGAGAACTAACATTTATGTAGTACTTAATACATGCCAGATACGGTGCTATGCACTTTATAATTATTATCTCATTTGATCCTCACAACCACCTTGGGAAGCAGATGCTATTATTATCATCACCATTTTACAGATGAAGAAACCAAGGCTTAAGAGGTTAAGTAACTTGCTCAGGGTCACAAAGCTGCTAAGTGTCTGATGCTAGATTTGAACTCAGATCTTCCTGATTCCAGGTCCAGTGCTCTCTCCAATGTACAGCCTAGCTGCTTCACATATAATAAGTGCTCCAATAAAGAATGAAATGAATGATTGAATTGAATGATTGTGGGCATTACTTTTTATGATTTGGCCAAACATTATCTTCTGATGTTTTGTGTTGTCATGCTTTGTGTTCATGTGTTATCTCATCCTAATATACTGAAGATCTTTAAAAAATAAAATTTCTTAATCATATTTATATCCCATCCAGTAACTCGGTAACCAGCACCCTATACATTGTAAGTACTCAAATATTTATTAAATGAATTAGCTCAAATATCAGAGATCTTAGAAAGTCAAACAAAATCAACTGAAATTTCACATTTTGAAAGAGGTATGTTAGCAAAACAATTTCGAGGTTACCTGCCCTTGAACAGTAAACTCAGCAAAAATGTATAAGCACTTGCCATGTGTCAGGCATTGCTGTAGGTGCTAGGAATACAAAGATAAAAGTGAAGCCCTGTCCTCAAAGAGCTTTTATTCTTCTCTCTGTGTGTCTGTGCCCATATAGAGATAGTTAAACTAATACAAAACATGTGATTTCAGAAGGGGGAAGGGCACTCCTCCTGAAGGAACTAGGCTGGGCCTCCTGCAGGAGCTGCCACTGGAGCTGGGCGCTGAAGGGAGCTAAAGATGCTAAGAGGTAAAGGCTAAGAAGGGAGAGCATTCCAGGGATGGGAGGACCTTCTATACACAGGCATTGAGGTGGCAAGCATAATGCTGTGGATAGGGAATAGTCAGTAGACCAATGTACCTGGAACATAGAGTGTGTGAGGCAAAGTAATGTGTAATCAGGCTGTAAAGATCTATTGAAGCTGGATTATGAAGGGCTTTAAATGCCAAATAAAAGAGTTTGTGTTTTGTCCCATAGGCACTAGGGAACCATTGGAGTTATTGGATAGTGAGGTTTTATGGTCAGACCTGCGCTTCAGGGATATCACTATGGCAGCCATGTGGAGGATGAAATGGAGTAGGAAGGGCCTGGAAGGAGGGGGAATCAATTAGGAGTCTATGCAGTGGTCCAGGGGAGAGATAATAGGGTCTGAACAAGTGTAGTGGCACTGTGAGTGAATAGAAAGCCACAGATGCAGGAGGTGCTGTGGAGCAAGAACAGATGAGGGTTGGAGGGTGAGAAGGCAGAGTGGAGGATAACTCCAGGGTTCAAACCAGCATGACTGGAAGAGGCAGTCAGTGGTGCCCTCAACGACAGTCGGGGAGTTAGGAAGAGAAGTGGGTTTCAGGGAATGATGATTTTAAAAAATAACCAAGTTTTGATAAACTAGAGAACATAAATTACTTGGGAAAGAGTTCCCCATTTCACAACTCCTGGCAAAAAAAGTTTGGTGTAAATGAGGTTTTGATCAATGTCTTATACTATATACCACTATATGTACTATATAAGTTCAAGGTGGATGTTTGACCAGAATATTAAAGGTCATGCTTTACAAATCTTTAAAAAGATTCAGATGAGGAGCCTTTTGTGCTCTGTCTAGGGAATGAATTCTTAAATCAAAGTATAGAGGTGATCTCAAAAATAAATAATTTTGATCACGTGAAGTTGGAAAACTTTTATATGATCAAAATGAATACAACTGGGGCAAGAACGGAAGCAGTTAACTGAGAAAAAAATCTTAGTACCAAAGAACTCTGATAAGAATCTAATGTCCAAGATTTGTAGGCAACTAAAAGAAATATGTAAGACAAAATGGATACATGCCCAAAGGGTATTAACAATCCTCAAAAATACTGCAAATTATCAGCTGTCATATAACAGAATGCTTCAAATCAATAAAAAGAGAAATGCAAATCAAAACAACTCTGAGGTTTTGCTTCATGCCCAGCTGTTCTCCCCTTGTGAGTATCAATAGTTTGTTAAAGCTTTCTCTGTGTGGAATGACAATTTTTATCTGGACTCCTTGTACTTCAAATAACTATTTTCTTTGACACAGAGATCCCACTGTTATGTATATATCCTGAACAGACTAAAGACAGAATGTTCCTGTATCCACCAACATATTCATAGTGGCTCCTTTTGTTGTAAAGAACTGGAAAGAAGGTCTTACAAATCCCCAGCACTTAGCACATTCCCTGGCACATTGTTGGTTGATTGCGGAATGACTAACCAAATTGTGGTACATGAGTAATAGGTTATTACTGTACTGGAAAACATGATAAAAAAAATTCAGAGAATCATGGGAAGACTTGGAATTGGTGTAGAGTGAATTAAGTGGAGCCAGGAAAGCAAATTGCATACTGTAAATGGAAAAAAAAATAATTATAATGTCTGTGCTTTCCCCCAAAGAGATGAGAAATATAGCTCCCTTCCCCTCCTTTGCAGAGGTGGGGGACTATGTATGCCTATGAAACAATGCTTATACTGTGATTGATGTGATGGTTAGTTTTGCTGACTTGTTTATTCTCTTTTTCTTCTTTGTTAAAAGGAAAAGTGCACCAAGTAGGGAGGGGATATGTTCCAAAATGAAGGTGATATAAAAACCAAAGCTATCCATAAGAATTAAACGTTTCTAAAAAGAAAGAAAATTATGTTTTGAACCTTAGTTTGAGATACCTTTGGGACATTCAGGTGGAAATATCCAACATGCAGTTGGGGGACTAGGGCATGGGAGAAATGAGAGGACTAGATAATGTAGATTTTGGAGTCATCTGCATAGAGACAATAATTGATCCCATGGGACCAGATGAGAGAAAAAATAAGTATAAAGAGAGGAGGGCCCAGGCAGAGCTTGCAAAGGAGACTAAAAAGGAAGGTTGGGAAGGTAGGAGGAGAACCAAGAAGCCACCCTGTTACAGAAACCCAGGAAGGAGAATCCAGGAAGAAGGCAGGATCTATAGTGCTGATTGCTGTAGACAGGTTAAGAAGCCTGAGCACTAAGAAAAGGCAGCTGGATTTGGCAATTTAAAAATTGTTTGTAACCTTGGACAGAGCAGTTTTGTTTGAGGGGTGGGGTGAGCAGTCAGAACGCAGGAGGTAGAGAGAAGTAACTAGGCTGAGACAGTGGAAAACACCTATGAACAGCTGCTTTCTCTTTGAGTTTGACTGAAAGGGAGGAGAGATACAGGACTGTAACTTGAGGGGATGGAAATGTCAAGGGAATTTTTTTTTTAAGGCTGCGGACATGTTTGGAGGGAGGGAGAGGGTGCCAATGGATAAAGAGAGATCAGAGATTACAAAGAAAGAAGGAACTGCTGAAGGCCTTTCCAGTGCCAAAATTCTGTGGTTTGAATTGAAGAGGTGAGCAAAATAAAACAACACAGAACGCTTTGTGAGAAATTCTACTTCAAGATAAAATAGATAAAAATAGAAGAAATAGTTTCTTCTCTAGGTAAGGTTATCTATTCTACCTCTCTAAAGTCAGAACTAACCAGCTTACTGAATTTTAACAGCCCTAAATGTTTCTCTGCATTTGGGCAAGCCTTATCCATAAGTGGGCCAATTTTTACATATGGCTGAATAATATCTGTTTCTCTGTATACATTAGTTGGTCTTCCAATTTATTAAATATTTATTGCATATAATACTTTAAATTTATATCATAATTCTAATATACAGAGTATAATGGATTTTTGTTGTTATTTTTCTGGTAGTAGAGTTAGTGAAGTTCTATGAAAGTACCCTATTTTATGCATTGAGCTAATTGTGGGAAGCAAATTTGGTCACTGATATTTTCAAATTAGGGAAATGTATTGGTCCTAAGCCATCTGTACAGTCATACAAAAAGCCCATGTTTTCAGGGTACTCCAGAGCCAGCATTTAATAAGGGAAATTGTTAACCCTATATTTAAACTTTTTCAAATTTGGACTTTTAACATCTGTTGTATTTTATAGATTTGGGCACTTATGTTAGAAAATAGAAAGAATATTTACATTTTTTCTTAGTTTAAAAAATTCAGTGTTGTGATTAGCATTAAGTGTGAATAGCTGGTCAATTTCCAGCATGGATGCACAGAATATTTTCATGCAGCTTTGGCAGCAGGCAATACTTAATCCAGGTTGATCACTCTGACAAATGGATTTTTAAAAGCCAAGTAGAATGTATGTGTCAAGTAGTTGTTTCGTGTCCAAGTCCAAGATGTCAATAGAACAATTGAGGTAGGAAATATGTCTATGTTTTGGTTAAAAGTAGTCATTCTTATACAAGTATGAAGATACTCCTCCAGCAATATCTGTTTCATTCTTTTTCTGGTTTTACTGCTAGTTGTCCTATCTAGTGACAGATCTGTGTACCTAAAGGGCAGGATTGAGCCTTATGAAATTAAAATAACTATTAATGTCCCATCACATTCTGCTTGACTTGTTAGAAACTGATCTGTTCAAAATAACTTTGCAGATAAAACAATGTGGATCACTTTGACTCCCACTATGTTCTTTTGTATTAGAGGCAGCCAGGCTACAGAGTAGATAGAGTACCTAGGCCTGGTGTCAAGAATGTCTGATGTCAAATCTAGCCTCAGGCACTTACTGGCCGTGTAACCCTGGGCAAATCTCTTAACCTCTGCTTTCCTCAGTTTCCTCAACTCTAAAATGGAGAATAAGAACAGCACCCATCTTGCAGAGTTATTGTGAGGCTCCAATGAAATAATATTTATAGTGTTGACCACAATGACTGGCACATATATCTATATCTATATCTATATCCATAAAATATTCTTTTTCCCTTTGCCTTTCCCTTCCCTTCTCCTGGTTTTGGAGACTGAGCCATATAGGGCTATGGTACAGTAGATGAGAAGACTGTTCTGTCTAGTAATTCCTAGATTTCTTTTCTGTTCCTCTTGACCACCTCTCCCTGTGGTTAAGAGGAAGGGTAAATGAAGAAATCCCATATTACCTTGAAGTTACACAACCTCTTGCTAAACTCAATATGGTACTTATTTCTCTTAGCAAATGACTTTTTACAAGTCTAATTTTGTTGAGAAAATAGGTATAGATGTATTTACCGATTTCTCCTTTAGAGCCTTTACTGCCTTTTTCTCCAACTGGCCCAGGAATTCCTGGTTTCCCTGGTTTCCCTGGTTGACCTTTTGGTCCTTGCAGTCCTATTTAGCACCAAACATTGCATCGTTACATTCATACATGTGGAAACACAAAACAAAAAACAACAAATCAACCACCATTCTCATACATGGGAAAACAATAACAAAAAGAAGTAAGGGGCAGCTAGGTAGCACACATTGTATAAAGCGCTGGACCTGGAGTCAGGAAGACCTGAGTTTAAATCTGTCCTCAGACACTGACTAGCTGTGTGATCCTGGGCAAGTCATTTAGCCACTGTTTGCTTCAGTTTCTTCAACTATAAAAAGGGGGTGTGTGTGGTCTGTCCTTTGTTCCCGAAGAGAACCATGACATCAGGAAGATGATGCCATGACTTGTAAGTGAATTGGATTTAAGTGAGAGAGGGCTGTGCAGTCACCAACCCAACTTTTTTCTCCAGGGCCATCTGGGTCCAGTGACCAGATATAGATCTGGGCAGCTGGAGATGGCCCAGGATACAGTGGGGGACTTTGGCCTTTTCTAGCCAAGGTCTTTAACAGGTCTCAGTTTGCCTGAGGCAATATCCATTCAGTGATCAAGGCTTAATAAGAAATGAGGCAGAGAATGGCCTCTTAGTCAAAAGAGAAAAAAAAAGGATCTGGGAGGGAAGAACCTCTGGGTTTCTGGTCAAAACAGAAGTAATTGCTATTTACAGTCATTTTGAGCTAATCAGGGCCCAAACAATGACCAAGTAGGGCTTGGCCTGGGACCTATTGTTGGCCAGTCAATGAGAGCCAGAGTGATTTGGGGTTAAAAAAAATTTCAGAGATTTTTCTTCCCCTTCTCCTTCCCTTCCCCTTCCTTCTTTCCTTCCTTCCTTCTTTCCTTCCTTCCTTCCTTCCTTCCTTCCTTCCTTCCTTCCTTCCTTCCTTCCTTCCTTCCTTCCTTCCTTCCTATGAAATGAAGACTTCAAGTTTCTCTTCAGAAAATTATTATTATATATTATAATTACAATTATTATTATATATTGTATAGTTATAATATGTGATATTATGTGATAAGTGAGTTAGAAAGGTACAAAATTTGCTACATAATGTCTGAGGAGAGGGTTTTCCTGAAAGAAGTAGCATTTGCATTGAGCACTAAAAGTAGGTAAGAGTCAAAAAGATTAAGGTGGAGAGAGATGGCATTCTGTGAGTAGGAAATGGACTGAGTGCAGCACCCAAAGTTTGGGAGTGGGTGGGGTGAAGCAGGGAGAAAATTGTCCAGCCAAAACCATTTCAAACCAGCTAAAACCAGTTCAAACCAGCCAAAACACAGTAAAAAATTTTTCTCGGGGCCCAGTGACTACCATAATTACCTGACCCTTTGGGTCCCCAGCATCCAAAACCACTGTTTGATTTATAAAGGTAGTCATTAAAATCATCACTGTCCATATAAGAAAATAGAATTCCATTATAGTATGGATTTGGATAAGCCAAATAATAATGGTAATAATAGTTTACATTTATATTGTGCTTTACAGATTATGAAATTCCTTCTTCACAATAAACCTGAAAGATAGGTAGTATAAACATTATTATTCTCCTTTTACAAGATCACAGAATTTTACAGTTAGAAATAACTTTACAGACCATGTAGTCCACCAGGAAAAGAATTCCCTCTATAACCAAACCAATAAGTGGTCATTTAGTGTATGCACTAAAAGATTTCCAGTAAAGGGGAATCTTTTATTACTTGCAGCTCCCACCCACTGCCCCAGTCCTGCCCCAGAGAGTCAAAGAGAACAAGTCTAATTCCTCTTTCAAATGAGAGCTTTTCAAGAAGCTGAAGACAGGTATCATGATTTCCTTCTCCCTCCTCAGTCTGCTTTTCTCCAGGCTCAGTATCCCCAACTCCTTCAATGTGCCATTCAGTCAAGACCCTTTATTATCTACTAGACAATCACCAGTCTTTCTTAAACTTTGCATCCTGGAACATAATGCAATACTCTGTACATGGGGAAGGGATTCTTTTAATCTATAATTCTGTGATTAACAGTGCAAACAAGCTAGCAAAATCCAAGATGAAAGACCTAAAATTCCAAATTGACTTTCAGACCCATGGCTGGGTGAGGAAACTAGGGTTCCAGTCTATATGTTTTTGCTCCAAAACCCACTCTGTGTGTGTGTGTGTGTGTGTGTGTGGTTTAGTGGATAAGAGAACTGGTTTGAAGCCAGAAAGACCTAGGTTCAGGACCTGCCTCCGGCACATAAAAACTGGCAGTGTTGTGTAAGTCTGGGCAAGTCATTTACATTTATAGTGCTCTAGGCAGCCTTCTGAGACTTAGAAATAAATGGGAGAGAAGGTGCCAATTTGCATAGAGTTTCCTCACGTAGGAGCTGGGCAAAGTAATGCAATCATAGGTACAGTCTTTGTCCCTACACGGTAGATGTTAGTTGCCTAACATCCCCTCTTTAAAGAGACTCCACTGTATTAAGCACCCATGGGCAAAGTGACTTATTTTACATCAGGAAAGGTTATCTTTCAGAGAACTCACAATTGAATATGGCACATAGTAATCAGGACAACATTCAAAGCATATTTATCTAAAAAACACATACAAGTCAACCAATTTTCCTAAGGTTGTATTCTATGATAGTTCAATGTAGATTCAACACTTTTAGCTGCCAGTGAGTTGTATACCAAGCTAGATCACTGGGTTTATCATTGCAATATGCTGTCTAAAGTTGTATTTTTGACCTCAAAACAAATGACTACTATTTTTTTTTAGGTGAGGCAATTGGGGTTAAGTGACTTGCCCAGGGTAACACAGCTAGGAAGTATCAAATGTCTAGTCTGAGACCAGATTTGAACTCAGGTCCTCCTGACTCTAGGGCCAGTGCTCTATCTAGCTGCCCCATGACTACTATTTTAATCTTGAGAAGCAGAAGAGTATATAGATTTAATAGTATAATAGATACTAGTTCAGAGTCAGTAGAACCTGAGTTTGATTCCTGACTCTGGTATTTATTAGCTTTGGCAAATCACTTACCCAATCTGTCTCAGCTTCCTCATCTGTAAAATGAGAATAATACTTCTACCTCCCTACCTTCCCTGGTTGTTGTGAGGCAAACATTTTGCAAAACTTAAAACACAATCTTGTTCATAAATTTAGAATTTTAGATGACTGCCTGGTTCATCTGGTCAGCTTCTTTTATGAAGGAGGCAACTGAAACCCCTAGACATATCTGACGTGTCCAAAATTACAAAGGTAGAAAGTAGCAGATCTAGAATTAAAATGTATACTCTTTGATTAATTCTGGTCTTATTTCCAATTGCCAGGCTGTAAATGTCAACAGTTATTATAGAGTGACTTCTCAGTGATTCAGTTTCATATATCTGATTCCCAACCTGGGTATCCTACTGGTCCTTGTGGTCCTGGTTCTCCCTGCATTCCTGGGTCTCCAGGTTGACCAGGAGGCCCTGGGCTCCCTGGCAGGGATATAATTTTAATTGTTCCAGGGTCTCCAGGTTGACCTATTAACATAAACATAATAAAAAGATGATTTATTACCTTTAGAAATGTTCTGTTACCTTCATAAAGTACCAAAAAAAATTTACCAGGAGGTCCTTTTGGCCCAATTGACCCTGGAGGCCCAAATGGTCCTGGAGGTCCTAGGTTGCCCTTTTCTCCTACAGGAAAAACAAAATTTATAATAATCATGTAGTTGTTATACTTTGGGGATTGGCTTCAAACCACTTCTACCTTAAGGTTTGTGATTAAACCAGAGGCTCTCAGCCTTTTTTGTGTTATGGACCCCTTGGGCAGTCTGGTGAAGGCTATGAACCCTTCTGCAAATCATGTTTTAAAATACATAAAATAAAATACATAGGAATTTCAAAGGAAACTATATTGAAATATAATTATCAAAATATGAAAAAACAAAACAAGTTCACTGACACTGGGTTAAGAGTCCCTGTTCTACACAGAGATTATAGATTAGAGATATAGAGGTTAACATTAGAACCATTATTATGCATCCTGTCTGAGGCATGGCTCCAGAATAAGAGTTGGAGGTGACATGATCTAAACTATGTCAATTCAGAGAAAGTTTTTAATCTTGACATTTGATGAAGATTCCATTCTAATCACATGTTTGGCCAAGCTATAAGCAGATGCACAAAGTGGAGGAGGCAACAAAAAACACATTTTGTAGGGCAAGGTTCTTAGTGACTAATTTTCTGCATTTAGAAACCAATTCAGTTTCTTTAAATTTCAGAGTAGAGACATTATGAAGCCAAGCCTCATTAAAAGTTTATAATTATTTACTTATTATCTCCTGGTGAAGGACAGTGCTTAAATATTATGGTTATCAGTGTTCTTATGTCATTGTTGGAGGTTTACCGAATATGGATATGGCAGGGCATCTCTTTCTAGTACCCTTGAGAATAAATGTAAACCCTGTCTGCTTTTTACCTAAACACACTAAATGGTGAGGTTCCACTTTCATTTCTAGCCTTTGACACAGGTAAACAGGACAAGAAGATTCCTGAATCCTGAGGCAAGGTCGTTGGCTTTTGCTTTGTGGCTCAAACCAGATTTAAATGTAATTGGGAAATATTTAACAAAATAAATAAAAATACAATAGAGCACTGATAACATGCAGTTTTCTAAGTCAATATGTAGGTTCAGGGATCCTTATGTACAGTTTAGTGCTCCTCATTTCTGTTTGAATTTGACACCATGAACAATATACTCACTTTAAGGCATCTAGTTAATGAATGCAATTTTCAGGAAATAAATATATGTCTTGAGTGAAATAAGGGATAGGGACTGGGCCTGTGATTTTGCTGGTATAGAGAATTTGTCAGGAAAGTAACTCCTACCAATAAAGGGTGGCACCTTCTTTGCAGTTTATAATCTTAGATAGTTGCCTAGAGCAGTGGTGTCAAGCTCAGAATTGGGGGCCAAGAATCCATAATAAGAATTCCTGTGTACTGCCTGTTGGCTTAGTTTTAAAACGTGATATTATCTATGTTTCACTGCATTTTTACTTATTTTACTAAATATTTCCCAATTACATTGTAATCTTGTTTGGGCGGTACCATGGAATGTTGTAGGCAGCCAGGCCTTGCAAATTTGATACCTCTGGCTTAGAGGCTGTGTCCAAAGTCACAGCAGCCAGTTCTGGGTCAGAAGCAGAACCAGAACCCAGGCCTTTCTGGCTCTGAAGCCTGCCTTCTTGTCACTATGCCACATGACTTCTCAGGATTGAGGGGGGAGAGACAAAAACACAACACGATAAAAATATAACATTAATAGTGAAGATGAATTTGTAAGTGCCCAGGAAGTTGCCATCTTAATGAAATATTCAGTGTGAAGAAATCTTTTTTGTCCTTAACTTTTTGAATTAAAAATTCCCAAGCAAACAATACAAAACAACAGTAACATTTTGTGGGACTGACTGGAAGATGCAGTGGCTTACTCTAGTAGTTTAGGGAAGAGAGCAACTGTCTTCATTCTACAAAGTTGGTGGTATGGACTTCAGCAATTCTTTTGGGAAGATTTCCTCAGGACTTCTTGTATAGTCAACTGACGCTGGTTGACTTTAAGGTTTGCAAATTCTATACGCTACCTCATCTAATCTTTACACCAACCCTTACTCACTAAGTTACTTAGTATTTTTATACTATATGATGATAAATAAAAGGAGTGCAATCATCTCCATTGCACAGATATGAAAAATGAGGCTCACAGAGACCGTGACTTGTCCACGGTCACATAACTAGAGATTGTCAGAGATGGAATTTGAACATTGGGCCCTTCTGACTTTAAATCCAACACTCAGGCTACTATACAGCCTCAGCAAGCCTAAAAGTGGGTACCTTCTATAGTTTCTGGAATCTTTTCTAAGCTTAGAGGGCAGTGGTTGGTGCTAGGAATTCTTTGAAGGTAGTGAACTATTTTGGCTGTCTAGTCTGGCAAAGCTTTTCAGAAACTTCTACTCTGATTTTTGGCTAATTTATTGCATTAAAGGGTCAGTATAAAGTTTAGATTGAAAATTCTTTCTATTGCCTTCTGAAACCCATCTCAAATGTCCTTGTCTTCTACAGCTCATTTTTTTTTTTTGGCTCCATTCACCTTGGGTGAACTTATTACTTAAATATTTGTTCTTTGCATGGCAAAACCTTTCTTGATTTACAAAGAAAATACTATGGGAATTAACTGTACAGGACAAGATCATTAAGACAAATGCATTGCCTTACAACCCCATATAAAGGTCATGGCACTTAAAGGTATGCTATCAGTGAAAGATTCCATGTCTATTTTCTGAAGGTGTTTTTATTTTTGTTCCCATGGTGATATCCATTTCCCCTACATCAAAGCTTTGAATCTGGGGACTTTAGTCATCAGATCATAATTGGAGATTGTGTTTGTTCCCCCAGAGCAGTGCAGAGGACATTTAGACAAGTACCTGTCATGCCAGGAAATCCTTGAAATCCAGGATCACCTCGAAAACCTGGAAAACCTGGGGTGCCTGGCATTCCCTGTAATTTAAAACAAGAGAATTGCAGAAGAGTTACCACATCAAAATGTTGCCCATAAAGTTTTCTTCTTGAGGTAGCTAGTAAGATATAATATAATATTGAGAAAGTTTGGCAGGAAAGGTTGGCATAATTTGTCTATTTCAGTCTAGTCCCTTGGCTAATCAGACATATTCCAGAGACAGGGTTTTTCATCAAGAAAATAATTCTTTGTAATTTCAATGTAGTATGTTTAATATAATGTTATTATAATATATTATGACATATTATAAAATATATTACATGTATAACTATATAATACATTATATTATATATAATAATACATTATTTTATGAAGTCAGTTAGATATAACTTTCTGAATGTGGACGCTTTGCAGATGAAATCAGACATTTAGCCAGATTAAAAATTACAATTTGTGTTTGTAATTGTAACAAAGTTAGTACAACAGATGGAATGGTAATGTCTAAGACCTATTTCTACCAAGGCAACAGGGGCATTAGTTTCCATTGTGTATATATGGGGGTAGTGTTGAAGGAGCAAGAAATATGGGAAACCTGGGATAAAAAAGGAGCTAGGGACATTGCCAATTTTTAGGGATGATAGGTGCTAAAAGGATCAATGAGTCAATCAATAAACATTTATTAAGCACCTACTATATGCCAGGCACTGGGAATACAAATATAATAAATGCAATAATCTCTACTCCTAGGGAGCTTACAGTCTAAGGATGAGACAACAAAGACCTGTATAAATATATACAGAATAAATACAAATAAATTCAAAGTTGTTTGGTACCAGGTCAGAAAAGGCTTAATGTATATCTGTCAAAGGCACCACCATTCTTTCAGTCTCCCAGATTTGTAATTTTGGTGTTATACTTGATGCCCTCACTCCATATAGTCAGTTAGTTGCCAGATCTTACTGTTTTTACCTCCATTTTCCTCACATCCAACCCCTTCACTCTACTTGCATAGCTTTAGGCCCATTTCACCTCTCCCCCAGATTATTACAACAACCTCATAACAAATGGGACCATGACACTCCCTTATTCAATCCACTCCATTGGTTTCCTGCTGTTCCTAGGACAAAATAGAATTTCTATTTAGCTTCTAAAATCCTGTACAATTTAGCCTCCACCTCGCTTTCTAGCATCATTGGACATTACTACACTTCCCACATTCTGTGTTTCAGCCACATTGGTCTTTTCTTTCTTCTTCACACATAACACTTCATTTCTTGTCTCCATCCATACCTTTGGCTGCATCACATGCCTGGAAGATATTATCTCCACTTCTCCACCTCATAGTCAGCTTCTTCATTCCTTGAAGATGCAATTTAAACATCCTCCTCATGAAACCATACCTAATTTTCCCCAACTGCCTATACCCCCCCTTCTAAAACTACCTTGTAATTAATTAATTTGCATATATTTGTATTTATTCATTTTGTATGTACTTGTCTCTCCCATTAGAATTAATCCAATAAATCCGATAAACATTAATTAGGCACCTACCATGTACTAGGCACTGTGCTAAGCACCGGGGATACAATTAATAAAAAGACAGTCACTGACCTTAAGGAACTTACAGTCTAATGAAGGCAAAAGGAGGCAGGACAGCAGGGTCAGAGGAGATACCAGGGGGTACCAGGCAGGAGCATTTTGTTTCCTTGTTGTGTTGAGTCATTTCAATCACTTCTGACTCTGTGGCCCCATTTGGGGTTTTCTTGGCAGAGATACTGGAGTGATTTACCATTTCCTTCTCCAGCTAATTTTACAGATGAGGAAACTGAGGTAACAAGGTTAAATGACTTGCCCAGGGTCACACAGCTAGTAAGTGTCTAATGCTAAATTTGAACTCAGGTTTTCCCGACTCTAGGTCTGGTACTCTATCCATCACACCACTTAGCTGCCCCATCTTATTCTTTAGAGTTGAAAAAAACCAGGCAGGGCAGCAGATGCCGAGTGAGTAAGCCCAGAAGTCCAGTTTCTCCTTTCTATAAGAGAAAGCATGGGAGGAGTTTGGTACTCTACCCTCTAGCTCTCTGATCAAAGGGAAGGGGAAACTAAGGGAGGTGCTGTCAATTAAGGCTCGAGTTAGTAGAATGGTGATAAAATCAGAGATCATGTGCTTAATCTGGGAGGGAGGGTCATCTTGTTCCCTGGAGTGTGGAAAAAACAGACAGGGCAGCAGATGCAGAGTGAATGCAATCTCATACTTTGATACCTAGCACATAATACATACTTTAAAATACTTGTTTTATTGTTGAGCTGTGTCCTGAAGGAAGAGAGGGCTTCAGTGAGGCCGAGGGGCAGACGGAGTGAACAGTAGGCATGGGGGACAGCCAGTGAAAAGGTGTGGAGTATACTGGGGGAGGATCAGAGAAGACAGTTTCGTTGGATTTCAGAGCATTGGAGGGATAGTAATAATGTATAATGAATATGGAAAATAAGTTGGAGCAAATTTGCGAAGGGCTTTAAAAGCTAAACCGAAGAGTTTACATATGTATTCTAGAGACATTTGGAAGCCATCGGAATTTAAACGTCTCAGACATGAGTACTCAGCAGATACCAAGCTGCCAAGTAGCTTAGATTGGAACAAGAAATTCCCCAAGGGGCTTTAAATCAAAGCAATAATTATTCCATTTCTTTCACTATATAGCTAAAATAAATTCTGGGAAAATGCTACTGGTTGGAAGTAATGAGATGAGACATGCAAAAAAATGCTAACAGATAACAATTTAAAAAGCTTTTTAAAGCTATGTTTGAGCCAGAAAGAGGCCATCTTTTCAGGACAGATGATGTAATGTTCATCTAGAGCAGTGAAGAGGTAGAATTACTCAGCTGCTATTTTGCTTTTTCTCTATTAAGGAGAATGATCTCCCTATTGGAAAGGGCATATTAGTCATGGTTAGGAAACAATGAAAACTCAGGATTGATGAAGAAATAGTAAGGACTTGAGGGCTCAGAAGATTTAATTGAATTCAGGTTTTAGGACCCAGATGACATGTTCCAGGGTATGGAAATAACTTTTGATATAACTGTATCAAGAGACAAGCACATAAATTGCCTTGTAGGCAATCTTTGAAGGATTACAGAAAATGGCGGAGATGCCAGAGGACTAGAGCCAAATGTGATGTGGAAAGAAGCTGGAAGATCTAAATTCAAATCCCAGCTCTGCCCATTATGACCTACAGGACATTTCATCTCTCTGCACCTCAGTGTCCTTGTGTAGAATGAAGGGTTTCAACTAGATAGCTTATATGGTCTCTTCCAGTTCAAACTGCTAAGATCCTATGAAACGTCTTAATTTTCAAACATGGAAGTCCTGGAAGCTACAGAGAAGTTATTTGAATGTTGGTCTTTACGATTCCAGCTTGGATGATTAAATAGATTACAAGACCTGAAAAAATGAAGTGATGATAACTAGGAGCTATGATGAGTTCACTAAGATTATTACCTCCTGTATTAGATTATAAAAATACTCACTAGATTATAAAATTCTTGACTGAAATGACCATATTGTATTAATCTTTTAAAAATTTCCCCCAACACTTAACACAGTGCATTGTAGGTATTTAAGTTTGTTGAATAAATGAATAAAAACTAATTTCATTTTCTTTTGTGATAGGGTTAGTAAACTAGTAGTAGATCAGGAGACTTACAAAATAATTTATCTTTATTTCAACAACGCACTCGACAAAATCTTTCATGATAAACTTGTTGTTAAGATGGAAAAGTATGGACTGGATGATAGTGCAGTGAAATGTACTATTGTGACTTCTCTCAGTCCTCATTCTTCTTGACCTTTCCATAGCATTTAACACGGTTCACTACCTTTTCCTGGATCAACTCTCCTCTGGAGTTTAAGACACTATTCTCTGTTGGTTCTCCTGCCTTCTCAGTCCCTTTTGCTGCATCTTCATGTCATACCTACTAACTACAGATATTCCCCAAGACTGTCCTGGACTTTCTTTCCTCTCTCTATTCTGTCTTTCACTTGGTGACCTTATCAGCTTCCAAGGGTTCAATGATGAGCTCTAGATGATCTCTATCGAGATCTATATATCGAGCCCTAGCCTCTTCTGAGCTCTAGTTCCGCACCAACAACGGCTTACTGGACGTTTTCAACTTAATATTCCTTAGGTATCTCAAATTCAATATGTCCAACACAGATTTCATTGTCTCCCCCCACCCCAAAACCCACCCTTATTATTTCCCTATTACTATTGAGAGATCCACCAATCTTCTGGTTACCTAGGTCCACAACATTTGTGCCCTCCCCAAGGTCTACCAATTTCACCTCTGTAACCTGTCTTGACTATGCCCCCTCCTCTTCTCTGACATTGCCGCCACCAAGTAGGCTGCTGTAATAGTCAAGGCAGCTGGGCGGCACAGTGGACAGAGTGCTGGGTCTGGAGTCAGGAAGACTTGAGTTCACATCCAGCTCCAGACACTAGCTGTGTAATCTTAGGCAAGTCTGTTTGCCTCAGTTTCCTCAGCTGTTAGAATGAGGATAATAACAGCAACTACCTTGCATGGTTGTTGTGAGGATCAAATGAGATAATATTTGTAAAGCACTTAGCAGTGTCTGGCACACAGTTGGCACTCAATAAATGCCTATTCCTTCCCCTTCCCTTAAGTAATAGTCTAAACTAGGGTGCTGGTAGTGAAAATGATAAGGAGGGGAAGTATAGAAGGGACTTTTAGGAGACAGAATTGATAAGATTTGATGATTGAATGGGGTGAGAGGAAAGGGAAAGAAAGTCAAAGATGATTCTGAGGTTTTTGCCTATGTGATACAGAGACAGGAAAAGTAGGAGGGGACAGGTTTTGTGGAAAGATGGTGAGGAAGGCTTGGTACGTGTTCAGCTTAAGGTGTTAGGATATGTATCCAACTCTTCTTTGATTATATGAACAAATTTGAAACGTTCCTTTCCTGTGGCATAGGGCTCAAAAGCAACTACAGATGGTCCTTAGATAAATTCTTTTGCTTCCTCTACAAAATTGATTACAATACTTTTGTGTCCAATGTATAAAAGGAACAAAAACTCACTAAAGATAATTTTCTTGGCTTACCAGATGCCCGGGAGGCCCAGGGTCTCCTATGGTTCCTGGTAGACCTGTTAGACCTTGGTCTCCAGGGAAGCCTTTTTCTCCTTTTCTTCCTGATATGTATTCACAAGGTGGGCCTGGGGGGCCAGGATCACCTAAATTTACACATAATCTGTCAGTATTGTCAGAAGTCAAGCTGTCCCGTAATATCAGTGATTGCTATACAGGAGATCCCTTGAAAGTTACATTTAGGGGGGCAACTAGGTGGCACAGTGGATACATCACCGGCCCTGGCTTGAGTTCAAATCTGACTTTAGACACTTGACACTTACTAGCTGTGTGACCTTGGGTAAATCACTTAACACCATTGCCTAGCTGAAAAAAAAAGTTACCTTAATTTTTTTCACATAGAAAATTGTTGATGGTCAATATAAAAAAATCTCTCCATTAGTCCTATTAGTATAGAAAATCTATGTGTTCTGTACTTCATGGATCTGTGGTTTCATCAGGGTGAATACTCCTTTTACCATTGTAGATGGAAATCTCCACTTATGATGGCAGAGATAAAAATTGTCACCTTTTGTATAATGGTGATGAAGTTCTCTGGCCATCCGACAGTAGGTATATACAGTTTCCATCTGGGTCCATATCTGAAGCCTTTCTAGCTCCTAGGACTTGCTGGGGCCTGCATTCCATTAGTATCATCTTCAAGGACCCAAGGTCATTTCTGTGACCAAATAAAGCATGACAGGAGGACTGTAGTGTATTAGGGCTTTTTATTTTTTTATTTTAATTTTTTAATTTTATTTTTTAGGGCTTTTTATTTTTAAAATTTCAGTATGTATTTTCAGGGAGAAAATTATCAAAGTTAATGTCTCATACACTACATTCTTTGATTCAAGCTTTTTTCTGCACATTAGGTGCAATTTATATACTGTTTTCCAAGCTAATTTTTTATTCATAAGAATTAAAACTATCTGACTATACATTTTTACAATACTATTGATGAGATAGCAAAACAAATGACTGTTTTCAATGGAAAACAATTTTTGACCATTCATTTATGGTAGTATTTTAAAAAGATGCTACTCACTGTGCATTGGCTGGAATGATAGGAAAACATTTCTAGTTTCCTCTGTTTTCATTTGCAGGTTTCCATTAGATTTAACAAATCACATGAACAAGTGTTGAAAACAAATTGATATGAAGAACTGGAATGTGTGTGTTAGAAGAGAAAGTCTTGTTTAATTTTTAAAATCTCCATGGGTATTTCCAAAGGCAGGATTCTTCAAGGAACATGTAAATACTGACTTCACTCCCTTTTTAGGGAGAGGTGATTTAGAGAACTTGTCTGAGTTTGGGTGGCGTCAGACCAGTGATGGTGTAGGTAATGCACTGGAACTGGGAGAGAGAGGACTCCCAGTCTGGTATGCAAAATTCGGGGAAGATAATGAGCTCCCTTTTGGACATGTTGAGTTTAAGATGAATACAGGACATCCCATTTGAGATGTCTATTAGGTGTTGGAGATGTGAGCCTGAAGGTCAGCAGAGAGATTAGAGCTGAGAAGTAGATCTGACAATCGTCAGCATAGAAATGATTATGGAATTTATAGGACCTGTTGAGATCACCAAATGAAATAGTACATAGCTGTATTGTAGAGCTAGTGGGGAGCTACAGGCCTTTCAATCAGGGTAGTTACATGATTTTCCCCCAGGATGAAATCAGGGTAGTTATGTGATTTTTCCCCAGTATGAAAACATTCGAGAACTTCTGGGGTAAAACATCATCTCAACATTAGACATGTAGCTGTGTTTTTGGTTTTCCCCCCAAATGCTTAGAAGTAAAAACAAATACCTGGATTTCCTCTCAAGCCTGGAGGACCTTGATTTCCTTTTTGGCCTGTAATTAGTGCACCAGGAAAACCTGGTGGCCCTGGTGGTCCAGTCATGCCGATGGGGCCTGTTGGTCCCACATCTCCCATCACACCTTTTATACCATAGATGCCAGGTAACCCTGGCCTTCCTTCATTTCCTTGGTCTCCTGTAGAGAAGAAGGTTTGGTTGATTTTCAGAATGTTCCTGTGGTTATGATTGCATAATAACCACTATCAAGAAGTGATTCAATTAGCTGCCTCATTGGGTTCCCTGCTTCAATTCTCTCCTCTCTTCAGTTTATCCTCCAGATATCTGCAGAAGTGACTTTCCTAAAGTGTAGGTCTCTCCCCTAGGCACTGAGTAAACTCCTGTGACTCTTGATAACCTCTGGGATCAAGTATAAACTCCCGTTTGGCACTTCCATCCCTTAACCACTTGGCTCCCATGTACCTTTTGAGCTATTAGGCATTATTCCCCTGCACAAAAAGTCCAGTCCAGCCCAGCCAAATTGATCTTCTTACTATCCATCATAGGTGATATTGCACCTCTCAGCATGATGCCCTTACACTGGCTATCCCCAAAGCCCAGTACGTACCCTTTCCTCAGATATGTCTTTTTGAATCCCTCAGCTCAGTCAAGAACCACCTTCAATGGGGAAACCTCTCATCCTGCTGATGGGGTGCTTGGGTGCTTGTGTTTGGGTGCTTGTGCTTGTCCTTGGACCCCAATTTCTCCCTAGTCTCAGAAACACTGTCTCTGACAATTTCTCCCCAGCCCAAGGATACCGTGCCTAGCAATTACACATGAGTGGGCCCCAGCAAGACCCTTAGCTCTCTCCCTGGTGCAGCTACCCAAAGCTGGGTGAGAGAGTGCTGGGCTGCTCAGGCCCCAGCCCTAAGATAATGTCTCTGGAAGCCTCCCAATTCCTTAGTAAGCTCCTGTCTTGTGAGAAAACTTTCCCTTGTTGCAGAGCATTCTCTAATCAGGACAGAGAGAGAGGGGTGTCTTGTCTGGCCCAAGGAGTTTTGTCCCTGGCTGGCCCAAGGACTCTTCCTCCTGTCAGACTCCCAAGATCCATGCCTCTGACATCTCCCTCCCTGTCTGGTATACTCCCTACACTTTCCCATCCATAGCTCCCAAAGACACCTGGACCTTTAGATTACCTAATTGGTATCCCTGGCATTCCTTTCCCGTGCCCTTTTCCATATAAACCCTAGCTCCATCCTCAATCTCTCACAGGTTCCTTAAGAATCCTTGCCCGCTGAAAAGCGTAACAATAAACTTTTTGCCAACTTGACTTAAAGAATGCTTGAGTCTGTGAATTCATTCTAGATGACCCCATCCTGTACTCCGGTCTTTGAGGGGTCTCAACCTCTCAGACCACCTCCCCCGCAGTTCACCATGTACGAGGTATTTACATCTTCTCTGATCCCCCTCTCAAATTTTCTTTAAGGAAGGGGCTTTCACTTTAGTCTTTGTTTCCCCAGTGCCTTGCACATAATTGGCACTTAGTAAATGCTTGGTGATTGATTGGTCATAAAGGTTAGACCTGTAGGGATCTTGATGATCAGTCCTCAGCTCCCTCATTTATAGATGAGGAAAATGATCATGAGAGGGTGAAGTGACTTGCCCAAGGTGACACAGCTAGTCTGAGGTAGAATTGAACTCATACCTGGGTCTTTGAGTCCTGACTCCAGTCAAGTACTATTATCATGCTTTCTCCCTATTCCGTGAGCTGGACAAAACATAGCTTTTCCCTGCCTCATGCATTCTACCTTCGTGTTGTACCAGGAGAGGAGACAAAGAGGAAGAAACAGTTAGATGGTGCAGGAAATAAGTTGGAAGATCTTTGATGTTTGTTCCACAGCGAATAATAATAGGAATCTGGACAATGTCAATAATGTTTTACGCACCAGCCTGCAAAACGTCCAGGAGCCGTTGTTAGGCTTTTCATGGTCATATTGGTAAAATACTAGATGAGACCAGGGTTCTTCTCATCTTGTCTAGTAGTCTTGACTACTAACACTCTCTAGGTCTCCTTTTCTTCATTAATTAAAATGAAGAGGTTAGACTAGGTAATGATTCTATGTTAGTGAGCGGCAATGGCTGTATTTGTATTTTGCAATTTGTGTTCTGTAGCCTCAGATTATTAAAATTCTAAGCACTATTTTAGGGTAGGGACCATATCCTACTTATCTTTGTATCTCCTAGAGCATCTAACATCGGCTTATGCTTCATAAATGTATGAACAAGACACACTAAACTTGTCTCACTAGTAGTCGAATCACAGTTCTGAATTTTTATACTCTGTGATGGTAAAGATAATTTATATTTGAATGCATGAGATTCAACTGTCCAATATTTCTATTTGGAATACTTTGATTTTAAGCATATCTGAGTAAGGCTACCCACAGCCTGGTGTAACATATAGAAGGATGGCCTTGGTGTTTGGAAGACCTGCTCCTGATGCATACCGGCTAGGTGACCAGGAGCAACTCAACCTCTCGGTGTCCCCAGGAAATTCTCCAAACTGTAAATTACAGTTGGGTTTCCATTTCATTGGGTGGCAGAGTTTCTCTGTTAGATATTTCCTGTGCTGATGACATCACAGGTCTAGAATCCTCTCCCATTCTCCTTAGCCCCCAAGAATTTTATCAGGTATATACAAGTAGAGGCTATTTCTTGAAAATATAGGATGTGAGATTTAGGGAAGAAGAACCTCTTACCTTCTAAACCAGGAAGACCTCTTGGACCTGGAAGTGCCCCTAGCAGACCTGGGGAAAAATTTCTGGATATTAGCATTATGTGTATCCTATATATCTATGTGGTTCATTTAAGCATTGCAGGAGAAGAAAATCTAACTGATATATTGTTATTTTTCTGCTTTTTTAGGGGGAATATTTATTTTTAAAATATGCATAATAAAATATTAATTCTCATGATGGCTATATAAAAATATGTATGTCTCATTCTCTACTTTAAGTTTATCACAGCTCTGTAATCGATAGCATGCTTCACCACCAGTCGTCTGGAATCACAGTCATTGTATGGATCATAGTCTGTATAGCTTTTAGAGTTGTTTATTTTTTACAGTGTTGTTCTTATTGTATAAATTGTTCCCCTGGTTCTATTAATTTCATTTTTAATCAATTTATGAAAGTCTTCAAAATTGTTCATTTTTCCAATATTGATGTTAGGGTATAAACTGTTTCTCTGGTTCTACTTACTTCATTCTGTATTAGTTCAAGTGAGTTTTTTTCATGTCTTTTAAAAAAATGTTTCATTAATGTCTTTTGTTTTTTACATTACCGTAATATCATATATATTCCCCCTTTCCCTCCCTGAGAGCCACCCATATGACAAATAGTGGTTTGTTTGTTTTTTAGAGAGGAGAAAAATCAGCATAACTGATCAATACATTGAGAAAATCCAAAAATATGTGCAGGGTGTAATACTTGTGGACCTCCCAGCTCCACCAAGGGGTAGGTTGGGATTGTCTTTTCTTATATTTCTATTTGAGTCCTGCTTGATCTTTATAATTTTGTTACATTTACTTTTGATATTTTTGTGTGTCACTGTTCTTTCCATCCATGTCTTTTAGAAATCAATGTCCTCATTTCTCACATTTTCTAAATTCACATTGTTTATTAAGCACTTTCTGTCACTCAACATATTTTATGCTGACCTCCCCTTAGTATACAGTACATTGTCTGAAAATTTCAAAATAAGACAACTTGCTCCCTGCTCTCAAAGTGAGTGATATTACAATATAGGGAAAAATAATCGTACATTGGGGTCAAGGGCTGGTTTCTTGTCTGGAGGAAGTCTCCAGCCAAGTGTCATGGTCATAGTTATGCTCTGGGGTGTCTTCAGCCTCATCTGATACTAGAGATTTTCGTTCTTAAGAGTAGAGGCCAATGGAAAAGATAGGCCAGAGAGGCCCTAAAAAGGTAGTGGCGAATGTATAGATTTGGCATCTTCTGTCTGTATCACAAAACACTATGTCTCCTACCTCATAATCCAAAAAAAGATGCCCACTTTGTAGACTTCTCTCTTAAGAGAATGCTGGTCCTAGGCATGATGCAGACCATCTACTTATTTTTTCTTAGACTCAAAAGCCAGTATCCAGGAGAAGGAGATGGTGAAACCTCTCCCCTCCAGTTCTACTTTCAGGGGTCTTACAAAGGCCAGTATCCCCAAGCAGAACTGTTTCCATCCTCCCCATCACCTCCTCATAATGTTTCTTTCCCAGACATGAAGCTCTGAGTTGTTAGAACAGCACCACATAGATCAGATCTCTCCCCAGCATAACATATCTTCTTCCATGCATCTCTTTCTCTTGGTGTTTTCATATCTGTGGATAAGATGATTCCAGGATGGGCAGTTTCAGGACCCTGATTGATTTCCTCATAGAATTTTGTCTTGATGACTTTTCTCTGATTCATGCTCTTCATCAAGTGAGATTTAAGCCATTTGAAGGACTGTGCCACTGTCCCCCTGTTGGGCTGGAAAGTTCTCACAACAGAAATTCTCCGGCACTCAGGACATTTAAAACTGCCCCCTGAAGTCCTATGAAGATGCTGGAAAATACATTCTTTGCATAAATTGTGACTACATCCTATAGACATGGCACATGTGGAGATATCTAGGCAGAAGAGGAACTTCAGATCTTCTGAGAGACCCAGAGTGAGATATGAGGCCATGACTTTTGAAGTCCCTCTGATTTGGGCCTTTCTATGTTTGGAGCTCCAGGTCAGTCTCCTAGCTTTCGGTTTCACTTCTGTTTCCATTGGTGAGGTTAGTTCTAGGGTGGTAATATATTACAACTTCATCAAGCATTTAACTGAGTAATCACTATGTGCCAAGCACTGTGTTAGGTGCTGGGGATACAAAGACGAAAAAAGAAAAACAGTAGATACCCTCAAAGAGCTTATATTCTAGAAGCGGGATTTATTCAAAAACAATAATAAAGTTTTTCAGCAGTGAAATAAGTAGATTCGAGGTAATATGAAAGTCATACCTAGTTCTCCTTTTTCTCCCACTGGACCAGGAAATGCATCCCCACCTTGTTTACCTTTTTCACCCATTGGTCCAGGAGGTCCTGGGGCTCCTGGAGGGCCTAGAAAAAGGACATGCCAACCACAAAGAAAATAGATTTCCTTCTTACTCATACATATTCTCAAAGACAAGGAAATGGTTTGAGATTTTGTTTGTTTGTTTTAAAAGACTAATTATTCAAGATGCAGCCAGGTGGCACAGTGGATAGAGCATTGGCCCTGAGTCGGGAGGACCTAAATTCAAAGCTAGCCTCAGCACCTACTGGTTGTGTGACTCTGGGCAAGTCACTTAACCCCAACCGCCTCAAAAAAAAGACATTATTCAGAATCATAAATGTTAATTCTGTATTAAATGTAATTGCTATAAATAAGTAAATATTCCCATTAAGATCTTCATGTTGAAAATTCTGAACTGATGGAGATTTCATTTAGATGTGTGTACAGAGTACAGTTTAATACATTTTTTTTCTAAATGTTATACTGAATAATGGGTACTACTCTCCAAAATTCTGAGCCAGAGATGGATGAGTAATTAAGGGAACAGCCATAATTAGATGTACAGAGATTCTGACTTTAGAAAAAAAAAGATCACATTTGTACTAAAAATCTTCTACGTTATGTCATCTTATGGTTGAGTTCTAAGGGTACATTACAGAGAAAATAAAAATGAAACCTGGAGGTCCTTTCATTCCTGGAGTACCAGGGAAACCTTTGCATCCTTTAAATCCCAAATCACCAGCAGGTCCAGGCTGTCCTGTAAACAGAATAGTAAAGATTTAACAAAATATTACAGCTATTTTATTTGAGGTCAAAACAACAGATGACCTCCACACGCTCTTTGCTCCATCTCGCCACCCACCCACCCAATTACCCATGGTAAGATGCTGTAACTGGCAGTCGATTCTTGTTTAATACTCAGGTTGTACCAATATGCAGAGCAAAGTCACTTTTGAAAGATTTGGCCCTGAAATTTTTTCCAAGCCGCTAATAACCCACAGCTAATTGATTTATTAATAGCAAGAAGACGATCTCTTAAGTCAGAGGCGTCAAACATGCACCACAGCACTCCTCAGTGGGGCCCCGACCAGATTAAAATGAAACTGGGAAATGTTTAACAAAATAAATAAAAATGCAACAGAACAGACAATGTTAGATTTTAATGTGCAGCCCACAGGGATGCTTATGTATCCCTCTTTGTGTTTGGGTTTGAGACCACTTTAGATAATCCTTGAATTTATACTTTTACGTAATTTTGTTGGTACCCTCAGTATTTGGTATTAAACCATGAAAGGAGTCCTGACATCAGTTTTAGTAAGGAAAGTACTGAACTTTTCAGATTTTGGTAAAAAGAATATATTACCATTAAAAATTTACCTGGAAAATCCATCCCATAGGTTGGTACTGATAGTTTGGGCTCTCCGTTTTAGACCCAGAGGGGGTCTCGGAGGCCACCTAGTGCAAACTCATTTTACGGACGAGGAACATAAGCCTAGAGAAGTTAGGCGATGTGCTCAACGTCACATGTGGAGTGTCACGGGGGGAATTTGAACTCAGGTCTTCTGACCCCAGAGCCACCGCTCTTTCTGCTGTGCCATGCTATGTCCCTTACTTGCTTTTTATAAGCATTAGAACAAAGTCAGAATTTGAAATTGCAATTCTGTGCAGCAAGAAACAAAGCTAAGTGTTAAACCTGAAACTTTAAACGCACACAGAGTTAGAGGAGTTATACCATAGGCAGCTGTCCCTGGTGCCTCTATATTGACTCAGTTTGGGCCGCGATGGTGCCTGCCCCTGCTAGGAGAGGGATTACGTGTGTCAGTGATTGGGGTCAATCAACAGGCTACGAAAGGGAGAATCTGCCTGGAAGGGCCAGGTTGTGATCTGAGCTAAAATCCAGGAATGTCAGCAGGATGCCGTGAGGAGGTGATCCCAAGGGTTCACCGTGCTGAATAAATCCAAAAGGAGAGGCATTACTTATAAAACATTAGTCCCAAAGTGGGACTGGTGAGAAAATTCAGCACAGGCCAGCCAAGGAAAATGCCACAGAAGCAGCAGCATTAGACGGGGCTCACTGAGACAGTATCTATTACAGGAGAGACAGCATCCTTTTATAAGCAACATGCCTGTCATTCCTTCTGGGCCTGTATTTTAAGGAGAGCTCCATGCCTCACCCTCCTGGCTCTGCTTCTGACTTTCCAGACTGACACCAAGCCCCCGGGCAGGCACTTTCCTTCCTCCTCTGACCCTCTCCCCGCTTCTCAGCTTCCTTTTGTGTGTTGACTCTCTCCCTTAGAATGTCAGCTCCTTGAGAGCAGAGGCTGTCTTTCCTTTGGCTTGTAGTTATATTCCCAGCACTTAGTACACTGCCTGCCACAAAATAAGGGCTTCATCAATGTTTGTTGCTTGCCTATTGCCTGTTCCCTGCCTGAACGACAAGGATTCTATCCGTGTAGTTTGGGCTTGAGGTAGACCCATTTTATGTGGTCATATGGACATAGGTCGGGTGCTTAGTAAGAAGAGTTATCTTAACTTGCAAATTACGAGCCCTGTTGCTCCCTCTGCCAGTTTCTGAGAAGGTCTAGGTATCTAGACTTCAGGAACAGTCAGGCCTGAGTCCCTACATCCAAAGGCTTCCCAGGGGTGCAATGGTTGTCAGTATCTCATGTCACTTGAGGGGAAGTCTTTAATTTTTATTTTTTCATGCTTAAAAGTACATTTATTATTTATTTTTAACATTAATTTTTTAAAATTTTGAGTTTCTAATTCTCTTCCTCCCTCCTGCCCCTCCCCCACCCATTGAGAAGGCAAGCAATGTGGTATCAATTATACCACATTATATATACATAATATATTATATTAAATATTATATGTATCATAATATACGTATAGTGTGAAATCATGCAAAACGTATTTCCATATTAGCTATATTGCAAAAAAGAAAAGCAAGAAAATAAATAAAGAGAAAAATATGCCGCACTCAGATTTCATCAGTTCTTTCCCTAGAGGTGGATAGCATTTTTCATCATGAGGCCTTCAGAATTGTTTTAGATCATTGTATGAGAGTAGCTAAGTCTTTCACAGTTGATCATCAGTAACAATATTGCTGTCACTGTGTACAATGTTCTTCCGATTCTGCTCACTTCACTTTGCATCAGTTCATATAAGTCTTCCCAGGTTTTTTTGAAACCATCTAAGGATGGTCCTTTAAAGGTTGTCATCTACCTCTATCCTCTATCCCTCTCTGTACAATTCAATAACTAATACAAACAGCTCAGGTTTGTGGTCAATTTTTAGAAACAAATTAAATTTAAAAACAATTAGAAAAACAAAACAAATTACCATTTAAATGAATAAGTATTTTTTTCTAAAGCTCAGTTCTGATCTGAACTTTAGTGATTCTCTGTTACACGTAGGATCAAGTAGAAAGTCCGCAGTCCTTTCATGCTTTTACAATCCAGCCTCTTCCTGTTTTTTCCAGTCTTCTAACGAATTACTCCCCTCTATATATTCTGTGGTCCAGGCATATTAACTTGATTTTTATGGTCCAGGCATAATAACTTAATTTTTGCTCCTCATACATGACCCAGCATTTCCTGTCTACATGTATTTGCACCAGCTGCCCCCATGCCTAGAATGTTCTTAATTCCACCTCTTAGGATACCTGGCTTACTTCAATGCTCAGCTCAAATGTCATCTTCTACAGACTTTTCCCCATGCAGTACCCACCAAGGTGACTCAAAGCACATAGACAATACTTTAATAAATGCTTGTTAACTGATGAACATAAAAATTAAATGAAGAATCAAAACTCTTAGTGTCTGTTGGAGCAGCCAGGAAAGGATAGTAGAAAAAGAGGAAGTGAAGAAATGATGTTACCCAACTTGGCTTCTCCTTGGAGGGAGAACAGAAGGGAGACTGGGTCTCTGTTTCTGCTCTTTTTGACTTGTGCCTGGCTAAGCAACCTCAGACATCCGGTCTGGCCCACAATCCAAACACCCTGATTGTCACCTGATGTTGGCCACAGTTCTGGGCCAACAGTTCCCATGTTGGCAAGACACGTGCTGCCTTTTCTGGAGCCACCCATGTTGTCTTTTCTGGCGGACACTTGCAACATGACTTCTTTTCTTTCTTCCCAAAATTGCACCCTAGGTCAAGGGCAAGACTGCTGGAACTTGGGTAGTGCTGGGTAAATCCAGTCAGGCCCCCTGGATCATAGCATTTTTGCTGATTGTCCCCCATGCCTATAATTCTCTCCTTCCTTACCTCCTCCTCCTGGCTACCCTAGTTTCCTTCAAGTCGCAGATAAAATATTATCTACAAGAAGCCTTTCCCAGTCCACCATAATCCTAGTGACTTCCCTCTGTTGATTATCTCCAGTGTGTCCTGTAAATACTTATTTGTACATAGTCACATACTGTCTCCCTGTTAGACTGTGAGCTTCTGGAAAGCAAGGACTGTCTTTTGTCTTTCTTTGTATTCTCAGCACTTAACACAGAGCCTGGCACATAGCAGGTGCTTAATAAATGCTTATTAACAGACTGGTATAATACAGTTGTTGCTGTAATGCAGCAATTGGGACTTGAAACTCTTTAATTAGATTAGACAGGTGTTCAAGAGAGTTCTGTCTTGGAGCCAAGAAATCTTGGGTTCAAATCCTACCTTGGGTACTTATTAGCTGTGTGACTTTGGCAAAGCACCCAACTTTTCTGTGCCTCATCCTCATTCATAAAATGAAAGGGCTGGACTTCATGGCTTCCAATGTCTCTTCTAGTTTTTGTTTGTTTTTTTGAGGCAATCAGGATTAAGTGACTTGTCCAGAGTCACACAGCCAGTAAGCGAGTGAGGCTGGAACTGAACTCAGGTCCTCCCAACTCCAGGGCTAGCACGCTATCTACTATGTCACCCACCTGCCCCGTTCTAGTTTTTAAATCAGTCATTCTATGGAAATAGACTCTACCCTTGACAGAGTTGCAAGTGGTGGCTTATCGTGTTGGTGGCAACAACAACAATAATAAAGTTAACATTTTTACATAATTCTTTTAGGTCTGCAAAATGCATAAAACGTGTTGCCTCATTTGACCCTCACAACAACCTTTTGAGGTAGATGCTATTATTATCACCATCATATGTATGAGGAAACTGAAGCAAACAGAGGGGAAGGGATTAGCCCAGGACCAATATAGCTAGTAACTGTCTAAGGCAGAATTCAAACTCAGGTCTTCTTGACTCCAAGTCCAGCGCTCCATCCCTTATTAACATAAGGGCTGCTTAGGAGTAAAGGCAACTAGCAAACTTGGAGGTAGAGAACATACTGTCGACGAGAGGACTTGTTCCTAGCCTTGATCCAAATGGGTGCACAAAACGTTGGTGTAAAAGAAGTAATTCACTGTGTTGTTAAATGGATCCAGAGTAGGAGATAGGAAACAAGGGTAAAAGCAGTGGTCCAGAGCTTGAGAGGGAATCTGCTTGGAATAGGTCCCCAAAGTACCAAGCAAGGGCATGGTGTCAGGGGTCAGGGAATGGCGTAGGAATTCAGTGAATGAAAGTTTGTCTCACGGGCACTCTTCCTTTCTTCCTTTCATTCTTCCTTCCTTTCTTCCTTTCCTTCTTTCCCTCTTTCTTCCTTTCCTTCTTTCTTCCTTTCTTCCTTTCCTTCTTTCTTCCTTGCTTCCTTTCTTGCTTCCTTGCTTCCTTGCTTTCTTTCTTCCTTCCTTTCCTTCTCTTTCTTTCTTTCTTTCTTTCTTTCTTTCTTTCTTTCTTTCTTTCTATCTTTCTTTTTTCAGTGAGACAATTGAGGTTAAGTGACTTGCCCAGGATCACATAGCTAGCAAGTGTCAAGTGTCTGGTCTGAGACTAGATTTGAACTCGGGTCCTCCTGACTCCAGGGCCGGTGTTCTATCCACTGCGCCGCGCTTTCTACCTGTTACACAGCACCTCAGCCTCTCCCTGCTCCATGTGCATTTCCACTGGTGTTGCTGTGATCCCAGATGCCACTTTGGAAGTCCTATACACATTACTGGCCAATTGCTGTGATAACACTTTTCCTGGATATTTATTTTCTTCTTCAGTATCTTAAAGCTTGATGATTTTATTCAAATTCAACTCATTTCAATAAAAAAAAAGCATTTATTAAGTGCTTCCTATGTGTCAGGTACTGTTATAAGAATCAGGGACAGAAAGACAAAAATGAACGAAACGAACACGACTTGTAAGGTGCTTAAGAGAAAGAGAATCCAATTTTAGGTCCTGATTTTAGAGGGAAGAATGTAATTGGTTCACTCTTTATTGAGGATGCAGCTTTCTGAAAATCATCAAAAGATAAATGGATAGGACTGTGTGAAATGCTAATAAATGTCATTTCTTGTTAAGCCGCAGTTCTTACCTGGAGGACCACGGTTTCCAGAACTTCCCTGGTTTCCTTCAGTTCCAGCAGGTCCTCCGGGGCCTGGTGGGCCTGCTGAGCCTCTTCTTCCTTTCTTACCTAAGGAACCTGGGGGTCCTGGTTCTCCCTAAAAGTCAAATTGTTAAATTTTTATTTAAGTAGGGCAAACAGTCAGAATTAAATTTAAATACTATTTAAACTATGTTGAAAATGTTTCTTTAAATTAATAGGTGGACCTGAGTGCTTCTTTAATAGATCAGGTCTAGATATTCCAAATAGTAGCTATACAGGATTCAGCTAAGCAAATATATTTAATGTTTTAACATTTCCGTGGTACTTTAACTCTGGGAAAAAAGCTTACTGTATTGTATCAATCTTATCATTTCCTCATTTTCAGCCCATAAATCATTATAAATCAGTGAATGCTTTCTAGTCCTAAGAAATATGCTTTTGTTTTCCATGTTTATGTTGCTTTAAGATTCTATTTTCTATCCAGATGAGGACAAGAGTAAGGATGTAATTCAGTTATATGGAACTTGTAGCTTCATCGATGCTGCTGAATTGTCATGTCATGATGATACTGCATTTTTTTTAGTCCTAACTGTAATTTTATCAGGATGGAAATTTCCTCACCCCTGTACTTGGGCAGGTTGTGACCTGTGCTTCTTGGTGGCTTCCTGTTATTTCTAGGGTCAAATGCCAGCTCCTCTGTGTTGCATTAAAGCCCATCACCCTTTGGTTCCAGCCTATCTTTCTAGAATTATCATACATGGCTCCCCTTCATGCATTCATTCCCTTGGCCTTTTCTCTCACCCTTCCATGGGCATTACATCTCCTGTCTCCATGCATTGGCCCAAGCTGTCTGCCCCTGGAATGTACTCTCCCATCTCTACCTCATAGACTCCCTAGTTTCCTTCCTAACTCAGTTCATGTACCACCTTTTTCATGAAGCTTTTCTTCATCACCTAGCTAATACCTCCCCCAAATATCTATTTTGTGCATGTTCTCTCCCCCAATAGAATGTGAGCAGCTCGAGGGCATAGACTTCCATTTTTGTCTCTTTATCACCAGCATCTAACACAATGACCAACAGATAATAAGTTATTATTAATTAATTATTAATTATCAATTATTGATTGATCTATTTCACAGAGAAAGTACCCACATCATTGATCACAGACATTTTGAAATGTTGAAGGAATCTGGAGTTTTAATACTGTTTCTTTAAAAATAAACCATTCTGTAAATAACCTAAAATAACTGAGAAACTAAAGAAGGCTATTAATGTCATATTATTGTACAAAGTAAGTAAAATAGCCTATGTCTCTGAGAAGATATGGATGCTCTTCTCTGACCCACTCTTCTCCTGAAATACTATGTGTAAAAACATTGGGACTCTGATTCATGAAGGGTAGACCAACAGTGAAGAGACCGACAGTGATTCTAATGTTCCAGGAAAGAAATGACATGAAATGTAGAGTAGTAGAAAAACCCCTAGGCTTGGAGTTCAGAATATCTCAGTTTGAGGCTTCTGCCAGTTGGACAAGTAAATCATTTTTCCTTCCCTGGCCTCAGTTTACTCATCTGTAAAATGAAAGGGTTGACTTCTGAGGCCCCCTCCAGTTCTAGATCTATGATCCTATTTACTATGCTAGTACGCCCTGCCCCCCAATCTTCCTTATTATTCCTTCTAAGTTTGCTGTTGTGGCATTTCAGAAATTAAAAACTGAGGAGGGCTAGGAAACATCTAGATAGAAAATGGTGTCATAATGAAAGAGAAGCTACAGTGAAAATGAGGTGGCAGACAAATCACTTTGCAAACTTTAGTTTGTTATTAGTTATTAGTTAGTTATTAGTATTCAAATTCCACAAGGCTACTAAAATGTAAATTAAGGTGTATGTATGTGCATAAGAAGGGAGGCACTGGGGGTGTGTGTGATGGAATATATTTTCCAGAGCTTTGAAGCCTAGGAAGAATACTGGCATCAGGGAGGAAAGTTTTGAGATCCGCTTTGAAAGATGAGTTATAAAGAAGAGCAAAAGCACTAAAAGTCCCAATTTGACTAAGACAGATTCATGTTCCTACCTTAGGAGTTTTGTTTCTATCTAATCTGATGGTTGTTTTGGAGTTGCCTAAATTTAGCTATTTTAATAAACTTTTATTTTAAAGTAATAGGCAATTAGGCGTGTAATTCCGTGCTAACTTTGTAGAAGAGATTCACCAACTACAAAATGAATGTCATAAAGAATCACAGTGGTGTGACAGCTACTGCAGACAGCCTTATTTGTGGAGCTAGAACCAAAACCTCATTAAAAACCTCATTAACTACCAAATTAAGAAACCACAATGTCTCCCTTGGCTAAGCAGGCATTTATTCTTTTTCATCTGAATAAGACACTGGAAACACTGGAAAAGATGTACTACTCATTTCAGCTTCAACTGCCCAGGTTGAAATGCGACATTATTTAATCGGCCAGTATTAAAAACATATAAACCATCACCAGGTCCGTACCGTTGGCCCTGGAGGTCCTGGCTGTGCATCCTTTGTGTAGCCTGGTTCTCCTTTTTCTCCCTTCATGCCCTGAATTCCAGGGAGGCCCGGTCGGCCAGTTACACCTGGGTGGCCTGCAGTTCCTTTTTTCCCCTTTGGGCCTTAAGCAAAGAAACAAATTTCAGAATGTATCCATGAACAATGGACTATTTACTGACTCCATTCCAGACCTGGGAATAGCTATTCATCGCCAAAGGTTTTAATGCTCCTGAATTCTGGAACTAATTTATTAGTCATGAAAGCATTGTAGTAATACAATGAATACTGCCTAGAATTAATAAATATTTAATTATCCATCCTTTAATGATTTTTGTTTTGAGGTATACTTGTATTGTTGTCTCTTTGACTGAAGATGTTGTTAGTTTCAAGATGACTTTCAGATGAAATGAGATGCAATATTTCTGACCCATCATGACTTTGAGGGAATAAGGGACTCATCACATGGATTTATGACTCACCTGGCATTCCCATGTGCCCCATGCTTCCAGGTCCTCCAGGTAGTCCTGGTTCTCCAGGGTGACCCATGGTGCCAGGGTCTCCTCTGAGTCCTTAATTGAGAGTAAATATTCATTCTCTACAAAATTCACATCAATGTCTAGCTTAGAGTAGCCATGCCAACCAGGGTAGATAGGAAATAACTGTGATCCAGAGGCCTGTTCCTCTACTGCCTCGTCTTTCTCAGTGACCAAAAAAAGAATAGCTCTGGGACCAATACTAACAGGAATCGAAGACTTTCTGCCATCATGTACATTTGCCACCATGATTTGTCATTCCTTTTTATGTTTTCAAGATCAAAATAATCCTAGAGTTTTGTCATATGGCAGTTATCATAGCAAATAGAGTCCATATGACTATTTATTTTACAGGAAGTAGGAAGCTAACTTAACTTTTGTAAAACTTATTGTGTCTGCTTAAATATTTATTTTTTTAAAGAAAAGATAAATCTGATAAAATCTGAAATACCACTTAGTATTTCTTGGGGGGAAGGGGGTGAATAATTATATGATAAATATTAAATTTGTAACACATTTCAGTCATTTTAAACTAGAAAATTTGAGTAAGTAAAGCAGGTCTTTCTGAAAGTTTAAAACTATAGTATTTTCTATCAAAATTCAAAATTTGCTATAAACATTTTAGGCGAAAATCATAGAGCATTTCAAAATGTCTTCCTGTGAGGTTAGTTTAGAATCTGACTTACTGAAGTACTGAATCTCTTCCCTTTCACTTTCAACAATAGCATCTTTTGGATCAGATCTCATCAAAACAACTCTTGAGGAAGTTGAAGTCTCTAAGGTAAGAGTCCCTAACTGATTTTGTGTGTGTGTGTGTGTGTGTGTGTTGTGGTCTCTTTTGCCAGTCTTGTGAAACCTATGGATCCCTTCTCAGAATAATTTTTTTAAATGCATAAAATACAATACGTAGGATTGCAAAGGCATTGAAATACAATTATCAAAATATTTTGTCAGAAAAGTTCACAAACACCAGTTAAGAAGCCTTGCTGTTACAGAAGTTGTTTACACCAGAATGGTCGAACAGACTTTGGTACCAGGTTTAAGTCCTGTGTCCCTAAAACTACTTTTAACTCTAAAATACAGTGTTTCTGTGACTCTAATATACCTGGTAGCCCTGGTCTTCCAGGTATTCCATCATGACCTTGTAGTCCTGGTAGACCCGGAGTACCTCTCTCTCCTTTCTGGCCAAGGCCTCCCAAAGGTCCTAGGGTAAAAACATGGGGTATTAGAAAATGCACGACAAGGTTTCTTCAGGTTCACAGCCATTCTGTTTTAAATCAGTGTAACAGCTTTGCTGATTACTAAGTGTGTCCGTGACTGAGTCACCCAAGCTCTCTTATCTTTACCTGCATCCTGTCTCTGTATTTAAGTTTAACCAACATAATTGAATTAGCCTTACATAGTGGACTCTCCATCTTCATGTGCCACAGTGACCCTGAGATTGGAAGCCTTAAAATTGAGATCCATAAATGTTCATGATTCTGACCCGATAAACCTTAGAACAGAAGGGGTAGCAGATACATTCATTTTTTTTCTACCAAGAAACTGGCTGCCATTTTATATTTACTTTTACTTTTCTTTTTTTCACTTAGTTGTGCCCTTTCCATCAGCTGTTCTGATTTTCTGTCCCATGACCCTTTTCCTCTTCTCATTTCTGCCTTCCTTTCCTAATTTTACATACACTTCATTCCTCCTGTTTCTTCTTCTCTGTTCTTCATCACAAAGGTTATCAGAACTAATGTGAACATGTTCTCATCCAGTATTACCAGCTAGATTGTAAGTCCTCAGAGTTAGGTCAGGGTTTTATATTTCTTCATGGCTCGCATAATGCCTAGCACATAGTATTTGCAGAATAAATGTTGCATGATTAGAAAACAAATGAAATCTCCAAAAAATCATATTTAAAAATAAATAATACTGTAAAACCACACCAAACAGAAACATTAATTGATATGCATATGCATGTGGTCATTTTTATGTTATAAGTCTCAAGGAATCTATAGTACATAGAAATTCTAGACTTTTAAAAATCTATTAAACTGGCATATTCTCATTTCTTCAAGGTTCAAGTTTAAAGAGATTTCAGAGAAATAACTAATATATTTATATATTAAAATTCTGGCAGAATTATGCCTAAATGAATGTTAACCTTCACAGATTGGGGCAGATTCTACTTAAGCAAGTATTTGGATATAGGAATGAAAAATATTTTGAATCCTTTATTTAGAACTGGCAAGGTATCTTAGAGATTTTCTAGCTCACAAAACTTTATAGATGAGAAAATAGTCATATTTTAAATGACCAACTAATTTAATGGGAGAATTGGGACTAAAATTTGATTGTAGACCAGAATTTTTTCCATGGTCCCTTGTTGCCTCTCATATGGGCATTGCCTCAGTCAAACTCAGACCTGGGAAAGACCTTAACTTAAAAGGCCAAGGTCTCCCACTGCATCCGGGGCCATCTCCAGTCGTCCTGAACTGTATCTGGCCACTGGACTCGGATGGCTCTGGAGAAGAAAGTGAGGCTGGTGACCTTGTATAGCCCTTTCTCACTGCAATCCACCTGTATCGCCTACCTGATGTCATTGTCCTTTTTGAGAATGAAGGGCAAACAACAACAGAGAAGAATATATATATATACACATATACATATATACACACATATACATATATATACATATATATACACACATATACATATACGCACATATACATATACACACATATACATATATATACACACATATATGTAAATATGTGTGTGTGTGTATATAGTGTATATGCAGTAGAGCTGGACAAAGCAATGAACGAAGCATTATTGTCCTCAGTCTCTGCCAGATAGCCATCATATACAGAAAAAATGCAGAGCAGATTTGCTAATAGTAATAATAACTGATGTTTTTATAAAAGTGAGATTTGATTAAACCAATTACCCCACCTCACTTAAAGTAACTACATTAATCATGCGAGGACACCTTTATAGAATCTATCAATGAAAAGCATTGGACTAAATGCAAAAAGTCCTTAATCATTTTGGGGGGTAAGAAAACCATTGGATGACAAGGAACTAGGACAAGGACAGAAAGGGGAGGAGAAAAACTTCTATCTCCTCCCCAAACCCTTTACTCTAGAGGATGACCTTGTAAATTTTGAAAGGTCAGGAGATATTAGACTTATCTTAGGTGTCCCAGAAGTGTTTCCTGAATAACTACTGATATGTCTGTATTGGGATCTGAGGGTAAACTAGAAACAGTGAGGAAAGGCAGATCCAGGCCTCTACTAGGAACCCAACAGAGAGCCTAAGGGGATCCTTATGAGGGTCCTCATGCCCAGAAGATGAGAAAAGGACATCCAGCAACCACAAATTCTGTCATCTTTTTGTCCCACATGCTCACTAAGCTTGAGTCCACTTTCCTCTGGCCTCGGTAGTACAAGTAGGATAGATTTGGAGGGTGTTTTTATCAATTCATTTCTAAGAGCAAATTAATGCTGGTTGCCTAATTGATATATTGATAATCAGTGGGCGAAGTGTATCGATAGGCACACATGAATTTTAGTGCTAGAAAAATTCCCCAACCTCTCAGGATTACCCCCTCAAACCCTTAGACACTCTGGGGACCCAAACTGCCAGTCCTGGTGGGGTTGGGAGAGTAGGTCCCAGACCTGTATTCTATTTCTATAGCACTTTTTATAAAGCATTTTACAAATGTAATAGTATTCTATTGTGTTGACAAATGTAATATTGTTCTATTGTGTTTATAAATATAATAGTGTTCTCCCTTGAACTTCCTATATGCAGGGGGGAATTCTAATCTTTCTCCCTTCTTTTATTCCCCCTCCTGACCATTTCACTCCCATAGTC